CCACGATAAGCTGTGAATAGCAGGGCACTGACGCATGCTGGTCCGAGGACGAACAATTTGGCGGAAACCGGAACAGAGCCTCTCTGAATCATATGCCTTTCACTTGTCCGTGGTGAAATTTGTGGAAAAAATGTAGGGAAGATGGAAAAAAAAAAAAAGAGAGAAGAGAGAAGTAAGTCGAGCATACCTGAGTGAAGGCAGTTTTGCGGCGAGCTGAAATATCTGCGTATACAAGGGGCGCATTGTACTGGACTGAAGGCATCGCGGCAACGCAACAAGACTAACCAACCGTTTAAGCACTTCAAGTCGCAACAACGTCTCATTTTGAGCGGCGATGATTTTTGACTCTACAGCATCTCTGACCTGGTTCTACATTCAACAGCATATCAATAGTACTAGGTAGTGCTTTGCTTGAGAATCTCCGAAGCCGTTGATTCTGAGAGGTACCTAGGTACGTGTGCTTTAGCCGCCGCATCTTCCATCTGCGGCCTCATGTACGGTACTGGCACAGTGCAAATTGTACCCCGACTTCGCCGCATTGTAACGGTACCCGCGCCGGGTCGTTCTCACCGAGCAAAGCTAGCTCTGGGATGGGCCAAGCGGCGGCTGTGATTGGCTGCACGAACCAGCTGACGCGTAAACCGCCAGCAATGGGCTTTCCAAAGAGGAAGCGGCACCCCGGCGCAGAGCAGAAGAGAGCAACCACCAGACGCTCTTGCTGCACTGCTGGCCTGGTCCCTTTATTTCGCCCGGGCCGCCCTGTAGGAGGTACGCAAGTTCTGTACGTACACGCAGCAGTCCACTGGTCCCCAGGCCTCTTGACCCCCCCCAGAAGAGGCCCATGTCCACGCCATCGCCTACAACTTCCGCTAAGCCCCCGTCTGCCTCTTTTTTCCACTGTCCAACTCATGCTCATGCTCAAACCTCTTCCTCTCACCCAGCGCTTCTCTCTGGCGACGGCTTGAACTTTCCGAGCGTCGGCGGCAGTCGATTACAGGGACAAGTCGAGGACTCAGCAGCGAAAAAAAGCAGCCGGGAAACAATACCCCAGAACACGCGGCCAGGCCAGTTTGTTTCGGCGCACGCTGAGGGGTGCTGGGACAGTCACTGTGGCAATTTCAGTGGCCTACGCATCCGCAGCTGACGACGCTGTCGCCTACGACCCAGAACTCCATCGACGACGACGCAATCTCTCCCCCAGCTCTTGTCTATTTACACTGCATCTTTGCAGCGCCCTTTATCGGAATTGAGATTGAAGACAGGAGCAGTCTCAATCCAAACGATATACTAAATTCATCCGCATCGGCGTCTTTTCTCACGCACCTCGCTGTCGACCCGCTTCGCTCGTTAACCGATCTCAATCTCCTCTCTACCCGTCTTCATCCGCACAATGCACGGCCGAGACTCTCCTGCCCGCTCAGGGCACCCATCAGAGAGCGGCAGCTATGGGCAAGAATGGGCTCACGGGCTGTCCGTCCGCTTCGAGGGCATGATGCGCGACAAGCGCATGAACGACCTTCGCTCTCTGAGCCTGCAAGACCGGCCGTCGAACGCCTATCGCGAAGCCTCGCCTAGCAGCGACTACTTGCGCTCGTCTCACTCATCGACGACACCGCCCTCATATTCAGCCTTGCGCCATCTTCCCAAGATCCCAACACCCCCGGCCGCTGCCGATCGAGACTCACAAAAATTCCGAAACCTCCTACTCAGCCTATCACTCACACCAACAAAATACGAAAACCCTGGTCTGCTGGATGAAGCCCTGCAGACCATTCCCCTCGATCGCATCTATGGAGAGGCTGAAGAGGAGAGCCAGGTTCTGCAGGCTCAGGCAGAGAGTATGGGTGATGGTCGGCGGCCGGAATGGGGATACCAAGACTGCGTCATCCGAGCTCTTCTTCGGTAGGTTTTGATGATATGGAGCCGTATCCTTACCCCTTACGCTTTGTCACATACGGAGTTCTAACCTTGTCCCCTCTCGCAACAGATGGTTCCGGCGATCATTCTTCACATGGGTGAACAACCCCCCATGCCCAGTGTGCTTGTCACCCACAATCGCCCAGGGGATGACAGCTCCGACTCCCGAGGAGAGAGCTTGCGCCGCGCTTCGAGTTGAGCTCTACCGATGCTCCGCCGAGAGCTGCGGTGCTTATGAACGCTTTCCACGTTACGGCGACGTGTGGCGTCTGTTGCAGACCCGGAGAGGCCGCGTTGGAGAGTGGGCCAACTGCTTCAGCATGCTCTGCCGCGCGGTAGGAGGGCGCGTCCGATGGGTCTGGAATGCCGAAGACCATGTCTGGACTGAGGTCTACTCCGACCACCAGAAGCGATGGATTCACGTCGACGCCTGCGAGGAAGCCTGGGACAACCCGCGACTCTACACCGAAGGGTGGGGGAAGAAGATGTCGTACTGCATCGCCTTCTCAACTGATGGTGCCACCGATGTGACCCGACGATATGTGCGCACAAACGAAGCCGCCAACGAGCGCAACCGATGCCCCGAGGAAGTCATGCTCTACATCATGCAGGAGATCAAGAACCTCCGCCGGGCCAACAAGTCCAAGGAAGAGCGCTTCCGCCTTGAAAAGGAGGACCAGCAAGAGGACCAGGAGCTTCGGGGTTACGTCGTGGCAACTATCGCTCAAGCTGTCACGGATATCATTCCCGGCGCTTCGAGCTCTGCGGGCAACCGTGGCGGCAGTGGCAGCGGCAGCGGCGCGGGACAGGACACAAAGCTACCAGCCGAGAATCTCTCCCGCCAAGTTGGATCTACCGAATGGCTGGCGGCCCAACAGCGGCAACACGACCGACAGTGCCAGCCCCGCGATCCTAGCCACAGACGGCATCTTCCTTGAGGAAGAAACCGAGGGCAGATGTCATATGCGAAGACCATGCACTGTTCCTTCTCATCTATCATCTCCTCATGCCGGCCGGTCCGACTAACTGCAGCTGACGGCCTTACAACGCAACACACGAGAGAGTTCTTCACGTCGATGATACCCAACGACTCCCAATGAAAGTCAACCATGTCTTGTTGAGGACATGGCCACTATCCGATTCCTTTTTTCCCTCTTACTGCTACCGAAGGCCGACGCGCCTTTTCCTTGCTTCAACCACACCTTTCTCTCACATAATTTGAACCTTCTCTGCATAGACTCGGCGTTTCTTTATCAACCAAAGAAAAAAAAAACCCCCACCAACTCTTGTCGCTCGTGAGAAGAGTACACTTGTATCTATCACTTATATCTCGATTTTCCTTTATATGTTCTCTTTTGTTGTTTGGTCAGGAGAGCTCTGGGCGTATCTGGCGGGAGGACCGGGACGAAATTGTCTCGCACGGGGCGTGAGCCTTTGATATTTTCTTGGCTTTCTGGGAATTGAGATGGGGTTATACCCGAAACCCCATGGGGCGTACGGCTGTTTTGGGATAGCATCTTGTCAAGGAGGGGAGGAATTTCAGGGAGGAACAGATGGGCAAAAAGTATCTGCAGGCGCCGTTTCTTTTTGTTGGAAGCAAGGTAGACTTGTGGATGTATACCATGTTTGATGTAGCTATTGACGGTAGCGTAGCGCAGCAGGGGCATGCGTTTGTTTTAGAGTATTGCTATTCGGGCTGTATAAAATTGCTATTCGGGCTGTAACTAACCTCTTTAAGCTTAGTGGGGGTCTGTGCGTTACTTCCTTTTAAAATACCCCTTATCTTTAAAAATCTATATAAAATTCTAAAAAAATACTATAAGAAAAATAAAACTAGTTTTAGATTATTTATATAGTTAAGTTTTATATTTTATATTTAAAAATAGAATTTCTTAAATTATAATAGCTTAAAAAGCTAATTTAAGTTAAACTTGGATTTTTTTTATAAGTACTATTTATATAAGTATGCACTTAAAAAATAATAATATTTATATTATAAGCTATATATAAATATAGAAAGTTACTTAATTTTATATAATATATTGCCTTAAAACTAGTTTTAAAATATAGTAATATTCTTTTATCTTTTTCTAGTTAAATAAAAGCTATAAAAATTATAAAAAAATATATTCTATAAATATGGCTATTAAATAAGCTAAAACTATTATTTAAATATTTTATTTATTTTATTTTAGTAGTATTACTTAGGGTTTAAAAGGTAGTGTTTTAAGTGAAATTTAACAGGTACTTACACTACAGCCCGAATAGCAATTTTATACAGCCCGAATAGCAATACTCTTGTTTTAAGTGGCAGCATGCAATACACATTTGCAATACACATTTCAAATCCACGTTTCTTGTATACCAGAAAGCCCAGCATCTTGTGTGTTTCCTCGTTCGTCACACAAAGGTCAGTGTAGAGGCTCGGTCTTACCATATATCCTGGTGCCTTGACGATAGGTATCCCGGCGGAGGAGAGGTAGTAACTCCGGCGATGAAGGATGAACCAAAGTATCACACGCCACGACTTGATTAGAAATACGAGAGCTCTACAATCTGAAGAAGAGGAGTGGAAGACAAGAGAAGAGGTGAAGCTGAAAGTCCGCCCTTTTGCGGACTGCCCTGAGTATGGACGTGGACATCATTGATGATAACAATAATATGCCGACAATGATCCCTAAAGGGGGAGAGACGGGACGGGAGGCTTTGGTCTCGGCGGCCCGCTGGATCGGAACGAGACCCACCGAACGCCGAACAACCAAGTCCGCCGCCGAAGTGGGGTCCCATGGTCACATCGGGCGGTGTGTTATTCTCGATGCATGGTCTTGTCTGCTCTGTTGAGGTGTTGCGCTGTACATATATAAACTGATACATCTTCAGCTGTAGATGACGACTGCGTGATGGATCATGTCATTTCCCTAATCTTTCACTGTTTGTGCTTGCATTGGCCTGTCGTGCATTGAGCTTACGGGGCGTTGAGAAATACATACCTACATAAGGAGGGTCTAAACACCACCTCTTTCACTTACAACAACGAGTCTTGGTGCTGCTTTTCGAGGAGCATACCTACGTTGCCCGTCACCATGAACATCCCGGCGACGATGCGCTCGCTTGTGGCGACGCGAAAGGGCGGGCCCGAGGTCTATGAACTACGAGAGCTGCCGGTGCCGAGCATCACGCTGCCGACGCATGTGCTCCTGAAGATACACGCGGCGGGCGTCAACACCGGGGAGCTGCAGGCTGTCAGGGGAAAGCTGGGACTGTTTTACACCCCGACGTAAGGGATTCATCTACCACGATTGCTGCCTGTCTCTCTCTTTTTTTTTTTTTTTTTTTTTTTTCCACATCCCATTCAAGCCCCCTGTACATGAACCGAAGAGCAATGATATCTAACGGGGGGGTGGGGAGTGGCAGTTATCCAACGCAGCTCGGCGTGGAGGGCGCCGGCGTCGTCGTGGCCGTAGGAAGCGCCGTCAAGGACCTCAAGGCCGGCGACGAGGTCTACGGCGCCTACATCGACAAGCCCATGTTCGTGAACCCGCCGCCGGGCTTCCTGTCCGAGTACGCGCTGGCCGAGGCGCGCTTCCTGCTGCGCAAGCCGGCGCGCCTGTCCTTCGAGGAGGCGGCCGGCATGGCGACGCTGGTCACGACGTCGTACCAGACGTGGCGGCGCGGCCTGCAGCTCATGGGCGCGGACAGCCTCGAGGGCAAGACGGTCTTCATCCCGGCCGGGCTGAGCGGGACGGGGGCCATGGCGGCGCAGACGGCGCGCAACGTGTTTGGCGCGACCAACATCATCACGACCGTCTCGACCAGGAAGATGGCGCTGGTGGAGCGGTATCTGCCGGGCGTGTACGACCGCGTGATTGACTACCAGACGCAGCGGCCGAGGGACGTGGTGCCGCCCGGCAGCGTGGACATCATGTACAACACGCAGTGGGACAGCATGGACGACGGCATCCCGCTGCTCAACCCCAAGACGGGCGTCCTCGTGTCCATCTCCAGCACGCCGTCCAAGGCCACGGCGAAGCGGATCATCGGCGAGCAGCGGTGGCGGTGGTGGCACGCGGTGGTGCTGGACCTGTCGCAGCTGGTGTACTGGTGGAAGCTCCGGGGCACGAGCATCAAGTACGAAATGGTGTCGGGCAGCCTCGACATTCGCGAGGACCTGGAGAAGGCGGGCGAGATTGTGGCGCTGGGCAAGGTGAAGCCGGTGATGAGGGTCGTGGACCTGTGGGATCTGGAGGCGGTGCGCAAGGGGTGCGAGGAGGTGGTTTACGGCAAGGGAGGGATTGGGAAGCTGGTGGTGAGGGTTGTGTAGGGAGAGACGGTGAGCTTGTTGCGAATGGAGGTGTAATAGTTGCTTGAGTAGGTACCTGTCACGTGTGGAGTTTGAACATTAAACATCAGCTTGAAGTTGCTTCACAGCATATTATCTGGCAGGCAACCTTGATATCGTCTGAGCCATTTGTCTAACTATTGATATATATCCAGGTCAAACGCTATCCAATCTCTCATTGTTAGTAATACTACTATGTATAAGGTACCTTCCCGTGCACCCTCAATGCCTGCAGATGCCGTCATCACCGAACCCCCCTCCTGATTACATACATAGCCTTGTCGCGAACCAGCACGAAGCGCCAAAAAATGCCACTCTACGCGTTGCACGGAATTACACCAGCAGAAAAGAAAAAGTGCAAAAAAAAAAAAAAAAACCGCGAAGATTCGCGCCGTCAATCCAAGCGTTCTCTTGTCGCGCTTTCTCAGCTGCTGACACAAGATACATAATACCAGCCGAGGGGAGACCCGCCTTCCAGTTACCTCCTCAACGACCATTTGATTCCGTCGTCTCAACTCTCACTTCCTTCTTCCCAGCTTCTGTTTCTCAACTTCTCTCCCCCCTCCAAAACTCAATTCGTCTGGATCTCATCCTCGTTTGTCTATGCTTGCTTCGTTTTTCCTCTTCATCAATTGTTACAGCAATCTGCTTCAAATCATCGTCTTCTAACAAAGCATTGAGCAGCGTTCGTGCGTGTGTGCAATTGTAACATCAATTTCTTCTCTCATCGCCTTTATAGCATCTCCTTCTCTCACTACTCTCACCCAAAACACCTCATCAAAAAGGTCATCAGAACAAAAAAAGAAAAAGAAAAGATGGCTCTCCTCAAGCGCAAGCGATCCGCCGCACAGCTCTTCCCGCCATCCACCCCGGACAGCTCCATGATGGCCCTCGACGCGCCCGCCCTGCACAGCCGCACCCTCAAGCGCTACCGCGACAACAGGCCGTCGGACGAAGAGGTCCATCGTAAGTTCTACGAATGGCGCGCCCACCACCATCGTCTGAGCCCACACTCATGCCCTCCCGCAGAGCACACCCTAGACCTGCTGTACTCGGCACAGCAGAGGCAGCAGCAGGAGCAGGAGCAAAATCATCACCATCATCATCACCACCTCCACCACGGTGTCGGCCCCGTCGCGCAAGACCTCGTCGCGAACCAGACGCTGCTGCCCGTCTCGACCTCCTCCGACCCGTGTCCTCTCCCGACGCCGCCGATGACGACGCCCTCCTCCTCCTCCACGCACGACGGCCAGCAGTCGCTGCACCGCTTCTGGAACATTGGCTCCCAGCCCAGCTCCGGCACGTCGTCGCCCAGTCTCGCCGGTCCCCTCTGCGCCGCGCCGACGCCCACCGCCTGCGACGACTGCGGCGCTCCGCTGGCCGGCTCCGATGGTGCCGGCGACGACGGCATGGACCTGGACGGCAGCGCGGCGCAGGACACGGCGTGCGGCGCTTGCGGGAAGCACGTCTGCTTCAGCTGCTCGGTGAGCAACCTCGGCGAGGAGAAGCGCTGCCTGCAGTGCGCCGGCCGGAGGGTCTGGATCGGCGGCATTGGCTGGACGAATGCCGGCGTGTCGGTTTGCTAGGGCATGAAGTCAGCAAGGTAGTTTGTAATTTTCTCTAGGTCTTCATTGTCTTTAGTGAGGCGAGCCTTTGGAGAGCCTTTTCTTTGCTTTGGGTCAGCTGGCGTTTTGAGGGCTATGCGGTTGTCTATCATGTCTGCACGGCGATAATCATGAGGGAGCCCTTAGTTGGCTGCATACCTAGTGGTCGGCATAGTTAGCGGGCAATGTTGTACTCTGTGATATGGAATCTGAGTTTCCTTTGCATTTTGAATCGGCCTCATGTTGGTACTACGTAGTTGGTGGCTATCGCTTGACGTATCAAGCTCACTCATGCTCAGATATCAAGTTTATACGAAGCTCCGTAAAGAGCAGGAGTTGTATTGTAAAAGAGCTGTCATTAGATACATTAGGCCAAGCATTTCAGGCATTTCCGCCACTATTCCCCATTAATCTATTCCTCCGCCAGCATTATAATCCGGACCAATACACCAGAAGAAGAGAAAGAGAATGTAGAGAAACAGTCGTCTAGCCACGGCGCCGAGTGGTGGGGCCCTTCTTCGCAACAGAGGTCGAGCTTCCAGGGGCGTCGTGGGCCTCAACGGGGATGACCTCTCTCCGCTTGCCCCTGGCCTTGGCCGACGGAGCGTTCCAGTAGTAAATCATCTGCAGAGCGAGAATGGCGTTGAGCGCAAAGCCGGCGACGAAGCCGTACAGAATGAGCTTGTCGTCGACTTCCTGGATCGTGGTGAAGATGCGGGTCAGCGAACCGGCCAAGTAGTTGAAGACCTAGAACATTTGACAGCTGTTAGCGGGCGTGTAACTGTTGGACAGATGACAATGGCTAGAGACGAACCGTGAACGCGCTGAGCTGGCCGGTGCCGCCCTCCTTCCAGATGGCCAGGATCTGGGGAACCTTGCTGGCGACGCCAAGGATGCCGGCACCCGCTTGCAGGTAGCCCAAGGTCTGCATATCAATCGGGCTCTCCGTGAACAGGTTGAAGGCGCAGACGGCCAGCAGGGCGACGAAGATGGCGGCCGGGCCGGGCTGGCCGGAGTAGTTGAGCACGAGCATGCTGATGACAATGTTCTGGCCGAGGATAAAGGCCGTCTCGCCATAGGTGCTAAAAGGAAAACCGTTGCGCACGTTGTAGGCCAGCGAGATGAGGTACGCGCTCGTCTCCAGCGCGTACGACAGGAAGGACACGCCCTCGGCGGACTTGGACCGCAGCAGCTTGAGGATCTGCGGCACCTTGACGACGAGCGAGGCGCCGACGATGCCGATGCCCAGGCCCTTGCTGACGGCCAGCTTGAGGCATTCCGCGTTCTCGACGTCCACGTCGAGCAGCAGCGCCTTGTAGCAGGTGGCGCCCAGGATGGACACGCCGAGGTCCCGGATCGGGGCCGGCAGGTTCTGCGTGACGGGCTGGACGAGGGACCGAACGGCGTCCATGGCGTACGGAGAGCGAAGAAGCTGGTGCGAGGCTGAGGCGAGGGACGAGGCGGGACGAGGCGGTTTCGGGAGTGTCGTTGGTTGTTTGCGACAGAGAGGGAGCCCGAGTAAGAGGAAGGAAAAAGAAGCCGATATGGAAGATGGAGAAGGAAAAAAAAAGTTTCCCAGCGATAGTATGCGCCCTTCTTGCGCCTCTTGCGCCAACCTAGGTAGTTCCAAGTGGAGCTCGAGGAGTGTGTGTTAGCCTAAGTATGAATCTCTCACGGTGTCGCGCTGCAGTGCCAGAGATTGCAAGATGGTCGCAGCTCCAAGCTCCAAGCGTTGATGCCCTTCTTTTCTCCTTGTCTTCCGCCGATGCGGAATGCGACGCTTCGTGTCCGAGCCCCGGTCACTTCGGCTTCAGGCCAGATTGCGCTTGTGCCTGGATGACATCAGGCGATGGCGGGGAGGTGAACGCTCCGGGGTCTCTCTGCTGTGGCTCAGCGGTGAGGCTGGTGCTTGCTTGCCGGGTCATGGTTGTAAGACAAGGACAGACGCCTTGGAGCATTTTTGGTGGGAAAAGGGAAAAGGATCAAGGGAATAATATTAAACATGTACACTGAATATATTGAGAGACAAGTCTTCAAATGCTGTGTTGTGCATGCCCCCGAAGAAGTTCCAGGTGTGCGGCTCACCGCTGCCATTGTTCCTCCAGGTCGCCTTGCTGCCTGAGTCTCGCTCCAGAATCTGCCGATCTTATGGCGCTGGCAGTGGGCCCCGAGACAGCTGGAGGAGGCGATCAGCCGCCAAAAGAACAGCGGGCTTAGCGGGCGTGAGGGGCAGTTTGGAGGCGGGCAGCTGGGACCTGGAAGCTCTCCAGGGCTCCATTGGATCAAATCCACTGCGACTGCAGGACCTGGAGCTATGTACCTACTACAGTATTTGGAAGCATGGAAGCCAGGACTGGTGATAGGCAGGTAGGAGGTACCCGAACATTGCGGATATCGACTTGCAGTTCTCTTAGCTTTCCATTTCCTTCCACCTTCATGCAATGCGCCGTCTCTCCAATACTGAAGAAACATCACCATCACCGTCTCGTCGCCTCCTTTTACTTCTCTCCCCCCTGCTCAAGGATTGCTCGGTGACATCGTTTGCATGGACTGCAGACAACGGGACTTACAGCAGAAGCGCATGCGCCAGTCCATCTGCTGCACACCTCAGTCTGCCAGCTAATGGCACCACAAGCGATCAACCGCCTCGCCCCAACCACCGCACAGCAGCAGGCTACTCGTATGCACACTGCTATTAGTCGACATGCCTCGCCTGTGTCCATCGTCCAGCCACGCCAGGCTCGCACCACCTGCAGCCAACGACGCACGTGTCAGCCCGTGAGGGTCCGTGAGGGGCCGTTTGCGCCATTCGTGTCTGGTTCTCGTCTGGTCACCAGCAATCGATGCTCATCACGGGCCTTGTCAGTCGTTGGTCATACTCTGCAGCACTGCACTCTTTATTACTCGTACCATAGCCAGGACCCAAGGCTTCGATTTCCGTCTGCGTGGAATCCAATGACTGTCAGCATTTGCCTCTGCCTGGCCAGCCTCTGCAGAATACGCCAGCCTTCTTCTTCTTCTTTTCTATCAACTACTCATACCGACTCAGCCCAGCCTGTTTGCCCCTCTCGTGATTCTGCGTCTTCTCCGCCTGCTCGCTTGATCTATCGCTTGCCTTATTACTTGCCTGGGCTCGACCGTTGTGGTGTGGCGCACAGCTTGCTCTGCTAAGCTTGTTGGACCGCCTCTAGAATCTCGGCCACGGCCATAGCCTATTTAGCTATTTTGCTCCCCAGGCCCGGGCCCTGCCGCAGCTAGTGACATCAACCACCTTCGCCCACCCACCTTCTTCTTTCTTTGTCTCTCAGCTTCTGTTTTTTCGTTCCTGGATCGAGAAAAATAGGGGAAAGACCACGCCCACAGAGCCGACTTGGATGCGATCCCCTCACGCCACCAGTCGCCGTTCAGAATGGCCGTTCCGCGATCGAATGGCGCATCGCCAGCGGGGGACATTAGCTATGCCTACATGTTCGAGGCAGACAAGAGCCCGACGATGCAGTTCGATGCGCTGCTGAGAGCGATGGCGCGCTTTATCGTACGCCTCTCCAACCTGGCCCGACATGGACAAAAGACAACATGGCTGATGACAATCGACGTGACGACAGGTCACTGAGCTCGGCGATAGGAATGATGCCCATCTCAACCCCAAGAAGCTCGCTGCGTTCTACAAGGCCGTGGGCGGCGATTACGATTGTACGTCAAGTGGCACACGGGCAAAGACGGAACCGCGCATACATGTATTGACTCGCCCGCAACAGCACTCTTCCTGGAGACGCCGCACTCAGCCATCTCCTACATCTGGCAAGTGACGGGCTGCCAGCACAGTCTACAGCCCACCGATAACGACTTCGCACCGCCTTCTATCCCAACCCTGACCCCTCGAGGCTTCTCGCGATGGGAATCCATAGAGATCCTTCTCGAGCCCGAAATGCATGTCCCCTTCATTCAGTATGCCGTGAAGCACTGGGCCCTGAGGCATCCCGAGACGGGCCAGGCTTTCCCGCCCGACCTACCCGCCAGCGTCTTCCCCTCGGAGCCAGATCCCATGGTCGATCGTTGGCATAAACAATGCGCCGAGAAAATGCGCGATGAAGCCTCCAGGGAAGAGGAGGGAGCCAGCATACCCAGCTCCGGCTCTGCGCCCCGACCCCCGCCGTTTGCTGAACCTGCCGCGCCCAGGTTTGCCTACGTCCATACCGCGGATCCCTTCCGCTCGACTTCGCCGCGGGCGAGGGCTGCTGATCCAAACCAGTACGAAAGGTTCACTTATGTCCGTGTAGGCGAAAGCCATGGGGCTAATTTCGGCCAAAGGCCTTCGATGCGTTCGCCCGAACGCTCTCGCCGCCAGAGACCCGCCGACGACGCTGGGAGACGTCGAAGCTTTTCCGACTACGCTTCCACACGCCAGCCACACAGAGACTCCATCCGCCATAGTTATTCTGGCACCTATCTCAACCCTGACTCTACTCGAACAACGCCCAGCCGACCCAGCCAGCATCGTCGACATAGCCACTTCCAGCGGTACTCGTCCGATTCGTCTGGCGATGAATCTGTGGATGAGTCCATGCATACGAGAGCCAGGCGGCGACATCGCACCGGCTCGCCAACTACCCCCGGGGTTCGTCGCGTCGTCCCGCCGTCGTCATCGGGCCCTCCACCGCCGTCGGCAGGCTCCAGCGTTCCTTCTTTCCGGACCCATCGCAGCGACAGTCGGGCTGAAGAAGCAAGGAGAAGAGGTAGCCCCTTTGGGGGGTTCAGGGAGAAGCTCTCAGAGACCGTCTCCAACATTATCCCAGGCAGCCGCAACAGCTCAAGGGGACACAGCTCCGCCAACGACCCGATCCGTGTGCGCAGGAGCCGCGAACACATCCCCCCTTCACGGCTGAATCAAAACCACTCGGATCTTGCCTCGGACGGGCTGTCTGAAGGATCGAGCGAAGAGGAGCGCCGCCGCCGCCACCGACTGCATCAAGAGCGGGACCGCTACCGCGCCGACGAGGCTGACTCGGGCGGGCGCAGGGAGCGGCAACAGCATCCGCGCCGGCCAGAGTCTCAGCGGCGGACTAGCAGTCACGCCGATGCCGACAGACGACAGGGGCCGGGATGGGATGTGCGAGACAGAGATCGCATACGGGAGGAGAGGAAGAAGTGGGATAGGCGATCTGGGGAAGACGACCTGGGAGGCTCTGGAGCCATGCCCAACCGGCGATACCAGGAGTCTGCGTATACTTGAAGTACTTGTATATATGGGGGAAAAGGGCGCTGCTCTATTATCACGACGTTATAAAAAGACACGATTGTTCTTCCGGAGTTTAGCGAGTTGAGCTCTTTTTCTCTCGAGTTTCTTTCCTGGTTTTTGCTCTTTTTAAGTACACCATGTATAGCAGCTCATACCTAAGGTAGATACAGCGTTGCGTGTACACGAATCACGGCAACAATCAAAACGGCTTAAGCGTCTGGACTGGACGACCGGATGTTTGTAGACGAGCTTTTTTCCTCTGCCTCGTGATTTTTAATCGTCTCTTCATGTACCTCTGTAATGTCCGTTTCATGAGATCCAGCTGTGCATCCCGAGTCCCAATACCCCGTATTCCTTCTCTTATCATTCCATACCTACTGTAATGACTAGTACTATGTACGTTGAATGCCACATGCTAAGCGCAGAGGTCTGCATCCCGCCTATTCTGTGGCAGATGCAAACTCATCAATGCTCTTTACATTTAGAAGTGCCATTCCCCATTCTCTTCCCGTTGCTTGCAGGGCAATTGTGATCCACCGCCTCGATATCAGGGGAGGCGCGCATCTTGGACCAGACGGCTCAGCACAGCAGACGTGAGGAGAATGAGACAGCAGTCTCGAAAAGGAACAGCACTGATTAGCCTGCATCTGCCACAGATAGACGAAAGATTTGGCCAAGACGCTGCGACATGTGTAACCTCACATGCAGTGAAGGGGACCTCTGGCCTATTTGTTTCCCCTCCCTAAGCCAGCCAGTTGTGGTTTAAAATCTTCTTTTTCCTTACAATTGAGTCGCTCCTCCCTCTCACAGCCCGATTAGACGGACATGTTCATGGGAATCGACTTGTGGGGGTCGTATCCCTTGACGACAAAGTCCTCGACCTTCCAGCCATCGATGCTGCCGCCCTTTTCCCGCGCAATCTCCAGCTCGGGGAACGGCCGCGGCTCGCGCTCGAGCTGTGTCTGCAGGGCCTCGATGTGGTCGATGTAGACGTGCGCGTCTCCCATGACGTGGGTGAGGCTCCCCGGCACCAGATCGCACACGTGGGCGAGCATGTGCGTGAGCAGCGCGTAGCTCGCAATGTTGAAGGGGATGCCGAGCCCCATGTCGCAGGACCGCTGGTAGAGCTGGCAGTGGAGGTGACCCTTTGGCTTGTTCTCCTCCGAGGGCTCCGGGGCGTCGACGCCGCGGCCGCGGCCCGGGTACGAGACGTAGAACTGGGCGAACATGTGGCAGGGCGGGAGGGCCATCTTGTTGAAGTCGCGCGGGTTCCACGCGCTGAGTATCATCCGCCTGTCATACGGGTTGGTGCGCAGCTTGTGGACGATCTCGGCCAGCTGGTCGACGCCCTTGCCGGCGTAGTCGGTGTTGGCGTCGACGTACTCGGCGCCAAAGTGCCGCCACTGGAAGCCGTAGACGGGGCCCAGGTCGCCGACGTCGCGGTGCGCCAGGCCGACGCTGTCGAGGAACTCGCGGGAGCCGTTGCCGTCCCAGATCTTGACGCCGACGTCGCTGAGGGCCTTGGACGAGGTGTTGCCCTCGATGAACCAGAGGAGCTCGGCGACGACGGCGCGGAGGAAGACGCGCTTCGTGGTGAGGAGGGGGAGGATCGGCCGGCCGTTATCGTTGAGCTTGAACTTGAAGCTTGGAGGGGCGAAGATTGACAGGGTTCCTGTTCCTGTGCTGTGGGGGGAACTGGCTGTCAGTCGGATTTCTTGTTTGATCGATTAATGCATGCATGTCACCGGTGGCTTTACCGATCGGGTCTTCGCTCACCCTGGTCCAGGATCTCGCGGACCAGGTTGAGGTACTGGTACTCTTCGTGCTGTGACGTAGAACCCATGGTGTCTGCTGGGGCAACCTAGAAACGGCAAAAACAGGAAAGAAGAGAAAGAGCGCTTAGGAAGAGAGAGGGAGAGAGGGAAACGAGTGTACAAAGACCGGTCTCTGTCTTAAAGAGGAGGAGGAGGAGGAGGAGCACAAATGGAGGGGCAACGGGAAGCTGATGTGACACAAATCTGTGAGATAAACGCGCTGGAACGCGCTCATTCAATTAAAGATGGAAGGGCCACACGTGATCTCGCGCGTCTGTCCATCAAGGTCATTGCGCGCTAATCATGAAGGGAGGTACAGTTTCTACAATACAAAGCGTCATACATGTATAGATGTCCTCCAAATTCGATAATATCCAACATTTGCCTGTGCTGCCATAACAATGGGGAGTTGATGATTGCGAGATAGAACAAGTCTCGACTGCTCTCTTCGGACTCACGAATACGCCGCCCTTCAAACCTCAGCTCCTCGCCTGCTGCTCTGGTGCAAGGCATGCAAACGCAACCATGGTGGCCTGCTGGTCCCTGTAAGCCTCACGGGGATCTGGACCTGTCCACTCCCTGAACGCTGCGAATCCCGACTTTTCCAGGATTCTCCTGCTCCCCAGATTGTTCACGTCTACCACGGCAACCAGTCTCTCAAGGGCAAAGGAATCCTCGCTCTCCAACACTTGGGCATCCAAGGCTGTCGCGTCGACCTCAATCTCGGCCTCTCTGCGAGGCAACCCCCACCAGTTCTCGACAAAGGCAGTCAGGAATTCGGTGCCATATCCTTTCCCCCACGTCTCTGGTCTGAAGGAATAGCCAACTTCTGGCCATCCCAGGTTCCGTCCCGAGAGGCCGTGTAAGCCGCCCCTGCCAATCAAGTCGCCCGTGTCTCGCTGGAAGATGAGAAAGTAGTATGTCTTGCTGTCGTTGGGAGGGAGCAGCTCGTCCAGGCTCCTGCGAGTGTCTTCGAGTGTCTTGTCCGCGCCCTTTGAGGAATACTTCATGACTTCGGGCTGGATGCGGAGCGTGTGCAGAGCAGGCACGTCGGAGATGCGTGGTGCTCGGATGATGAGCCGGGGAGTGTGGATTTCATTGCGAGAGTCGATGGGCGGGAGGATGGGGAGCGTTGTCCGGATCTTGACTCGTTTCTGTTGCTCCATGTCCGCTTGAAGCAATGTGTTTGAAGTAGGCAAGTTAGTGTGGATGCAATCTTCTAGTGATACCTTAGATGCCATGGCAAGCTTATTCCTCAATCCGCACGATGAGTCAACAACTGCTAGCAAGCACATCATGAGACCTCCATTGCTTCTCCTTCCATCAGCTACCGTGCCTTCACAGTGGATCAAGGCGCCGAGATGTTCTAGCATCTGGACAATGTCATGCATGTCTCCTGTTTTATCTGCCTATGGTTCGAAAATTCACCATAACGGAAGCCTATGCGAATAATCACGCGCCGCGATCTTACTTAGGTAGACAGACCAAGATCCTTGTCCTTGAGTGCCTGATATTGTGACAAAAGGCAATGATACCGTCTTGGTCGCTCCTCAGGCACCAGTTCGCTGTGCCCAATGCTTACGCCTAATGGTGGTTCGTTGCAATCAGGTTGGCTTAGCAAGAGCCAAGGTGATGCTGACGCGAAACCCAAGAAAAAGCTATGGACCCGACTGGATGCCGTCTCAGGCACGCCCGGGTCGCACTTCTGTTTGCAGTCAAAGGCTGCAGGTGTGTAAGCTCCGCATATGAGGTGTCCAGTAAGAGACTGTCAGGAAGAGCACTGCATTCATTTGAGCTGCGTTACTCTCCATGTGATTGATGACTTTTGTAAGCACCCAGGTCACTTGTAAGAGGAAGACAGCCTCCGAAGACGAAGAATTACCAAAAAAAATTGAGGTGCGGTGGTTCTGCAAGCGACAGGCACAGATACAGGCACCCAGACCGGACCCAAAAGCGACCCGACGGGACACATTGAAGTCGACCTGACCTCGGGACCCCTACAGGGACCATTGCCCGCTAATTCGACAGCGCCAGGCTGCTGAAACCACCATCCCCTTCACTCTTAACCTCCACTGGAAACCTCCAGCTCGAGCTTCAATGCCCGCTCAACTGTGTAGGTTCAATGTTCCTTGTCACCGATCGAACAGCGCCCGTCACTCGCAGAAGCCAACCTGGCTTCATCACGACCAGATTGTACCGGCTGCTTCCAGCCAACTTCGCAACAACATTCTGTGTCGAGACCTTGTCCATACTGTACTGTGCTTGACAAACCGGCGGCAGCTTCTGCCTAACTGTTTAGGTGAGGTGGCGTCTGGTCCCTTGCCGCAGGAACAGCACAGGTGCCCTGACAGGACAGGACAGGACAGGACAGGCCCTAGGCAGCCTCATTTGATTGGCACCGGCGCCCTGCCCTTTGTTCTTCTTCCCCAACCTTCTCTTCCATTCCCCTGTACGGAGCGCTGCAGATTACATTACTATTACTACCGAGCATCGTGCACTTGTTATCCACTCGCTCGCTCGCTCACTCACTCATTCACCATTCACCACACAATCATTATATCTTGTACCTCACCTACCGCTTCCTCGACCTGAAAAACACCTCAAACGCCCGTATTCACTGTCCTCCACAGCGGCCAGACAACGTGACATCGCCGGCTGTGAAACGACTGTTGCGCCTTTTCTGCCTGCGGCTCGCCCGAGCGTCTTGTCTGGCCCTCGTTCGAAGATTCCAGGTCTCCCTGTCCCGTGCGTGGCCGCTCTCTCGGATCGACCCCAAAATAATCTCGGACAGGCATTGCCTTCATTCCTTGGCCGACTCCCAACCCGAGCCCGCCCGCGAGCCAGCCAATTTTTCTGTGACGAACTGGCTTTTCTCGCCTTCCCTGTGCAGACACACACGACAATCTCGTCCGACTTGGTCTTCTCTCCTTCAAACAAACCACTTCTTCTGGCCGCCCTCACTCAATCGTCAAATCTGTCCGTAATCGGCCGACAGCTTTCCAGGACCGTCTGGCAAACCTTCCCACACCCACGCCCGCTTTCGGCCGCCTCCATCAGACGACTGGCGACGCTCCTGACGGTTCGGCGCAATACGCACAAGGCCCTCGACCCGTGAATTGACACGACCACAGTTTGCTGCATCAGACACCGCTGCCATGAGGGGCCCGCCTATCGACCAGCTCGTGTACGAGCACATGTTTCCCAAGCCCAAGACTTTCGACCCCCAGGATTTCTCAGCGCTGCTTCAGCGCTGCCTCATCCCCGAAGTCCGCCAGGAGACGCACGCCTTCTACGGGCATCTCGACACGCAAGAAGCAAAGTATCCGGGGCTGGACTACACGCATCCGACCCACCGTATCCGACTCAGCCGGTGGCAGTGGCACCGTCGCCTTTTCCGAGCCTTTGACGCCCTGGGCCTCACGCACGCCGAAATCTCTTCTCTCACCAAGTGGGAGGGGACCAAGTGGGCCAAGGAGAAGTTTGAGGCCGAGCAAGGCATTGTGATTCGAGATACGGCAGCCGATGACCTACCCGACTGGACGGAGCCCGCTACCCGCCCGTCCACCCAGCCCGCGCGGACCGTTAGGATGAGCACCCTCGCTATGCCGAGCCTGGACGACGGCGGCGGCGACGACGACGACAATATGGACGTGGAAGAGAGCGACGAGGAGCTGGCGAGCGTCGGCGTGCCGCTCAACGAGCGTCTGCGCGCACAGGCGGCCAGGCGCGAGGCCGGTGACACCTCGGTCGTGTTGGACGAAGAATGGGAGCAGTGGCTCAAGAACGCGATTGATAGCGGCGAGCTGGCAGTCTTGACAGACAGAATGACGGCCGAGATGCTTGGCCAGTCCCGCTCGTCTAGCTCTGGGGCCCCCAACCCCCTTTCCGACGGCATGCTTCACAGGGCTCGCGCTGGCCAATGGTCGGAGATTCCCGAGATCCTCCAGCCCCTGCTTCGCCGCACAATTGACAACGAGAACTCCCTCCGTAGTGGGCAGATCTTGATTTCTGCGACGCGATCGACCCTGCAGTCAGGCCTCGGTCAATCCCCCTCGTCTCGACGGAACTATTCAAACCTTCGACTACCAGCAGGCGATGCTTCGGCCAGTCAGCCGGGGGCCCGGGCTGGAGGCGCGTGAAGATCGCCCCCTCGCGACCTGGTACCTGCGAGCTGACAGAACGACTTAAAGGCGCTCAGTTTTTTTTTCCCCTTGTTCATTAGACCTCTTGAAAACTGGCGATCTATAGATGTTTCCCCCTTGTTGTCCCTGCTGCTAACACCCGTCTTTCTCAGCGCTGTGGTCGCAGTTTCTGAGGGATGATGGTAGCGTTGTTTTATCCACTTTTGGCTGTCTTTCTTGGACTTCCCTTTCTCTTCTCTCGCTCGGAGTCTCGGCGGTTAAGCGCGTTTGATGTTTCACACTTTTTTTCGTTTGGTTCCTATAGCTTTTTGTCTGCTTTTCTTGTTTTGTGTCTCTGTGAGATGGTTATTTATTCTCTTCTATCGTTTTCTTGATTCCGGACTTGGGTCGGAATGCAATATTCATGTAGAGCTAGGTACGTAGGTAGAAAGGGGGAGGGAGTAGGGCCCGTGTCCCGACTCTGTTGCGAGGCGCTTTAGAAAAAGAAATGGAGAGAAGCGGCAAACATGCTTATGTCTTTAAGTGATGATGCTTGTGTCAGCAGAGGGTTCGATATTGAGATGGACATATCGTGTCATCCGTTCGTCAACGAGGCGGAAGACTATAATCGAATGTCACAAATACAGGATGAGGTTCATGAACACATGTGGCATGTGCCTCTTGTTGATTCTTGAAGTTATCTAAGTACCTAGTAGACTACGATGCGCTTCCTGTAGCGCTTCTGAGGCCTTATGGCACTCTTAGACATTATTCAGATCTAAAGCCTTGGTATAACGCAACGTATTGCATTCGTTGGAAAAGCTCCCCGTTAAAAAACGCTTCCCTTTAGGTCTGTGAAGCTCAAAGCATACAAGGAAAAGTAATCAGTCCAGAAACGCCCCATACCTGTGCCGGGACGCCATTGCTCTTTTCAAACTTCCAATTGAAAACCCAGATGTTGTAGGAAAAGCAAAGCGAGAAATGAGAACGAGAAAGCAGAGAAAAGGGAACAGATATACCACCAAACCCTTTCGTGACATGTAATCGTAGTGATAGATGCCGTATACGCAGAGACGATGATGAGTGTCTACTTCTCCGGCTCAAGATGCGACCATTCGGGCACGGCCTTGATCTGCTGCCACATGAACCGCTCGAGCTTGTTGGCCGACTTGGCATAGGGCGTGCTCTCGTTGTTGTACTTGCGGCAGTTGTCAAAGATGAGCTTGGCGTCCTTGATAAAGTCCTCGGGCGTGGCGTACTGGTCGGCCTCGAGCTTGCTCTCCATGGTGCTGAGGTCCATGGGCTCCTTGATCACGTCGTAGTAGTCGGCCACGTCGTCTCTATTGACGGGCACGAGGAACGGCCAGGCAGAGTTGTGGTTCTGGAGGTCGTTGAGCAGGTGGAGCAGCTGGTTGTAGTTGGGCCCGTGGCGTGGCTGGCGCGCCAGCTCGTCCATGTCGGGGGACCAGCCGGACGCGCGGATGGCGGGGATGTCGAGGGGGTTGATCGGGCGGATGCCGTTCTTCCACTCCTTGGGCGGCGGGTGGATGTTGTGCGACTTGGAGTACGCTCGAATCTTGGCCTGGACGCATTCCTTCTGCTTAAGGAGCATGCGGCCCATTTCCAGATATCGAATGCGCGGGAGCATGGAGCACTGCATGATGGTGCCGCCTTCGTAGTCTTTGATGTATCCCATCCAAACGTGCTTGGGCAAGGTGATTTCTTTAGTGAACCCTTGCTTCTTGAAATAGCCAATGGCATAGTTGTCGGCGTACGTCAAGAAATGCATGACGTCGCTGGTGGCCTTGACGTAGTCCTTCAGATGCGACATGAGATGCGCGCCGTAACCCTTGACTTGCTGGTCAGAACTAATGGCACAGAAGACGATTTCGGCAAACTGGCGCCCCTTGAAGGGCCGGTATGTGATGCCGCCGACGACCTCGAGCGGCTTCTTGACGATGGCAATGGAGAGGTGCGTTCGGTCGTAGACGAGTCGCGCGATGTAGTCCTTGGGCATCTTGGGGAGCTGCTTCTGGAAGATGCATTTGAGGCCGGTGAGGATGATGAGGGACTCGCGCTCGTTGTCGTTGTTGACCACGCGGAATTCGATTTCGCCATTGCGCTCTTCGATGACTGCCGGCTTGAGGGTAAAAGTCAGCATGAGAAGGGGGACCGATATGCGATCTGTCGAAGCAATTGCCGGGAAGGGGGGGAGAGGAATGGATCGCGTACCTTTTCGGGAAAGGGAATTGGCTTCATCTCGACGGGCTTCTGCTCTGTTGCCTCGGCGGCATCTTCGTCGTGCTTAACCCGCTTGGATGCGGCGGGAGAGACCGGATCGTCCTCGGCTTTGCGCTTGCCATCTGCGACGATGCGTTCAGTTGGTGTTGGCGGGCGTGCAATTGCAAGTAAACTGGACTGCAGGGGAGTCGCCTTACTCTCTTCCTTGACATCGGCCATGATGTCGGACTGCGCCGGTTCGGCTGGGCCGCGAGATGCAAATCGATGCGAAATGCCTTTGGGGTTGTGCAGTGTTGAGGATGTCATGTGTAGTGAAAGGTGGAATTAGGTGAGGTAGAGACGGTCGCAGTTGGTACATGTATGCAGTACGAGTACGAAGTCGCAGGCGTGACGTTTGACGCGGGTTCGAGAAAGTTCATGGTCCGAGCGTCGATTGCGCTGCCTTAGGTAAGCTGCTGTGGGGGAGGAGTTCCGAAAGCTGCAGGGACGGACTAGACCGGATATGGCTGCGTCTGTGGAGAGCGTTGCTTACATCATCCATCGCCCAGCCGCGAATTGCGCTAAGCCTGATCTGCCTAATCGGCCAGATATCCAACGTGGACAGCTGGAGGCATTGGGCGAGCTTCTCTCAAGCTCCAACAATCTCGCAATCACGGCGCGATTGATTGATTGATTGACTATCTAACAATTGTCCGACCCCCGACGAGTCGATCGCCTTCGAACTTCCTCCCTGCCATCGCTCGTGAGAACCAGCCTGGAGCCGCCGTCAATCGCTCGTTTGCACACGGAGCAGCACATGGATTCCTCACTGCACCAAGTCTGGCAAGCTGCTGCTGGCAGTCCGTTCGTCCCTGTCATTGCTAAGGAGAGCCAATTCACCGTCGCATTCCTGCTTCTCTCTCTGGGAATCGCCATTACCGGCGTATTTGCGCTGAGTGAGTCTTTGTGTATTCTGTGCGTGTGTTCAGCTTGGGGGCATACAACTAATCAAACATGCTCTGGCAGATCGTTCTCTGGTCAGCGTCGTTGCGCTCGGCGTTCCGGCCTCTTTAGCAGTTGCGTATGGCAAACCCTCGACGATGCGTGACTCAACTGATTGCCAAGCATGTGCTAACTCATCACAGCTTTGGAACAGTGTACATGTTCTGTGCGGTCGGAGTTTATGTCTAAGATACCCATTGTATACTAGTTGGCGAAAGAAAACCAGCCAAAAGAAGGCTTTTGGAGCGACTTGTTTTGTTCTTCTGTCGTTTCAAGTTGCCTTACGGCCCATAAGATCCGTTCACGCGAACCCATTCCCACTTCCTCCACCACTTGACCATCACCCGCTGTCCTACTTCAGCCATGGCTTCGGAAGCAAAGCCCATCTTTCGAGCAGTTTCAACATCTCCAAGGCCGTTATACCAGCTTCTTCGATGCATAGACTTTGCACAAAGGGTCCACGTGCAAATCACCGAGGATGGCATCCGCTTTGCGGCCGACAATTCGCGAGTAATGCAAGGTTTGAGAGCACGATTCTTCAACAATCGTAGAAGACTGAACTAACAGTGGACGCAGGGGTTGCATTTCTGGACAAGACTCTGTTTTCTGCGTACACCGTGAACTTTCCCATATCAGAAGATGGCGAGCCTGAATATCCCAACTTCCAAATCCCACTGTCGACATTTCTTGAGGTGCTGCAGATCTTTGGGTCTGTAGATGTGGCTGCTCGAGCTCAGAAGGCCGACCAAGACCCATATCGAAGTAACATACGCAACTACAGGCCAAGTGCGTTTAGCAACCAGACTCTTGGCATACCTGGAACCTGCACATTGTTATACGCGGAGGAGGGCGATGCCTTCAAAGTCACCCTCGAGGAATCCGGCATCAAGACGACCGCGGGACTGGCGACCTACCTCCCCGAGATGCCAGAAGACATTCCCTTTGACCGTAACGACTTGACGTTCAAGATCATCATGTCATCCCGCACCCTGTTTGACTGCATTGCCGAGATCATACCCGCGGGGCCCGTCAAGCTGAACATTGCAGCCACAAAGACGTCGCCGTTCCTGACCCTGTCCTGCGCTGGAGACATAGGCAGCTCCAGCGTGGACTTTGCACGAGGCAAAGACCTTCTCGAAACCTTTACCATCTCCGACCGCTGGTCGCAGGCATACAAGTTTGACTTTATCAGACACGCCAGCGAGGCGATGCGCATTGCAAGCAAAGTCAGTCTTCGAGGCGACAGCCAGGGCGTCTTGAGCCTGCAGTTCATGGTGGACGTCGAGGGAGGCAAGAGGAGCTTTTTGGACTTTCGGTTTGTTCCGTTTGCCACGCACGATGATGGAGATGAAGATGACGAGGTTGATTCGGAAGCATACGAGTAAGGCAAGGCAGGCAGTTACATATAGAGCAGAGCAATGGAATGATCCAAAGAGCCCATGACGATATCAGGTCTAGCCAGTTCCCTCTATGGCTCCCCTTCCCGGACTTTGTGCTTGCCGGAATGGCGCGGCGGCCGGGCTCCTCATGGCATGGCACCAGGGCCATTATGAAATGTGTGAGACATCAATTAAAGACCAAAAGGCCGCTGTTTCTCAGATACGTTGAGAATGCCTCCCTTGCGTCCAGATAACGAGCAAGCTCCACCCCATGTGTGAGACTTTGCAAAGCGAAATGAGGCGGTCGCCTAGGAGGTTGATGGAATGCATCTCGACTATTGTTGCTGAAGTGAGATGTCGGTTGTGATTGTTGCAGTATATAGAGCTCCGGCTCCATGAGAAGTGAGGTTTCTACTCCTCGTTATCATCCACATCTCTTCAAGGAACCTTTCACGAGATATCCTGAGACCTCTCTTCCTGCACTTCACAAGCCCTGGAAAGAAGCCTATCAACATTCATCCCTTTACTATTACTCTGGGTATCTCACACACATAATCTCTCTTTTATCCCACAATGTTTCATACAAAGGGCTTCCGAATCAGCTCCCAGCCCTCCCCCCTCCCGCCACCTCTCTTCTACACCCCCAAGCCGTCCACCTCATGGTACTCAGACGTCTTCGAGTCCATCAAGAGACTCTTCACCATGTGCTGCGGCCACCGAACAGCTTACAAGACGAGCGACGCGGCAGTCAGGATACTAGAGGAGGGAAAGAACAAGTACGAGGAGGACTGCGAGCCGCTGATTGAAGGCGGCGTGGAAGAGGCAGAGAAGAAGACGAAGAAGCTGGAGATGTCGAGGGTGACGTTTCCGAGGCATGCGGCTGCGTCGTTTCTGAAGACGGGGACGTCGAGGGGAATGATGGAGGCGAATTGGGTGTTGTGAGGCTTTCTGTTTTTGAAAGAGGGAGAAGTTGGAAGGGGGTTCTTGAATCGGTTATTCTGGGCAGGTTCATGGTTCTGGTGAAGCAAAGTTGCTGATATAGGCACGGCTTACACTACGGCTTGACATGGCTACTGCATGGATACTCATCAGGAGGCGTTGTCGTTTGATTATGGGTTAAGGAAGTAAGGATCGGATTCCCTCTGTGGCATTAATACTAAGACGTTAGTCACGGCGGCATGGCAAATCATTCGTATTATGGAAGTTGGAAAACAACAACAGCAGCAGCAGCATCTACAAGTCGTTCTGAGTAGACAAGTCGTTTTCGTCGACAAACACTCCATTACTGGAGTAGAAGGTGATCCCATCGTGAGCCCCAATATCACTTATATGTAGCTTCCCCGCAAAGACAGGTTTGCGTGTAACGTCGTCTGGGAAGGTGAGATGATATATTACATCAGGTACGTACATCTGCACGGCTCTACCATGACTACTAATGTACCTATCCAGGTAGGCAAAAAGAGACCTGATGCCTGTGACGTTTCAACGAAGTAAAGTGGTGGGCGTATGCTCGCAAGGCAGGTCCGAGAAACATCTTCTCTAGTGTAGTATCATCTCACAGGCAGGAAACGACAACAAGAAACACCAGACGTCTCGTGCTTGGAAATTCCTTGGCTTCCGTCGGCGAAACATGCGGGCGTTATAATTCTGGCTAAAGTGAGAAAACATCACGGAGGAAAAACTGGCTCTTTGATGCTTGTACCTAGTAGCTGCCTCTCTCGACAAGGGCAACATGCAAGATGACAGATGACTCGAGAGTTGGCCCGAAGCTACCGGGACGTTCTCGTCGACTGCAGGTTGTTTAGTATTATAGCCGTCTAGAAGAAGAGAAACCCCAGTCTTTTTGTTCCCCCTCCATGTTACAGTCTTGTGGATTTTCCAAATCTTTCTTTCGATCTTTTTTTTTTTTTTTTCTTTTTGCGAGACGGATGACGAGCTTGGACTCTTTGCATATCCTTTCCACCCCTGATGCAACCTGGCATCGTGAGAGCCTGCTTTGTGTGAATGCGCACGACATGGCATGCAATGCGATTATCAGACCACCTCGTGGCCGCCACCTAAAGGGACCGTGGACAGACTGCCATGTCCTGCCTTTTGAGGTGTTCCTCATCAAACCCTGGCCTGTTGGAATATAGGTACAGAGGTAGGTAATACCTGGCCAGACCATCGTCGGGTCCATGGTAGGTATCATGTGAGCAGATGTTTCATCCGTCAGCAAGCAGGGCGGAGGCCGGATCATGAATGTATTCTGGCTGCCTAGAAGGAGCTGATTCAGAGCCTGCGTTCGCCTGTGCAGCTGGCTAGTGATACATACGAGTAGCACTGCATGCATGTATGTACATCCTCTCTGGGTATGCACAGCTCGAAAGTCACAGGCAAAATCTGGCCCTTGTTTCTTGGATTCCCCCGTCTGCAGCCAACATGAACATGTTCACGCCCCGCCGAGGCCCCGATCGGCTGCTGGGAAGACGGAGCGTGGCAACGGGGCCAGCAAAGGTGTGTCGTGCTTTTGGGCTTCTTCTTTTTTGCCTGCCTCGGGATCTAGAACTTGGCTACGAATAATAGCCGCGTGGTTCCGTTACCTCTCGGCAGCTGGTGCCCAAGATGTGTTGTGGATTGTTAGCAGCATGTGGGCATACTAGTATGTACCTTACTGACTGACAAGGTGCTCCGTAAGGTGGGATCTGGACGTGAGGGGTAGCAGTTGGGCATGACATGACACCTACTGTCTCTGGTTAATCCTCTTATACTTGTACTGTAGATGACCTATAATAACTATTACTAAGGATATTCCTATGCACCATTACTGGCGGGCGGCGAGTAAGGTGAGATCAAATGAATGGATGGCTTGTTGAGTGAGACTTGCGTATGGCGTGAGCTCCATGTGACACAATAGGTAGTACCTAGGAAATCGAACTTGATTCTAGAAGTACAGCAAGAAAGGTCCAGACGGCGGTCCAGGCGATGCAGCCGTGTAAAATGAATGCTGAAATTGGCTGAATAGCTGAATAGCTGGCGGCAGTAAGTACAGAATATTGACAATAAATAGTTGGCTGTCTGGAGTCTGGATTGTCTGGTAATTAGGTAGTGTGGTGGTATTAGCGGAATCATGGGATCCAACAAGCCTGGACTCTTTTCTTGTCCGACAAGGATTCCTGGGTGGATGCCGATCCAAAGAACTCGCCCATGCTCCTTATCAGGTAGTGCGAGTACTAGTAGCAGCAGCAGCAAAAGCAGTAATACTCCGCACAAACGGACCAGGCAAGGTAGGTAGGTAGCACAGAGCAATACGTGCATGGCCAGATCGTACGTCGATGTAGGCAGTACTAGTACTACTACTCCGTGCTGAACATATCGTACTTTAACGCATGCTGTGGGCTTCCGAAGGATCCATTGTCCAATGCTGGATAAATGAACGGAGGCGACACACAGCGCAGCTTCTCCTCCCGGTCCTCCGAGGTGGCAAGCATGTTGATGCGGTGCGATGCGATGCGATGCCTGCTTCGGCACTGGCGGAAACCGCTGACGTCTGTCTGTCTGTCTGTCTTCTGTCTGTCTGTCTGATTGACTGGATCTCTTACATGCAATCTTAAAGCACAGGCAAGGGCTATTTTTATCCTTCTCGTCGTCGTCGTCGTCGTTGTTGTTGTTGTTGTTGCTTCGTTCTCAACCATTATTACTTCTGTTCGCCTTGAAGGGGGCATAATGTGGATGAGGCAAATACATGTACATACATACACTGCGACTCGCCCCGTGCCCCCGTATGGCAGGTCCTTGCGCTTCCATGCATGTCAGGGTTTCGATACGATACACCAGACAACGATACCGACAAGTCATGACGACGGTGTCTCGTCTCGTCTCGTCCCGTTCGTCCCGCCTCGTCTCGTCTTGTCTTGTCACTTTCCAAATCCCTCAATCGATGCTTGCTTGTCCTTTTTTTTTGACCAGCAAATGCCGAACATCGGGCTGTGTGCCATTCGAGGCCCTAGGAGAATAGCATCATAGCGTCTGGAGAAATGCCTAGTAGCCTAATGCAGCTAGGCCTTTGTTGGTCGCAGCGGACTTCACCGAGGCCAGAACGAGGATGAAAGACCCAAGATACCTACTATTGATGGATTGTATTATTTGATATCGCGGGGGGGAACAGCCATCAACCATCCACGGAGCGTAAATCGCTAGTGTCCTTAGCTGGGCGCCACCATCACAATAAGCCGGGATGGTCCGTGAAGGGGGGGGGGGAAGGGATCCAAGATCTGGGCTTGAGGAGGTAACACACGTAGGTACTAAAGTAGGTATGTACACTCTTGTCCGAGAACAAGCAGCTTGTATTCATGTTGAGTTTCATACCTAATAACCTAGTGCATTGGAACATAGATGCTGCAATCCTTCAGCCCTCTTGTCCAAGGCCCAGCAGCTCGCCATGAAGCCACGAGAAAATAGGAGCTTCATGAGGATGAACCAGGCGGAACCCACGCGCAGCGGTGGGCAGTTACAGAATGCTCCATACCTAGTACCTATCAGTGGGTAACCTGTACGTCCCCCGCGATGAGGCCGCTCGGCAATTTTGGCGGAGCACAGCGCTCTGTCCAAGTACCTCAGTACTCGTTCCTTCAATGGTAGCAGGTACCTACTAGTAGTACCTACCTTGCCTTCCATTACCTCAATGTGAGCTGGTGACAGTGGCATCGGCCCGTCCATCTCATCGGGTGAGCAGCTGGTCCAGCGATGCGCATGTTGTGTCGGGCTTCATCAGCGGGCATCATGTTCAAGTCAATGTTGCAGATGCGAGGAGGTGTGCTTGACACTGCCCAAATGATTTACCTCACCTGCCAAGGTATTAAAACCAAGGAGACAACAGGCGGAGAAGTGCAAGACTTACGGTGAAGAGATGCGTGCAGGTGCTAGCATTGTCTGTATGTACCTCCCTGGATACTTTTGGCGTCAACGATACATGCATGCATCTGGCCATGGCAATGTGTTGGGTCTCACGAAACTCCTTGATCAATGCCGCAATGTTTGAGGAAGCGTCTGTGGGTTGAAACTGGGCTATTATTAGAAGTGATGAGAGTGCTGAGAGTGTCAAGTCTCTGAGCTGAACTGGCAGCTGAAAGGAAGCTCTTTGCATCCTGATGTGAGAAGAAGCGTCTAAGCTGCTAGGTACATAGGTATGATCTCGTCATACAAGTCAAGGCTCCCTAGTACGTAGCGTTCTCACTGTCAATGCTGGGCCCTGCTCTGAGCAAAGCAAAGCAAAGCAAAGCACTGACTGGCAGATGGAATTCGACTCAGTGCCCTTGCCGCTCATTACTCGCCGCTCGGCATCGACGAGCATCAAGTTCTCTGCATCTTTCTGTCCTGCAACGCAGATGCGGGGCCTTTGGATACCTTGCCTGTGTCCTAGAAACGGTCCTTGTACGGGAGCAGTTACTGCCTCCGCACCCCGTACAAAGGCCATGCAGCGTCAACTCCATCGACTCGGCCCATGAACGATTCTCGGCGAGAACAAGAGACTCAACGTAGCAGCAGCTGACACCTTGGGGGCCCATCTGTGGGGAGAGGCCGGCATCTGAGCTGCTCCAGGTGCTTCTCGAGGGCGGTTTACGTACATTGCGCTAGGCCTCGCCAGGGATGGCCCGTCTGCTTTAGGGGCACCTCTGCAATGGCCGCCGTCGCTAACGAATCATCAGCGCCATTGCCGCCTAATACTCCGGATGTAGCCTGTACATAGGTATCTACTCGTGAGCCTGTACGCCTTGAATCCAAGATCCGTCGATGGATTCTATCCGGCTTGTGCAACGACTAGGTATTGTAGTGATATTGAACATCTGCTCACCACCAGCATCGTCGTCGAGACCGAGGAAAATTGGCCACCCTTAGGCCACCCCACCACAGCCGCGCCCAAAGAACTTCAATAGCTGAGCGGCGCAAGTGCCAAATACAGTTGATTTGGCAGTCGGAGGCAAAAGCAAGCTATCGGCTCCTGTCATCGGTGCTACCGCATGGCTAGCAGTACGTAGTAATAGTAGTGCTAGGTACATGTATTGCCTTGCGCTCGTGCTGATTACGAACACGAACATCTGGCCCTCGCAGTGGTGGATCGTGAGCCCGAGCTGAAGATGCATCGTCATCTGTACGGGCCTTGCAGTGCCTGTGCTGCAAATCTCCCTGATTAGCCAAATTGCAGGCAAGACAAAAGGGACGAAAAAGAAAGAGAAGAAACAAGAGTTGCGACCACTTGTCAGAAACTACTTCCCCGCTGGGACTGGTCCTGCGGGACAAAGGTCTCGGTTAGGCTTGGCCTTGCGTGCTAGGGCAGCGAGCAGCTCCGAGGTGGCTCCTGCCTGCCCTGTGCCTTACACTTTCCCCCCAACCAAGACGCCATCCCATCAGTCGCTCCAATGGCAGTCATTGGCTGCACCTGCCCCGGTTTAGCCCCGTCGGTCGGACTCTTCGTTTGTACCGGATACTTTGCGCCTGTCCGGCCACCTTTTTGCAACGTCTGCAAGGGAAGGAGCCTTCAAGACCAATGCACGCCGGGATTCAAAAGATGATGGACATGGCCATGGCATGACAAAGTACCTACTACGGTATACCTCCGCTCGTACTGTTCTTCGTACCTTCTGGATGGACTTGCCTCTTAAGTCAACTATCCCCACGCAAGTCGCGAAGCCTCGCTCCTGCACGTTTACATATACTTTCCCTTATCTGCTGCTATATCCATCGCCCCAGACCTTTCCCTTCCGTCTCGGAGGCCCATTTTCCTTCCTTTCCCTGCCTCTTCCTCGTCCTCTTCCTCTTCTTCCTCTTCTTCTCCTTGCTCCTCCTGGCCGGCCGATGCCGCCAACAAGGTCAAACGCCATCAGATCTTTTAGCCTTCCCTAGTTCGCTGCTCATCGCCCCCAACAGCTGCACGAGTCAACAAGTCGTCGGAAAAAGCAAGCAAGAAAGAGCGAGCACGCACCAGAGCAAACGAAGCAAACCGACGACCGCCTCATTTTTGCACGCCCGACCAACACAGAGATCACTTTCTTGGTGATACTACCATGCCTACCCACAGCTCCACCCTTCCTATCGCCTGCGCCTGGTAGGACGTTGGAACCTTCTGCGCAATCCCGCTCGGTCATCGCCTCTACATTATCCAGTCTTGGTCGCCGGTCTTTTGTTCTTTTCTTCTTCTTTGATACCCTGCGCAGTTGGCTTTTGCGCAACTATTTATATACACCAGCATTCGTCTCAACCGGCTCAATCCGTCGACAGGTGTTTGCTTCTGAAAAAATGACGAGGTTAACCAAGCGGCTCGACTTCCAGAAGGAGTCGGGCGGGTTAGGATTGCTTCGTTCACACTCACGCGCCAAGTCCGGCGATGCAGTCAAGGCCGATGGATCCTTAGCCGAGCCAGAGGACGCGGCGAAGGACAAGAAGGAAAGGTCACGGTCATGGTTTTCTCCCCATAGGAGAAAGGATTCGGTCGCCTCGACTATTCTACGAAGCACAAAGAGCCTTCGCCGCCTTTCCGCAGTCTCATCATCGGCCTCATCTCAACCCGCGCTGTCGACTCCAACCACCCCATCCTTTTCGCGAGGCAGCTACGAGAGTGATGCAGCCTTTCATCACAGGAAGCTCTCTTCTGTTGGTAGCGGTGATGCGACGAGACCTGGAATGATGGCGGAAACTGCTCCAACAGACCCGCCTTCGATTCCTTATCCCCCACACCGACCAGAGCGGCCGCAAGAGGATCTCTTTGAGGGCACGGTGCTCGAGAAGGCCAACCCGCCCAGTCACCGCCACAGTCGGAGCCGTAGCATACTGCGACAGTTCTCGCCCTTTCCTGGCCCTTCTATCAAGGACATGCGACGCTCCAGCCAACAGTCTGAACACACGCTGCAGACAAACATTGTGACAACGGCCGCCGCCCTCACTGCAGCCAATCAGCCTTCGCCAGATACCGATCAGGCGCACAATCCCGCAGATGCAGGGACAGACGCAGCTTCGTGCAATGCACCTGTGTATGAATCGCCCGCAACTGGACCTGGTGTTCCCAAACGTCGCTCCGGCTACTGGATTCACAGCCACGGAACAGAATGCGGCGTGACACGCAAAGCATCTATTGCCAGTTCCTTTCATTTCCCTGTGCATAGGCGGCCAAGTCAAGTGACGGCTGAGATCGAGTCACGCAAGCATGCACGGTCTTCTCGGTGGACCTTGACGGAGAACATGGCCGAGATGTTCAAGTCGCAACACATCAAGACGGACAAGCAGCCTTTGAGCCCAGCCCAAATCGAAGCAATCTGGAATGGCCAAGACAACGGCAAGAAGTCGCCCAAACGGAAGAGCAAAGACAGACGGAAGAAGGCAGCATCAGACATGTCTGCAAGCATGCCACGTCAGTTTGGAGGACCACTTGCTGAACAACAAAGCCCATTGTTCCGTGACTCATTCCAGTGGCCCGACAGAGGGACCACGCCTATTCCCATGAGCAGGGCTGACATTAAAAAGAGAGCCCTTCCGTTTGAGATCACGGTGCCGCCGCCGCCGTCCACCATCCTTGTCTCCCCAGAGATCATACACGGTGACGTTTCACCAAAGTCGCCGTCCAAGATTGACAGGAGACAGCTCGGACAGTTGCCATTGCCACAGGTGGTACTGTATCAAGCCGAGGAGGAGGAAGAGGCCGTCGTTGAAGACGACGACTCGTCTTCCACCAGATCAGTGCTGCCTGTAGTGCCACCCAAGAATCCGGCGAGGTTTGCTGTCAGAGCCCCAACAATGCCGCTCCTACCTCCCATCCCGGAGGGCTTCCGATCTGCCACGGGCAGCAATAGGAGCTCAGGCATATCCGGCCACCGCCGAAGTCGCAGCATGAACAATGCACTGGAAGTGAAAGACGAGACTGTTCAGTTCAACAGCACCCCCTTCTCCATGACTACTCCCCCTTTCCGACACGGCCCAATTGTCTTGAGTGACACTGGTAGCCGCAGCTCGGTGGCAACTGTGGAAGCGACGGAAGACGAGCATCCTGTTGACTGGACGGCCTTCCAGACGGCCATACTGGGCGGCGCCAGCGCAGACTTGGACGGCCTGTTTCCGGAAGAGGTTGCGCAACCAGATGAAGAGGAGGGCCATCTGGCTGAGGACGTGACAACCTGGTTCGAGGGTTTCGGTTTTGAAACACATGGCGAGCTCATCGCCTCAGACAAGTCATCGCAGCAGAAGTCTGAGCGGTCGGCCCAACGAGATTCTTCGGGTAGCATGACCTCGGCGGCATCAACGCCTTCCACGGTGCAGACAGATGCTGAAGCGGAGCTGCAGACGCCCGTGAGCGCTCAACCGCAGCACCACATATTTGATACCATCCGGCAGCTCCGCGATGGCTGCGAGAGCATGTACAGTGCCAGCATCTACACAACCGACAGCACGGACGGTCCATGGGTGCCGGCAGATGACGAGATGGGCCATGAGGAAGTCGGCCGTCTGCCGACCCCATCTGGGGGCTCAAAGCAAGTTATGGAACATGGACTTGAAGCTTTCCTTGGGTTCAAGATTGATGACGCTTATTAAAGTGTCGAGTACGATTCATTTGATTGGCTTTCGTTTGGGATTTTCCTTATCTATTTGGGTATCATCTTGCATGATGAGATGGCTTGGGATATCACGGGATCACGTGCCAAATGCCGCATTTCATTTCCTTTGTCACCATATACCATGGCAGGAAGTCGGAAGAGGAGAGCTGAGTCGGTCTTTATGGATGCAGATACCAGTTGTTGAATGATACCACAACGCGAAGAGCGATGATTTGTCTATGCGACCTGTATTAATATCGATGATGTGCAAGTACGACAACTTGGCCATTTCATTATTGTAACAGTATAGAGATGTAATAACTGTAATTGTAATAGTAATAGAAATTGATATAGAAATAGAACTGCTATCTGGTACTAGGTATTTGTCTTGTGTGTGTGTATCGCTGAAGTCTATCGTGTGAGTTTTTGGTGTCTCATACAAAAGAGGCAGTCACGCTTAGCCCCCACCCTGGCTTGCGACTTGCCGCAGAGCATTTCTTGGCGGGCCATTGCCCTTTTAGCTCCAGATCTCTTGGATCTCACTCAGCTCAACCTGTCTTTCATACTACAATCATCAACACCACGAACAAAGTCGCGCCTCGGCAGCCCCGTGATACACATTCGACTTTGGCTGGATAAAATCACAAGCGCAGATTCCACATAGAGCCCTGTCTAACTTTGCTCTAACCGCATATTTTCTACGTCTCATAAAGGGCTCTAGTCGAGGAAGTCAGAAGACACAAGTAAAGTCCCGCGTCTCCTTGGCGAAAACAGCAATCATATACAATTTGTTGTAATCGAGGCCCTCGTCATCAGAATCCCACAAGAAAATCAAGTCTTTATCAGACATTCGGAGCTTGAGAACACGCCGCCTTCAACCACCGGAGACTTTTTCTCCTTTCTACAAATCTCTTCAGCGACTCAAAAGAGAAACACATCTCCCGTCACTGCTGGTTTTCGCGGCGGTTCTCGAAACAAGCGAGAGAGCCACACAACGCCACCAGAAGAAGAAGAAACACCAGCCAACCAAGAAGGAGGGGAAGAGAGAGAGAGAGAGAGAGACGATATAAGAGATTTTATTTCTTGAAGAAAAAGGATACAGTTACAGATATGCTTCGCCGGCCGCCGACGACGTTGCAAATCACGGCCGAGGACATTGCCTCGTACGAAGACCGGCGCGCGAGCGAGGCGCTTCGGGCGGCGCAGCAGGCTCACGCGGCGGAGGTTGCGGCTCGGGCTACAACAACAACGACAACGAGCGCCGCGGCCAAGGGCGCTGGTGGTTCTGGTGAGGGGAGTACCGCTGCTGCTGCTGCGGGAGGAGGAGAGGCGGCGACGCAGCAGACTACGGCGGCGATGGGGGATCTGGGGTTGGGACAGGGGCAGCAGGGGATGGAGGGCGTGCAGGAGGGGAGGGAGGGGAGGGCGAGGAGGGCGAGGGAGGAGAGGATTGGGGTTGGGCGGAGGGCGAGGTGATGGGAGCGCGCAAATGAACGGATGAGCTGGAAAGGTTCGCCTTTGATTGGCCTCGTTGTCGTTTGTTCCGACTGCTTACACACAAAGATAATTGATGCTGCAATTATGGTACAGTTTTGGAACTGAATGCTTGGTATCAACCTGTTCTAGCCATCGCCCTGATGCTGCTGCTGCTGATGATGATGATGATGATGTATCTTCCGCCCTTTGCCCATTTACCAGCGTACTTTTGCAGTGTTTTGTCATTTCCCCCACCAAATATTTAAATAAGTCAAGTAGCATCTACAGCCCCCCGATTCATATACAAAACACCCCAAGGTAAAGAAAACAGAAAAGAAACACCACTCGTTCAAGTCTAATATGTTGCCAGTCGAAGGAGCAAGAGAAGACGAGGAAAGGAAGGGCAGCTCCTTTAACCATTCCGTATCAGATAGATCCAGATGAGCACCGAGATCCAAGTCACCCTCCACGTCGTAGTCCACATCTCCGTGGCCATGACCTTGAAGGAGAACCTATCTCCGCGGGTCGTCGTCGTCTTCCACGCCTTGCCGCCGTCGTAGTAGTCCTCGTTGATGGTGATGCGTGGCCCCCTGGACCCGTCGGTGCTCCATCGATGCCTGTGCTTGCCCTTCTTACCGGCCCAGCGCGTGCTACCGCCGCCGCCGCCGTTGCTCGTGCCGGACGAGGATGTGATGGGTGGTTCGATCTTATCTTTGTAGATGGGGAGGGAGGCGCCGCCTCGTTCGGGCGGCAGGGCAAACGGCGTGAGGCGGAGGACGGGGACGAAGAAGGCCCTGACGGCGAGGATGATGAGAGAGAAGATGGTGAAGGCGATGTAGTTCATGTACTTGGAGAGCTGGTTTGGGAGCAGGCAGAGATGAGTCTGCACCGTCTGCTCGGGCGCGCCGGGTAGGGGCTTGCCGTCCTTGTCGATTGGGTTCCATAGGCTGACCATGAGGAAGCCCGGGGTCGGCACTCCCTGCGTCATGCTCATGGTCTTGACGGTAATTTCGCGCACGTTCTCTTTCGAGTCGGAGTGCACGAGCTCGCAGTAATCGTGGTCGTCGCCTGAAAAGACGTGGACCACGTTGCCGACGCTCTTGACGAGCCTGACGGAGTCTTCTTCCGACAGCACGTTCTGATACTGGTATCCAGCCACCACTGATATAGCATTGGCGGGATCCTTCTCGTTGGATCCCTTCTTCTGCGGCCAGTGCTCACGCTGCGGGCCGCAGGGCGTTGCAGGCTCGCGATACAGAGGAACGTGAGTGAGGAGAAGCGTGGGGAAGTCGGCAGCCCCCGGCCCGGGGTCTCTCGGCCACCGGGTCAAGTCCGCCTTGTCCAGGTCCTCAACGTTGTGCTTGTGCTTGATGCCGCGCTCAATGCCGTACCAGAAGCCGAGCTCGTTCTGCGCCATCTTTCGCTTTGTGGCTTGGACGCCATCCAGGAACTCGTGGACGGGGCCGTAGATGGCTGACAGATCGTGCTCGGCTCTCTGCGCAGATGTCCCGGCGCTCAGGGACACGGAGTCGACCGAGACGACGGTGTGGTTCCCTATGACATCAACCCGGTTCCCTTCTCCAAAATAGGCCTGAAAACGATCTCGGACAGGCAGCTGGACCATGGCGCCGAAGCCGATGTCGTGGTTGCCGGGCAAGCTCGCCACCAGCTTGCGGCCTCTCTGCCAGGGGCCCGGCTTGCTGCCGGCGTCGTTCCAGGGGGCGAAGAAGATGTTGCCGAAGCGCTGGTACTCGCGCAGCCAGAAGTCGTCGCCGTACTTGCGGTGCCACGTCTTGACCCAGCGCTGCTCCTTGGCCGTGCGCCCGCGGGACCCCCATTTGGGGTCGACGAAGTGGCCCTGCCTCGTCTTCCACTCGCGCCCGCCCTCGAGCATGTCGCCCAGGAAGAAGAGGCTGTCCGGGTGCAGCTGGTGCAGCAGCGCGTGGTAGCCCTGCTTGAGGTATCGGTCCGTGACGGCGACGACGGTGGCCAGCACCGGCGAGGGCCAGTCGGGGTTTGTGTGAGGGTCGAGGATCTGCGGGTCGGCGATGAGGACGAGGTGATGGGGGGTCGCATCTTTGGGCTGTTGTTGTCGTGTTTTGTTCGGCATTGATTAGTCTCGTCACTTTCTCTCTCTCTCTCTCTCTCTTCCTTTAGGTGATATATCCAAGACATGTCGTTCCGTAGCAACTCACCCACTTCTCCCAGTTCTTCCAGTCGCAGACGCTGACATGGCTCGTAAAGATCCAGCGCTCGCCCCAGAGCAGCAGCAGCATCCAGAAAAAGGCCAGCAGGTGCGGGAAGCTCAGCAGCCTCCTAGCCGTCAGGTTCCGCCTGACCTGGCGCATCACCACCGCGGCGGCGACGGCGGCCTTGTGCATGCCCGGGCCCTTGATCCATTGCCACAGCAGACTCAGCAGGCTCGCGAGGCCCCTGTATATCTCCTCGGCCACCGAGAGGTCGGAAGGGGGCATCTTGAGGCCCAATTGCTGGCCGGGGCCCTTCGCCTCGCGCTTCGGATTTCAATGGTTCGATGGGCGGGTTGTCGACGAACGGTGTTTGGTGTTGCGAATCGTTTGAGGAGGGGGAGGTTGGAGTGGTGGGATAGTATGGATATCTGGCAGAAAGCAATGAGCTCCCCCGTTGTTGTTAGACCAGCACAGATGAATAATGACAGCACACTTTCGGGTGTTTCTGCTTGTTCCCTATTTGGGGGGGAGGTCGTCGAAGGGACAGCTGAAATGACCAGGGTCTGTCTGTCCTTGTCTGTCCGTCTGTCTGTGCTGTGTTTGGACCCCGGACAGGAAAGGGAACCTGGAACTGAAGAAGGGAAAACAAACGACAATAAAGAAGTGCGTCGCTTTGGCCCAGGCAATCACTCAATGCAGAGCCTGCATGTCAAGCATAGCATTCATGTTAGAAAGGGCGAGGCAAGGCTGCAGAAAAAGAAGAGCAAAGGCAATCAATGACGATGCTGCGCAAGAGGAAGATGAGAGGGATTGGATGCCCAAAGTTCATGTACAAGGACGGAGATGCTACATGTACCGAGTACTCGTGTGCAACTGGATCCATGCTGTGGGGGAATCAATCTGCCCCGAGGCACAGCGAGTTCCAGGCCTTGTGGCGGGGTCGCTGGAACTCCATCCCCTAATCTTCTAGGCGCAGTCCCGCTGGAGCCACCACTAACAGCAGTGGCTTTTGGGGCTTCGTGTTGAGACGGGGCAGAGTACATACAGAGTGCAGTGCTTCTTTGCTTTGGCCAGAGTGCGAGGAGAATTCGGCTTTTGGGGCAGTTTCAAAGATGAGCCAGCCATAGGGATCAAAGTCAAGACTTCATAATTAATGCATTGGCCATGCATTTTGACCGTGTCCAACATGGCGGCAATCCTGGCAAGAAATCTATATACATATCTAACGAAGCACCCAGCATCCACAAGCCCGCTTGGCTAAGCGGTATAGCGTGTCACTAGTAAAATACTTGACATGACAAGGTGATCAGTTCGACTCTGATAGTGGGCATTTCTTTTTTACTTCTTTTTCTCTTGATCCTCACGATCACTTCAACTCCTTTTTTTTTCCTCATCCTCTCGTTTCAAATCATTCATATGATGATTTAGAACTCCATAGCTCGAGATAGCTTTCTCATGTATCTCACTCGCCATCGGCACTGAGCTGGTATCAATCAAGCCCTTAGATTCGACTCATCCTCCGTATATGGAGTTCTGTACTATCATGTCCGTATATCCAAGTATTCACAAACAGCCTGTATCCAAGAAAACTCCAAATGGCCCGTCAACAGACGACGACGTTGAGAACCACCACCAGACCTATGAAGTAAAGAAACATGCCAAGAAGGGTAATTACAAGTTGTATACGCATCTTCTCCTGTCAACATATTCCCCAAATGTGCGGTATAAAAGACAATTTGCAGTGCATATATACCACCTTAATATCTGTCGTCGTCCAACTCTTCATCATCGTATCCCATCTCCTCTGCTGGCTCCGGCTCCGGCTCCGGATCCCCCAAAGGGGCCTTTTGCTTCTTCCTGAAGCTGAACAACTTCCTAATGCCCGTCGGCTCCGCCGTCGCAAACAAGTCGTCTTTGGACGAGGGCTCATAAAACAGCTTGGGCACCAGGATGCGATACGGCACAGTAATGCCCATGGGGTCCTTGGAGTTGACTTCCATGTTCAGCGAGATATCCAGGCCGCCTTCCAGGTTGACCTCGAATTTCTCAGCGTCCTTGACGTCCTTTAATGACAAGCCCGTGGGTGCTCGATGGTATGGACGGCCTGACGGGCTGATCACCTCGTGGCTACCAGCAGGCCCGGCGTGGTAGTTGATCGTCTGTGCGCGTCGAGGCGTTTGTGCCGTAAAGTAGGCCTCGTCACCCGCCGAAAACTCCTCGAGATCGCTGCCGCCGCCACCACGGAGGCCCGAAGCACGAGGCTGGCCCTGCGCGCGATGGTCCATGTATCCACTATCAAATTCGCCGCTCCATTGGCCGCTCATGTTTCCGTCGTCGAACCGGCCCTGGCTGCCGTGCTGTCCATGATGCACAAAGTCATCCCTGTGCTGCGCAGCCTCTCCGCGGCCAAGTGACATTGTTCGAGTCACACCACCCCCAGGTCGTTGTTGATCAACCGAGCCCCGTCGTGAAAAGTTCCTGAAGAGGCCTCCTGCTCCGGAAATTGGAGGCCGAGGTCCTCGCACAGATTCCCGTGAGACATCGAAAGGTTGTTGCGAAGTAGACTTGCGCCGCCTCGAGGAAAGTCTCCTGAGCAAGCTGCCGCCTCCCGGGCTTCGACTCCGCCCTCGGTCGGACGGCGGCGGCGATGGCGGCGGCGTGGTTCCTGGCGCCCACATGCGGATAGAGCACCAGTTGCGGTGAGGGAGAAGATTCTTGTTGTTTCTCGGCTTGCCATCAACGCCAGTCTGGAAGATTGGGATCATGGCCTCATCGGTCTCCTTGTCAAAGTGGTGGACCTTGTTGCGCTTGTTGAGCAAGTCGGCAACAATGTCTGGTGGCGGGTGATTGACAATGGCCGAGGACACAATGTTGGGCATGTATCTCGGGTCCTTGTGCTTCGGTAGACCAAGCTTGGGGTTGGAATAGAACTGACCAATGGCCCCGAGGTGCACGTCGCCGCTCAAGATTGTGATTCGCACAGATCGGTCAATAGCCAGATCTTGCAGATCCTCAATGATGATAGTGCGCTCCTTCTTGTGATTCTTCGCCGTCCAGTGGTCATTCAGGTCGTCAAGGATCTCGTAGCCACCGTTAAGGTTGTTCAGGTGTTTGCCGAGCACTCCTGTCTTGCCAAGCGCCTTGACCGGGCTCATCAACTTCGAGGTCAATCTACATATGTTAGTATGAAAACAGGCAGCTGAGATTCGATTTCGGGGTTTAGAACCGGTCACTTACATATTCTCCAACCAGACCAGACGGGGATATGCAATGGGAACCCCCAGCAGCACAAGCAGGTGCTCAACCTGTCCCCGCCTGACCTCGGCATACAGCCTACTGATAATCTTCTCCCAAGTCTTCTCATCCAAGACTACATGCTCGGTTCTCTCCGTACGACAGTCAACGGCAAGCAGAGCAACCTTGCCGCCCATTGACATGTAGAGGCTGCGGCTGACCTCCTGAATGTACGGGCCTGGCTGCTCACCCAGGATCCAGCTAGGCTCGCTCGCTTCCGTCTCCGGCACAATGCTCTGATGCTGGAAGAGCAGGTAGTATTTGAAGGCAACGCGTCCCAGTCCAGAAAACACGGGCGAGCTCATGTCCATATGAGCGTAGGAACCGTATCCATCAAACACGTCGTGGTCATCGTACATGTTGACCATGGGGATCTGTGAGGTGGCCAGGCCGAACATGCCTTGCGAGAACCAGGTGCAGTATCGTTCCAGATAGAAGCGCTCCAGCTCAGCCTGCAACTCGGGCGTAAAGGCCGCGTTGAGCTTCTTTTCCGCAACGTTGATCTGCAGCCACTCGTCAAAGAGCGGGCTATCGAAGGCCACGCAATCGTTGTAAATCTGGTCACCTCCGCCAATCATGGCATGGAACGGTCGTGTCTGGTGCGAGTTCAGGACGTCGCGCCACATGGGATCAGGACCGCAGAGCTCGTTTGAGTTGACGCTGATGCTGAAGCCATTGCACGTGTAGAACATCATGTTCATGGTTTGTCCGCGCGCAGGCACCCAGAAGGCCATCGCCGGACCACGATTGATGCGGTATGCAATCCGCTGTTGCTGCTCCCGCAGTTCAACCTCAATGTTGAACCGCCAGAACGTGCTGCCCTGTTCGGCATGAAGACGGAAGCCCCTCACATCCTTGTACTTCTGCATCTTCTCTCCGTCGATATCAACACGTCCTCGGCGGCTCGCAAAGGACCCTGGATAGTCTTTGAGGCCCTGAGCCAAAGGCTCGTCCGGCAGACTCCGTGTCTTTTCAAACAAACCATCCTCAGACTCGTCGTGCGATAGGTCTCTCCCTTCTTCGAGGTGGTCCACTGGCCGAACGTATAGCGTCTCACCACGGCGGCCCAACTTGGGATGCCCGGCGATGGGGTCCACGTACTCGGGCGAAAGCTCGCCGTCGACATGGTGTGGAGGAGGAGGCAACAGTTCGATGTCCTGCACAAACAGGCGGAGTGTCGGCGCGATTTCATAGGAAGACTCGGCGTCATTGGTGACGATCATGACGCTTCCTCTCCAGATCTCACGATCTTCCACGACATTCGGCCCTCGGGGCCGAGGCGGGAGCTTCTCGTGGCGCAGACCACAGTATCTCAGCAGCGGGCCGCACTTGAGGTACAGCGGCGGCTTGAATCGAGTCGGTGCGCCATTGGTATCATCATACTCACCATCGAATGCTTCGGCCCTGCGCGGCCTCGTCGCGCTGCTGACCCTTCTGTGGTGGCCCCCTTGCTCCCTATCTAGCCAAGCGTCATTCTTCTCTGCCAGTCCAGCTGGCTTATTGCCAGTCAGGTCGAGCAGGGTGCCTGATAGGGTGCCGACAGTGCTCTTCTTCCATTCATCCAGCCATTGTGGGGAGCTGTAGAGACCGTCGCCAGGGCGCATCTCCTCTGGATTCTTGAACACCAGTCTTGACTCGGGGCGTTCAAAGGGCTCTGGCGACTCCTGTAGCATACGGTCCTGTGGCGCGCGCATTGCCTGAGGTTCCTGCGGCATGTGCAACATACGCGGTTCCTGTGGTTCCTGCGGCTCCTGTGTATCCTTGATTAGATCATGGCCCGTCTGATCTTCCAAGCTCTTTACTGCTGAATTCGGCTGCGGGAAGCGTCCTCGGGCTTTTTGACTCGCCTCGTAAATGATTCTGCCAATGGCAGCCGCGGGGGCATAGTCTGCATTCAGCCCTCGCTCTTCCCGAGCATAGACGGGCTCTGTGGCTCGCCGCTGCATGGCTTCGATCTCAGCCTCGGCAGCAGATTGGGGAGCCCTCTTCACTTCCGGTCGAACATTGCTCTCATCCTTCATTACAAGGGGAAGTGGTGGAAGCTCCTTGCTGCGCGGTTGCGCAGCTGCTGGTGGCGCTCCCGTTGCGGCTTGGGGAGACCGAGCCGGGTCCTTGTATTGAGTCTGGACAAGCTGAACCTGCGCAGCTGGCGCTCGTCGCTCGGCGTCAGAGCGAATACGATGCCAAACTTCCTCCGGAGGCTCTTTTCTCAATTTGTTGCTTCCGCTACGCGTCAAGGAGAAGCCGCTCGATTCCTTTGCGGACTGGTTCGCGTCTGCATCATGCGGCCTGCCTTCACGAGAAACGTCGCGTTCCCGGAAGCTGAGATTGCGCTTGGGAACTTCCGCTGCCGGGATGAATGCCCGCTGGTCCATACTAGCAGCCCGAGAGTGGTGAGGAGCCTCTTGGCTGGCGTAACGACGTTGGTCGTCAAATCGCGGTCCCTCTTGCGGGTATCTGCGCTGTTCGTCCCGTATAGGTGGTTGAGGTAGCTGTCTTGGTTGATGGCCTTCACGTACAGGAGGCTGGGGCAATTGCCTCGGCTGCTGGTCCTCGCGTACCGGGGGTTGAGGCAGCTGCCTGGGTTGCTGACGGGGAACATCTTGATTCTGGCGGTAATATTGGTCTTCGACGACTCGTTGTGGTTGCGCGCCAACGACTTTGGATGGGTTGGCATCCCGCTGAGACGCGATTCTCTGAGGCTTCGGGGGAGTCGACTCAATACTTGCGGCGGGAGGGATTTGTTGACGTTGGATGGGAGCCGGTGGTGAGAGCGGCTGGTTCACGGCCTGAGAGCGGCTTTCGGCAGCTTCAGCAGCCCTCTTGGCAGCCCTCGCTCTTGCTCGTGCCTCTGCAGCTTGCACCCGCGCTCTCTTTTCCTCCTTGGTCATGCTGTCGAGCGTCAGCTCAAGCTTCTGGAGAGGTGATCGATGGTCTGCCAACTTTTTGCGCCGTTCGGACTGTCCAGATAACGGGCTTCCCTGAGGCTGGGCAGATGCCATGCTGTCTGTTCGGACAAGTCCACCATCAAAAAGCGTTGGAAAACTAGAAAGATCGATGGGGTTCATTGGTCGCGAAGACTCTCCGGACATTGAGTGACCAGGGTATTGGTATGGTCCGTCCGCGTATGGATCACGAGAGTCCATTGGTGGCTGTCGAACGACCGTGTCCGTAGCAGAAGGAGCTGGGGAGATGCTCTCGTACTTGTCGGGGACAGCGGTTCGATTGGGCCGACGATCTTGTCTATCGTATCCTTCATATGTTTGTTCTTGAGGAAACGGGCGATGTGAGGCTGGTCTGGGAGCCAGGCCTTGGTAGTAGTCCGGTATCGACGTCGGGGAGTTGGGGCTAAACGTTGTCTCGGAGGGAGCATCGGTGTAAGCTGTCTGGACCGAGTTGCGGTTCGCCTTGCGTTGAGGCTGGACGTCCAGCGAACGCCGTTGGTCATTTTGCGCGAATTCATTAGTGTAATCTGCTGAGACTCGCCGGCTGTGGATGCCCTTGGGCTGGGGCAATGAACCCCAATACGGCGCAGACATGGTCGCGCCTGTGATGGTCGAGTAACTTGTGAGAGATGGTGGTACTATCGCCAAGGCAGCACCAAGGCTGGGCTCGAGACCAACTCAGCGCAAAAGGAGACGATGCTTAGCCGTAGGCTGGAGGCCGAGCACGGCAAGGTGAGGTGTATGATTCCGTGATGGGAGCTCCCAAGAAAGGTATTATCGAAACTCGATTGCCCAAAAGAAGGCCGAAAGGCGTGAGAAGTAGGGCGGAGATGTACGGGGGGAGATTGCCTCCGGTCAGCTGCTGGGGGCTCCTGCAGCTGTCAACCTCTGTTCTCCAAGGCAATGCAGAAGCGCGCAGCCTACCAAGTGCGGGCAGATGCTGTCGTTGCTGGTGCTATTACTTCGTCTGAACAGAACCGTCGGGACAAGGGAAGAGAGCAGAGTAGGAAAGAAAATATTTCCGCCGGTTAGGTAACTGGCAGAAGCTCCAAGTGCTCAAAAGGGCCTCGTCCGCAAAACGAACCGAACCGGGGGGGTTTGCGAAGCTGCCTCTGCTCGACCGGCCTTGGGCTGAATGATGCCGTGACTGAAAAGGCCCCAAGTCCAAGCTGCGATTGGAGCCCAATTGAGCGAGCGGTGGGACGAATCAGCGCAGGGCCTGCGATCGGGCGAAAGAGGCGGTCGGGAGCTGCAGGTCGAGGTGGAGGAGCGACCGGGGGGGAGGCAGTGGAGGCGAGCGGCCGGCGAGCGATAATATTGGGTGGCTGGAGGTTTTGATGCTCGAGCAGCGGTACGATGCAAGGCACCGCGCGAGAGAGGCCGCGCATGTGCTGCGGCTGAGGAGCCGGGGAGTGCAACGGGGCGGAGCTGAGCGTGCTGGATGAGTCGAGGGGCTACTGCAAGTACTTTGAGCAGAGCGGCAGGAGGATGGATTCCTGGTTCTGTTGGAGCTGGAGTATGGAGTAATAATAATGGAGGAGTACAGGTTCGATGAGGCTGGTGTTGACCTAGTGGTGGTGCGAGGTGCGCCGCGAATCTGCTTCCCAGCGCCGGTGCCTGGCGACATTGCACCACAGCCTAAGGTACGGAAGTATGTAATCATTTACACGCATTTCATCTGGCCATTGAGTATCTACGATACACCGACTTCTTGGTATTGTCGTCACCTTATGGTTCTCGACTTCTTCTCTCCCAGCCATCCATTCAGTTTTAGCACCTGCGGGCTGGGCCGAACAGGAGCTGCGTCCCCACAATAGCCATGAGCCGTTCGACGCCATCTCGGCTTTGTCTGACTGCTAAGTAGCTCCCACCTCTGATTAAGCCGCGGGCGTCAGCCACCAGCCACCGTTTAGCCACCTGCCGGTGGGTTTGGACGGGCTTGAACGGGCTTGAACGGGCCTGACCATCACCAAGGAACAGCTTCGGGCTCTGGTTGTAAATCTTGTTGTTACAGCTACCTAGGTAGAAAACGTGTGGAACAAGGATGACGCCCAATCTCCTGCATGTTGTGTCTCTGTATCCGTGTGGAACTTCTTACTATCTGTACGCAGCCCTGAGCTACGCATGATAAGTCATGTTCGTCGTCCACTTCTCTGAAATGAAGGAAAACTGCCCCATGCCAGTTGATCTGCTTGGGGTGATGCAACGAAGAACTTTTAGATATACGAAGGGGGAATAACCAATGCCTCTGCTTTGAGTTTCAGCACCCTAAACACCATTTGCCTTTTCCTCCAGAACGGAGACGATATTAGGCGTCTCCTGTGAGGGGGGATTTGCAACAGGCTTCAGCAGAGGGCTGGTGGGTCTGCTGGTCAAGAACTGTAAATGCGAAAAGCACCGTCGTCAGCCATCAACTCACAAGGTACTACTACCATCGATGCATGTGAGAACTTACGTTGCTTGCCGCACTGAGCATGGCCAGGAGCGAGCTGTACACCACATCTTCGTGAATGCCAACGCCCCAGACCGTCTGTTTGCTGCCCGTGGGCTTGCACTCCAAGTAGGAAGCCGCCTTCACACCACGACCCTCTCCAATGGCGTGTTCCTTGTAGTCGTGAACATCAAGATCGATGCCGACTTCCTTCAGCGAGGCCGCCATGCTAGAGATGGGACCATTGCCCCGGCCACGCAATTTGTATTCGACACCGTCCAGCAGGATAACGCCCTCGAAGATACGGATCATGCTCTTTGTGTCCTGGGTTCTGCCATTTGCGGCGGGCATGGGAGACTGTGTTCGGTCTGGGCTGATGCTGTAATCGACCAGGCTCAGGCGAGGGTTTTCGCGGAGGAAGTAGGTTTCCTCGAAGAGATCCGTAATCTCGTTGGCCAGCAGCTCGCGTCCAAGCTCCTCGGCGCGGCGCTGAACAACCTTGGAGAAGGCAACCTGGAGGCCGCGAGGGAGGTCGAGCTGCAGCTTCGAGTGCAGGATAAAGGCGCTTCCACCTTTGCCGGACTGCGAATTGACGCGGATGATGGCCTCGTAATTGCGGCCAATATCCTGGGGATCCAGGGGCAAGTAGGGCATGCCGGCCCATGGGTCCTCGTTGGAGAGACCAAGGCGAGCGCGGTTCTGGAAACCCTTCTTGATGGCATCTTGATGGCTGCCCGAGAAGGCCGCACACACCAGACTGCCGCCGTAGGGAGCACGCGGGTGGACGGGAATCTTGGTGCAGGATTCCACAACCTCAATCACTGAGTTCATATCGGAAAAGTCGATATGTGGGCTCACGCCCTGCGTGTAAAGGTTGAGGGCCAAGGTGACGAGATCGACATTGCCCGTTCTCTCTCCATTGCTATAAGAGGGTCAGTGGTGTCTCGGAGATTACTCAAAGATATGGGGATATACGGACCCAAACAAGCAGCCCTCTACTCGGTCAGCTCCCGCCATCTGGCCCAGTTCTGCTGCTGCGACACCTGTAACCCGTCAGTCACCGCATCCGCGACGCCATGGTTGGCTCAACTTACTGCATCCACGGTCGTTGTGAGGGTGCTACCAAGAACTGTTAGCATGACTGAGACATGGAAATTAGAGACAAAGAAGGTTTCACATACCAGAGACACGCACACGCTCTCTCTGTCTCCGATGTTGGTACTGAAGTACTCCACCAAATCAGCGTAGATGTTTGGCGTTGACAGCTCGACCGTAGCAGGCAGGTTGAAGATGATCTGGTCCCCAGCTGCGCCATTGGGGCCCCAAGCGGCTTTCACAGCGCGGCACACTCTCAGGGCATAGTCAGGGTCTGTGTCGGAGAAGCATTCGGGAGAGAATTCAAACTGCCAGTTGGTTCCAGCAGTTGTTGGGTCGTCCTTGGTCAGAGACCTGACCAGCTTGGTGCACTCCACGGCAAGCTCCAGGGTCTGCTCCTCCGTATAGCCGAAGACGACTTGCCGGAAGCACTCGCTCGTCGCGAGGTAGATGTGGATGATGGCGTTCTTCGCGCCGCGGACTGACTCTACAGTCCTGCGGATGAGGTCGGGTCGGCACGGGGAGAGAACCTGCAGGAAGACATCGTCCGGCACGGCTCCTGGGGTCTCGATCAGGCGGCGGGTGAAGTCGAAGTCGATCTGGGACGCAGAGGGGAAAGAAACCTCAATCTCCTTGTAGCCGAGGGCGCACAGCATCTTGAAGTAGCGCCATTTTTCCTCGCCGTTCTGTTGATCGAACCAGCACATGTCAGTTCCAAGACAACACACACAGGGAGGGATGCCGGCTCTTGTAACAGAAGCTACTGGGAGGAAACGTACCATCGGATCAGGCAGACTCTGGTTGCCATCACGCAGACAAGAGCTTGGCGAACTGTTAGCAAAGCCTCATACGGTGGAATTCTGAAAGATATATATCGGTCGACATACGACAGCCAGCGAGGGGCCTTCTCGATGACCTTGTCAGGCCATTGTCGGTTTGGCAGATGCAGCGGCTAGATCAGGTTAGTCAAGAGGGTCAAAGCTGAGAGCGCAGAGACGTGAAGCTTGCCTTGAAGGGCTTGTACTTCTTCCACGGCTCCTTGAGGCTGCAGACGAGGCACGAGGCCGTTGGTTAGCCTCCAATTGTTCGAATTGCGCGATCGAGGCATGAAGAGCGCGAGATTCAGTCATACATGGGCATCTTAGCGGCGGGATGTCGTCTGCCTCGTTGGCACGACCCAGTTGGTGCGGGGTGGCAATAACAGGTGCGAGAGATCAGGTCGAGCTGCCGTTCCCAATTGCGACAGAGCAGGGGCGATGTATCTCCCACAGGACCACGAGGGAGAAGCAGAAGATGGACGATGAATAAAAAGAAGCAAGAGGCTTCGAGCGGCAGCAGTCGAAAAAAAGTTTTGAGTCACACAAACGACGTCGATGGGCTGCATGGCAATGACGGGCGCCGTGCGAACTATCCAATCGCAGCATCTCCAAATGCAAGCGCCCTATTCGTGGGGTCGAGCGCTGGGGGCCCACTCCAACTTCTTGACGCCTCCGAACACGGACGCCCGAGACTCAAGGCCGGACCGGCAGCCGGACCTCGAGATGTTACTTAGTAATGCCTCGTTGTTATTATTACCTTATGGCAAAAGGCGACTTTTTGTGTTCAAGACCTGTGAAGCATTAGTATGACAGTTGCCAAGCTTTTGTCTCCGATTGTGGACGAGGTATTAAGTGGTGCTTCGCAGGGGGTACTCGACATGACGCTGGAATCGTGGCTGTCTGGGTAGGTAATAAATAGATGGTCTTACTACTATGTACTATATGTACGCAAGACACTAGACCTGAACGAACAAACAAACTCGTCTGATACTACGGCAAATTATTGTGCACGGTTGATAATGATTGAACTGGAATGGTGGGGTCGTAACTAATTGAAGCTTAGAGGATGTCACGCTTGTCAAGACGATTGGGTGAGACAGTAAGGCGGCGTGCCACCGCCGTCTCTAGATCAAGCCTCGTCTCTAATAATGATGTGATATGGTCTGTGACGGCTTGTCAAACTAATAGTTGAACCTATAATCCAGGGCAGAATCTGCATACCATCAGTATCTAGATAGACGGTGCCTAATATAATGATATTGGTTGGAGCTCAAGAGTAGGTAGGTATATATGTGGACAACTCGAAAGCTACCAGCGGGGTGAAGAATGACGCCGGTAATGGCACGCAACGGGCCATACTTTTCACATCAGTAATACATGGCCATCTCACGTAACACATCCCGCGATGTAGCTGTCGACTTTGTGGCTGAGACCTCACAATTGATATCTGATGACTGTCCTGAAGGAAGCCATCGAAGAGCGTAGAAGGAGTGTACCTTATTGTCACGTATTACTGCACGTACCCCAAGATGCAGGCGGATTACCTAATCAAGGCACAGACTGCCACTGCGTCCTCAACCATGTTCTATCCCAGCCTACCCTGCACTCCATCTTCGAAACTCGGGTCCAGTCAACGTCGCGAGGGAAGTGAAAGACGAAATGACTAACAGAAATAAGTTCACATGTTCGGATGCGAACTTGAACAAATTATGGGACCGTCAAGAATCTTCCGCGGCAGAGGTAGGTAATACTCAGGGTGGTAGAGCCTGTGAGATGACTCCCTTAGGTATAAGCCTTGACTTCAATGATCTTGTCACACTGAACGCCTTGAAGATTGGGCACTTGGTCGATGAAGCTGCTCAGTAGGTAGGTAGATACGATTTAAGCCAATCAATACAAAATGCCTTGTTTCAACTCTAAATCGCCTGAAAGGCGTACAGAAACTCCATGCTCCCGGTTAAACCATGACCAGCGTTTGCTCACCAAGATATCCCACACACCAAACGCCACCTACCGTATCATCCTCCTACCTACACTCGCGTCTACCTACCTAGTCCACGCTGCTAAGAGACAATGGAACATGAAACAATGATACCCGGACACCTACAGGCCCCTTATCCTGTCCACGACCAACCCGTATTCACAACATTATACCGCGTACTGACCTCGCTTTGCTGAAGAATCACACCCAGCCACCACTTCAAGCCCCGAAAAGACAAGCGAATCGGCAAAAGCATCATCTCGCGATACGCCCCAGGCACGCAACTCCAGGCCCCAAACATCATCAGCCCCAGCACGCCCACGAGACAAATCAACGCCAGCAGTCGCACAGCATTCACCAGCAGCGCCAAAAGCCGAATCGAAGACGAGACCAGCCCGCTGCGGACGTGACTCTGCAGCGTAACACCAACGCTGTCCTCCCAGTCCCTAAACTGCCCCGTGTACGTGAACACATGCGGCTTCATTACTTCGTACGTCTCCATGCCTCCGAAGAAGCCCTTGCTGGAGCGCACATGTCGCGTGATCTTGGGTGTCGTGGAGATCATGACGCGAGCGCGGACTCGATGGCTCTCCGTTGAGCTCGTGCTGGTCTGTTTGTCTTCGCCAATAGAGAGAAAGCTGTGTCGATATGCTTCGCCGGGCTGAACCCATTCGAACGTGGTAACCTTGGGAGAGAGTCGCATCGCGATGTTGAGCCATCCTGCGAGTGCAACAATGTCGTGCAGGACTTGATAGGATGATGGTGACGCGACTTCTCCCCCGACGGCTGCGGAAAGAGGTGTCAAGAGTCCCGTGATTTGAGCGGTGATGTTGTCTACGCGTTTCCAGAAGAGAGGAGGCGTGCCACCTGTTGCTTCGAGATAGACTCTGTTGGTGTCTGCGCGAAGGGCTGTGCGTCTGAAGCCTGTAAGTTTTTGGTGCACCAATTGTTAGCAAATTGTTCACGGACAGAAGGATCTCGGAACGAACTGGGCATTCCCCAGTTGACGACATTGCTCACCTTCAACGCTGATCATGGAACTGTCCTCCATCCGCAGCACCTCCGCCTGCTCCTCCCCAGCCCCAAACAAGAGATCCGAAAAGACGTGCTTCTCAAGAAGCATCATCACCACGCCCGTCAGAAGAGCACATCGATACGATCGCGACCTAAGCAGCTTCTCCCAGTCCCCGTCAGCGCCCGGTCGAGCGACCATGGTCGCCAGGCTGAGGAACTCTTCAGAGTGCTTCAGCTTCCAGAGAGATCTGCTTGTGCTGGCGACTCTTTTGCCGATGCCGTTCTTGATGAACTCTGTGATTTCGGCATGAAGCATTGCGAATGCCTTCTCATGACTTTCGTCGGAGATGCTTTCTAGGAGCGAGGAGAAGGGGAGTCTGCGCTGGGTAGGGGGACTGGCTTTGAGTTGGCAAGACATCTTTGCACAGAGACTGCTGTTCTGTCGTTTGGATCTTTCGCTGGACAGCATCACGGATCGATATCTTTTTTTTTTTCTTGGCTCAAATCCAGCTTGAGACTGTACGGCTATGACGAATGAGCAGAGAAAAGGGTGTTTAGATGCAGACGGAGGCTCTTATACATGTGGCCATGCTTGGTGACATGTCAGACTAGCGGTCAATCCTGCATCTTCTTATGTGATACATGCCTAGATTCTGTTGGTAAGTAAGTAGGTTGCTGAGAACAATGACTGCCACAAACAAATGCCTTGACTTGTGAAACAATATACTCTTCTACGACCAAGTGCGCATGTTCATTGTTGTGTAGTCCGTTCAGCGCATTGTTATATGAAAGACTTGTGCACACATTGAACACGGATCATAACGATGGAACATTGAGAGGCATAAAGTCAGCCTTTGAGTTTGAGGCCCTGGTATTAAAAGCAATTCGTCATGAGAACACATGTCTTTAATTTCCAACAAATCTTCAACTGGCCGTTCGCAATGCCATGCCGCTGCTTTCCCCCTTGCTACCGGTGACCGAAAAGCGGCCCTTTGCGCTCCATTGACTCGAAACCTACGAGGTTCACACGTACCATCTTACTTGGTGTCAATCCTTTGAAATATGAAACGGGGAAGAACAAAAAAGAAATCTGATATTGTCTGGTATATAGAGAAAAATTCGGTAATGTTTCTGTAGCTTTGGAAATCAAAAGTGCTCTTTCCAGAAGCGGAACTCGACTTCGCGCGCCGTAGCAGCCTTGCAGGCGGTCTTGATGTCACGAGCTAGAGAGAAAGAGGACGTATTAGCAAGAATATTCTTCAAAAGAAGTATGTTAAAGAGACGCTGAAAGCTTACCTGCAACAGAAGGACCGCAGAAGTAGACACCGACGGTGGTTTTCATGCTTCCCTCCAAACCGCCGAGATATGTCCTGTCCAGAATACCATCACGCATAGTCCTGAACAGGCGGGAGAAGTTGGGTCGGCCAAACTGGGTCCGTGACTTGAGTTCAGTAAGGGGATCCATATCGGCACCGACACTGTTCAGAACAATGTTCTGCGCAGTGTCCATGTCCAGCCTCTGGGTCAGATAGGTGTGGATCTTGAGGAATTCCACGCCAGAGCTGCCAGGAACACGAGCAGCCTCATTGGACTGCTCCTCCAGAGATGACAGAAGCGTCTGGAACCATTCAAAAGAGCCAGTATCCTTGCACACCCAGATAAACTCAACACGGCGAAGACGGGTAGGAGGGTTGGGAGAGTTGCGGAGATGCCAGATGTTCTTCAGGATAGACGCCCAGGGAGTGACGCCGATACCAGTTCCGATGAGGACAGCAATTTCGTTCTCAAAAACGTCTTCGGCCGGAGCTCCATAGGGGCCATCAATACGCAGAGCAGGCATCTGCTGGCCGTTCTGCAGAGCAACTTCGTACATGCCCATAGGGTCGACGCCGTCGTAAAACTTGGCTTGGGCGGCACCAGCACCAAGAGCGTCACCAAGCTGCTTGGTAAAGTCACCAACCTGACGGACGTGAACGGAGACATAGGGGTCAAAGGGGCAAGACGTGATAGTGAAGGGGTGCCACTGGTACTTTGAGATGGACGGCACCTGGAGGAACAACCACTGGCCAGCCTTGTACTTGAAAGAGGGCTTGTTGAACTGGATCTCGACGACGTCGTACGGGTGGCGGATGACACGAGTGATCTTGGTCTCGCGGCGAGCACGAACCTCACGATACAGACGCTCAATCAGGTAGAAGCCTCCTGTGAAGAGCTCCCATCGCCATCCCAGGTAACCAATGCAGTGTGTCCAGAACTGCTCACCTGCGAAAGGCGAGAAGCCATCGGCGGTGTCGCGGACGAAGCAGCCGACGGTGTGGGTGTAGAGCGCGAGGAAGAAGGGGATGAACAGATGATGCGTGTACCAGAAGGTCTCGAAGGATTGCTGACGGATTCGGGCATGAGCAGTGGTATACATGAGCAGCATGCAAAGGAGCATCACGTGGCCGGTGATGCCGCCAGGCTGCGCGTAGTGAATCTGCAGGGCGGTGACGGGGCGGAGCTGCTTCTTCTCGACGTTGTAGAAGTTGACATAGTGGGCGGCCGTGTGGCAGATGGCGAAGAAGAGCATCGAGTAGGCAAGCTGACGATGCATCCACAGGTTCTCATCGAGGGGCAGGAAGCGGATCTTGGGCCGGATCCAGCGCATAATGGTTCGGCAGACGGGCAGCAGGATGAGCATGCAATCGACGCTGAGCACCAGACCGGCGCCTCGAGAGATCCATACTGAATACTTGAGTGTGTTCAGACCCGCCAGCCTTGGATCGACAGCCTGTTTCCACCTGGCGACATGTTAGTATTCGGACTGCATTTCCTATCTCAAGCCGAAGCGGAGCTGTTCGGGACGTGTATGAACTCACCATCCATAGGCAAAGATGCCAAAATGAAATGTCCAAAAGATAAAGTGGAAGAAGAGCTTTTGGGCGGTGAACTGCTTGCGGATCAGTTCACCGTATCCAAGTTGGCCGGCCATCTTGGGTTGGTGGTTTCGGTTTTCGGAATCCCTCCTCTTGATAGTTGAAGCCCTGGAATTAAGATGTCGCCCGCGACAGTGCTGAAATATTAAGACGAAATACCCGTGAGATTACCCGATGCAAGCGATCCTCTGGCTCCGAGACAAGATGTCCTTCTGTTTACTTTTCCAAAATCGCCAAGCCTCAAACTCTTATACGTCGATTTTGGGTCCACCTCGGGTTGTACGTTCAAGGAAGAAGAGTGAGAAACGACGGAGCCAAAATCGGAGTCGCTGGGGAACGAAGGTGGTGATTAAGAAAGTACAATCAAAAAGAGTGACCTGAGCCAGCAGAGGATTGAAGGATAAGGCCCAACGGGACGTCCGTAGAAAAGAAAGGAAGAAGAAAACGGCTGCTAATTTTCGGCCCGCCTGACGACAGCTGAGGGGAGGAGGGAGGAGAAGAAGCCAAGAATCTGGGAGCCAGGCGGTGATAAAAGACGGCGGCTGGTGGCGGAGGGTGGATTGATCCGGACTGAATGGACGGCTCCAGGTTCTTTCCTTGAATGTTCCAAGGTTTCCGAGCCAGGCTGTTCGGATGCAGAGCTTCCCTGTAGCTTGAAACTCAGGGCTACCTGGACCCCCTGTAGCAGCGAAGCGATCCGCCTAACGCTGCAGCGAGGGTTTGCGGGCCGGGAGCCTCCAACGCTGCAGCAAACGCCAGGCCGGGGACGAGCGGCCAGCAGCTGCAGAGATTGGGGGGTGAAAAGAGCCGACAGCGAAGAATCACGGCGCAAAAGTGAGACTGTCGTGCGGATTGTGCGACGGCGAGTGTGAGAGAGCTGGCCGAGGGGCTGCTGTAGCGGCGTTTCGGGCGCTGGTTCAGGGGGGTTCTTTGGGGCGGCGCTCAGGGGAGTGGCTGCTGGGGGCGTGTGTGTTTGAGGGGTCGAGACGAGCCTTTTCTGCTGTTTCGACGGGGCGCCGGGCTGCAATGTTTCGACAGAAGTGCCCGGGCAATCTGACGGAGAGGATGCTCTGGAGATTGCAGATGCCGCAAGAGGCGGAGGAGGTGGAAGAAGCAGGACAGAAAAGGGCAGCCCCGGTGGTACAAGTACCCACGAGTAGGTACTAGGTATTGATGGATCAGGTCAGGATTGTAGTAGGTCGGTCAAAGAAACATGAACACCACAAACGATGCCCGAGCTGTCCATGTACCTGGATTGGACGCTGACTTCACGTCACCTGCAGGCTTTAGTTGCCCGCCATCCAGCTTCCCCCGCTCCTGGGACACTGCGATGCCTCCAGCTGCTGCTGGTTGTCCCATAAATAGCTGGACGAGCCGTCGAGAACATCAGCCATCACATCGAAGCCGCCGCCCATCTGTGTCCTCGCATCTGTCGTGGAGGCCCCGGATGCGCTGTGACTGGTCTGCTGCAGAGCGCCAGGGTCCTGCAAGGCGCGATGCCAGACCCAATGAGGCAACGGGCCCTGGGCTCGGCGCTTAAAACGCCAGATGGCTGGCCAACAAGAGATGGATGGATTCGATTTTGTGTCCCCTGAGCCAAGCTGCACGGTGACGGACTGCTAAAAGGCTCCCGCAACCCCTGTCTCGTCTGTGTGTGCAAGCCTCTGTGCTTGAAGGGAGGTGCCACGAGGCTGGCTGGTCGCTTTCGCAGCACTCGATCTGCTGTCCTGGCCAAACATCAAACAGCGTTTCTGGAGGAATCAGCTGTTGGACGGATGACGGGAGCTGTCAAATCGAACCATGCGTCGATGCTGTAACGGCAGTGCCGCTTTATCAGTCGAGGGGTTTCTCGCCAAGGCCGTCCATCCGAAATAAGCTTGATTTGGTGAAAGGACTCCAGACTTTTTGCTGTTTGACGATATGACACGGGCAGGATCTCGAGGATCGTTGGAGGCTGGCTTCCTCAGTTGGTAGAGAGTATTACAGATCAATCTAGCCGTTCCTTCATCTGCCTGTCAAGATCCTTCCAACAGGCACAGATTCAAAATGTGCCCGCATCTGAATATTTGGTGTGTCCCAGGTTGGCGGCTCCCGGTATCCCGGCCCCCCTGCCCCATCAGGTTCCAACCACGATGCTGGTATTACTGGACATCTTTCATCTGTGTGGTCCAACATACGGTAGTATTAACTATAGCTGGCTACTGACGGCAGCTTCTAGCCGAATTCCGCCTCGTTTCCTATTCTTGCTGTTCGTCTCGCTTTGTTGGAGAGGCCCGTCATTACAAAGACTATGACTACCCAGTAGTAGTAATATTACCTTTCAACTGAAACGAGCAGCAATAGCAACCTCAAACGTTAGCGGTCGTGATAGAAGGACACCCTGCCACTTTCGCGCACGGAACCTGAACGAACAAGTTTTGGGCATGGCTTCGCTTCGGACTTGTCCTCATTGGACCCTGTAGGTTTCTCTGCTGCGGCCCCATCCACCCGAGCGTTTGAGAGCCCCTTTGCTGATACTGTTTTGGTCCCCTGCAAGGCCTGGTCGATAATACCAGAGGCGGCTGTTTGCATTGGCGGACGTAGGTGGTATCGAGACATCTGAAGGAAACATTCATGCTATGATGAAAGAATCGTACGATTTTTGCGTTGACGAAACTCCAATTCTTCACGTGGCGGGATCCAGCAGTTTGGATATAAAATGAGGCCCTTCGCATATTCTTGATGAAATCTGCTTCTCTGTTTTGCGAAACTTGGACCGCCGACCTTCTTTCTGAGTGTCTCGACCGCCAGAATGCTGCGAATTGCTACGACTGCCTGCGCCGACCCAAGAAGCCCTGCTCCTGATTGGAAACCCGAATACGAACTACACAGAGGACGATATAGCGTGTAAGAGAATGGAAGGACGAGAAGCGTCACGTCGTCGTGCGGCACAAAGCAAAACACGGCCCGGTGCTCGTTGAAGTTGATTCGACGTCAATTTGGACAGGCTCCTGCATCACCCTCAAATCTGCAACTGGTCCAACTGCTCCCAACCGGTCCCCCAGCCGGTCCCACAACGCTGATACCGTTCGAGTAGGAACGCCTGTCGATTCGAGGACGATCAGGGCAGCATCGGCGCCGCGTGAAAACGGCTTCCTTTTGGCGACGACGAGCATGCCCGCACATTAGATGGGTTTAGGACAAGCCACTGATGCCCGTCTCTGGCAAGTGCTGTCCCTTCGAAGAGGCGACAAGTGGCGGTTGGTGCTTTTTTTTTTTGGTGCTTCGCCAAGTAGTCTGGCGCTGCTCAGATCCCAACTGCCAATTGCTACCACACGCAGGATCCTGGCCGGATTGCATGGCGGAGTGCAGTCGCACAGCCTGCAAGTTGAAGCAGCGCATGAAAGAATGACGTTCCGTTGCAAGCAAAACGTCGCGTAGAAGCCAATCGCCGTTCGCTGTCCTTTTCCCGTTGTCTCGGCAGTGGCCACTGAGCAGCGCGGCCAACGTAATGAAATGCGATGCTACAGCGCACCTGCCCAGTCCTACACCGTGCTGCCGTGTGGGGTTTGCCCGTGTTTGGACGCGCATGACGTAGTTGTGATAATCCCAAGCCCAGATCGAACGATGGCCATCGTCGCTGCCGTCATCAGGGAATTGGCAAGTTAATTGCGTTGCTATAAGAAAGCTTTGATCTAAACAAATCCTTGAGTATCTACCTAGTAGTAAACATGAACCTCCGTCTTTGATCTCTACCTATATCCAATGTGCACACACGTGGTTTGATCGCCAACTCCAAGCTTCACCATGGCTGGCAGAGAAGATGTCGAGCATACCCGGCACTACGAAGCTCCATACAGCGAACGACACCCGATCCCGACCATCAGCAAGTACAAGGAGGAGAGGGAGGAGAGACAGCAGAATGCGTTAGAGGGTGATGCAGATGGCATCGATCAACAGCCACCTCAGAGTCAACCCGGGGACGATCGAAGCCAGTATGAGGAAGGCGAAGCGGAAGCTTCTCAGTCAGAAAGCGACGACCCTATCCATGACACCTCGGAAGTCGACCCCGAAGCACTCAATCCACAGAAACTGAAGAAGAAGAAATCCCAGAAAGAGAGGGCTGAGCGTGAGGTGACTGATCCGGTAACTCATCTGCCGATCAAGATTCACGACTTCACAGACAGCGCCCTCAAAGAATTAGACGTCAACGAGGATCCCTTTGAACAGTCAAAGAAGACCTCGGGATTCGAAGAAAAAGACAAGTCCGAGGGTGAACTCCGCAAAGAACAAGGCCATTCACAAGAGAAGCATCATGCGTTGATGAATCAGTTCCCGCCGCCCGATCTCGATTTCTTGCGCCAGGAGGTCTGTCGCGCAAGCAACCGCGGGTTTGTCATTTCGCTGGCTGGCGCCTGCGGCATCTTTGTGGTGATCTGCATGATTCGCGAGGTAATGCTTATAGATGCCCATCAAGATCAAGGATGGAAGACTGCCGCTCAGAGGACCCTGCCATGGCTTGCTCTGGTCGCTGTGGGCGCAGGCGCATTCTGTGCCTTGATCCTCGGCGTAAGAGACTGGACAGCGAAGAAAGTCGACGACGCCATTCAGGACGAGATCTGGCGCTCGCAACGTCGGCAGATGGAGAAGCAGGCCAAAAAACACGAGAGAGAGACGACCTTGTGGCTCAATTCCCTGCTCAGCTCTGTGTGGCCGCTCATCAATCCCGACCTTTTCGCCAGTCTGGCAGATATGCTGGAGGATGTCATGCAGGCTTCCTTACCCAAAATGGTACGCATGGTCAGCGTTGAGGATATCGGACAGGGCAGCGAGTCGATGCGCATCCTCGGAATTCGATGGCTGCCCACCGGAGCGGCTGCACAGGCCGTCGGCGAGGACGGGAAGGTCATGTCCGACAAAGACCAAAAGGAACGCAGCAATACAAGCCTTGGGGGTGAAGATGCGGACAGTGAAAGCGACCAGTCAATTTCGCGGGGTATGGAGGCGGAGGAAGGTGACTTCATCAACCTGGAGGTTGCTTTTGCCTACAGGACGCGATCGACCAGCAAGTCCTTCAAGGAGCGAAGCAAAGACATGCACCTATACCTGGCCTTTTATCTTCCCGGAAACATCAAGGTTCCCGTCTGGGTCGATTTGCAGGGCGCAGTTGGTACCGTGAGGTTGCGTCTTCAGTTGACCCCCGACCCTCCCTTTTTCGATCTGTGCACCCTGACACTCCTCGGCCAGCCAAAAGTCGACTTGAGCTGTGTCCCTCTGAGCAAGCATGGACTGAACATCATGGATGTGCCGTTCATTAGCAACTTCGTGCAGTCAGCCGTCGATGCGGCAATGGCGCAGTATGTCGCACCCAAGAGCCTGACGCTGAATCTCAAGGAATTGCTCGCCGGCGATGACTTCAAGAAGGACACATACGCAAAGGGTGTCATCATGGTCCATATCAAGCGTGGGTACGATTTCAAGATGGGAGATTCAGGCATGCTCCTTCTCAAAGATTCCGGATCAGACCCTTACGTGTCTGTCGGATGGGCGAAATTCGGCAAGGTGCTTTGGAGCACTCGCATCCTGAAGGCCGAGATGGAGCCATATTGGGACGAGACGTGCTTCATGTTGGTGACGCCCGAGGAGCTCAACATTGACGAAAAACTGCGTATCCAGCTTTGGGACTCTGACCGCTTCACGGCGGATGACGACCTCGGGCGGATTGAGGTGGATCTCAAAGAGTTGATGCAGAGGGAAGAGTCCAACGGGCGCATGTGGCCGCGTACAGATGGCTTCCGAGCTCTCAAATCTGGCGAAGACATGCCCGGCAAGCTCGAATGGAGCGTTGGCTATTTCTCCAAAGCAAGGATCCAGCAATGTCAATTCGAGAAGCAGACTCATGACCCGGGGATTAGATCAATGGAGCAGCTCGAAGAAAAGGTCGGCAAGAGCTGCGACCGGAAGCTTCGAGAAGCCATGCTGAAGGAAAAGTCGGCCGATCACGACAATGGAGAGCTTGAGCAGCTGAAGATGCAGGAGATGAAGTCCGAACAAGACGCCATGATCATTTCGGCACCGCCACCAGACGGATTCCCCAGCGGTATCTTTAGCTTACAGATTCACAACATCACCGGGCTCGAAGTTCAGCAGTTGAGTAAGAACCAAAACGACAAGGATGGAGATGCGAGCGACGAGGAGACTGGAGAGGGCCTGCCGAGCGCCTACTGCACCGTAATTATCAATCATAAGAAGACGTACAGAACGCGAACCAAACCTCAGAACACAAAGCCCTTCTTCAATGCAAACTGCGAGCGCTTCATCCGAGACTGGAAGTCCTGCGAAGTCTACGTCGCCGTGAGGGATGCCAGGCTGCACGAGGATGACCCGTTGCTGGGCATCGTCCACCTGCCCCTGCGCGAAGTGTTCAAGAATCGTTCGCAGCGGAATGGATTCTGGCCCATCTCTGGAGGCATCGGTTATGGAAAGATTCGACTGTCCATGGTTTGGCGCAGCGTCCAGCTTCAGGCCCCCACCAGCCTCCTTGGCTGGCAGTACGGCACGGTCAACGTGCAGCCCGTCGTGACGAGTCCAGACTGCCCAGAAGATTTGCGACATGCCAAACTCAAGCTGAAGACTGACATTAGTTCCGCCAAAATGTATTCTCGCGGATCCGGCGAGGCGACATGGGCTTCGAGCAGAGAGCGGTCTCTCAATCTTGCCGTGCAGACGAGATATGCCAGCTGCTTGTCCATTGCTTTCAAAGATAAGAAGGTCTTGGGCAAGGAGGTGGTTGCTTTTAGCGTCTTCTGGCTGAAAGACATTCCGGACGGAGAAGAAACGACACTGGAGCTGCCAATCTGGAAGGGCGACTACAACAGAGCTACATCGTGCTGTTTGGACGAATGTGGTGAAAGGATTGGGACGTTGAAACTCAAAGTCACGTTTTGGCCAGGAATGGTGAGTTGATAGCACCCTGACTACCCTGTACAACGCATGATCTTCGGGGGGAGAGGGAAAAAAAGAGATGAGAACTCGACTGACATGCCTTCACAGGGCGCCGCGCATTCCCAATGGGCCAACAGTAGTGAGCAACTCCGGGAGGTTGTTGAAGTCATCGATGCTGCCAGAGACGCTCTTGGAGACGAAGAGATGGAAAAGGCCGCAGGAATCGTAGACGAGGAAATCTCGAGCGACAGCGATAGCTCAGATGAGCACGAGTATGTCCCAGATGGCAGCCCCGAGCACAAGCAGGGTCCCATCGACCAAGTACGAGACTATAAACGGAGAGACAAAGCCCTGCACAGACAGCACCGGGGGCTTATGCAGTGGAAGGTAAGACATTTCTCACAGCAGATGAACAAGAGACACGCTTCCTTGGATAAATGAAAGCTAACCTTCGGTGTAGGCGCCTCGAACGGCTAAATGGATGAAGCATCAGGTGGACAAGGTGGAAAATAGTGTTAGCGGCATGCTCGACCACAAGAGCAAGGAAGCTGGAGTCGAAACCGAAGTATAATAATTCATTGCAACTCAAGCAAAGGAGCGGATATCATGTATTGTCAAGCAAACGACGACGACTGTCTAATGATGTAATGACGGTGGCTACCTAAGTCTAAGTATACTTTGGAATAATGATAACTCCCCTAAAAGAAATTCGCCCCAAGAGGTTTCCCATGAAGAAAGAGACGCACGCGTGAGGTCAAAAGATATGTGAAGCGTAGATGGAGATACAGACGCAATGGCATAACAGCAATTTGGGAATATTGATCGCAGCCGTCACAGCAGATTCCACTGCAAAGCAAGGTCTTGTGATGTTATCAAAACAGTTGCCCTTGACCCCGGTTAGTCATTTCTCACAGGCGAGTCCCCAGGCTGGTCGGTCTCCGAGGCTTCGTCAGATGGTGCGGGAGTGGCTTTGGTCTTACGGGTCCTCTTCGGTCGCACCTCGACTGCCTCGGGCTGCGGCGTTGCCTCGTCGTCTTCAGGGTCGTCGCGGTAGCGCTCATGGTCGTCTTCCGCCAGCAACGGGGCGAGCAAAGGCGCGTCGTCACTACGGCGCCAAGGGAATCTTAGACCCAAGTTCAAACTCTTAATGCTTTGGAACCAGGGGATCTCGGGCAGTGACGTGGGCCGCAGGTGGTGCTCGCAGTTGGGGCAACTTGGAGGAAGGATCTGCCAGGCAACCCACTGTAAGAGGCCGTGAATAGCGAGCCCTTGGTAGACGGCCAGGGCGGCGGCGAGGAGGTGGCAGAAGCTGCGTGGCGCACGTTAATTACAGAATCTTCAGCCCACGGGTATTACTATGCAAGGAGTCGCATGCAAGGATCTTGCAGCAGGGCCCACGCATTCCATCTTCTTCAGAGGAGCGTGGGGGGGCAGCAGCAGCAAACATGTACATACAAGCTCGTCAAGATAGGCAGCGTAGCATAAGCAGCCAGCATACTAAGCGAAGCAGAGCGGCCGTGATGGGTCCAGGTGAAGACGAGGACGACCATGAGGGCAGTCGCAAGAATGGCATCGTGGACGAAAACGGTGATGGGATGCGTGAGAAAGGCGCGGACGGAAAAGCTGCTGCGGCCGGCGGAGTCGATGGACTCGACGTCTGGCTCGGCGCTTTGGCCGCTGGCGGTGGAGCGGAGGAGCGCGATCGAGGTGGCGACAGAGACGGCTTGGGGCACCAGGCCAACAGCCGGCACGGCCTTGTGCGACAGGACGCCGTGGGCGACGCTCAGGGCAAAGGACGGAACGAAGGACGCGACAGCGACGATGCGCAGCGGACGGACAGCCGCGGCGACGGCTGGCGATGATTCTTCCATGGCGGGCGGCGGCGGTGAATCGAAGCCGAGCTGGACGCGTGACTGAGGCCGCGAACGCAGGTGGCAGCGTGTATATAGGACGCTGAAGTAGAGATGCAAGCAAGGCCAGCCAGCCGAGGAGTTTGTCGATTGTCAGTCGCTGGCGTCAGTCCTGTCAAGTTCTCGTGCCTTGACTGGATTTCTTTGGGCGCACAAGGGTGATATTACCGGTGGCTGTCAGGAGGAGCTGCAGCTGGCGGAGAACAAGCACAGACAGGTACTGGTAGTAGTACCAGACCTTAGGCGCGGCAGGCGCTGCCCCTCACTGTGACCCCTGTCCTGAATGTACAAACTCAGTTAGTGGCTGGCCGGTAGCGGGAGCTTGTACCTGCGCGACAGGAGCTTGGCTGACTAGGGGAGTGGGGGTGGTGACACCGATTGCGAGCTTGATTCAACGACATGTCGCTGCTTTGGACGTCACGATTGGACGGCATCGCAGAAAACACTGCAAAATATTGCGGCATATATCACGCAAAAATGAAAAATAAAAAGTGCATGCCCATGGGAATATAGGTAAGTAGCTTGCATCGATTTCAATTCCTATTTGACTATGCTGTGGTGGTGCTAAGTGGTCCAGGGTGTCGTGGTTGAGGACCAAAACACCAAGCCTCGACGGGAGCCGTATCATCGCGATCCCACACAAAACTTCACCACCACCCACGAACGCGTGACGCGAAAACGCCGCCTGGCCGTCGATTTCGAATAATATTGTTGTGGCCGCTTCACTTTCAGGGCTGGCACCTGTCAACAGGGCCCCAAAGTGAGAAGAAAGTGAGGCCATGCCCTGCTTTTGCCCTATCGGCTTGCCAGCTGGCGAACACTCCCGCCCACGAAAACAATGTGAAAAATCTCAGAACGCGCTCAATTGGTCAGAAAGAAGCGAGGTCATGTGCGCACGGTTGCCTAGCAAGAAAAAAATAAAGTCCCCCGCCCCCCCAGCTCTTCTTTTCCCTCTCTTCTCTCTCTTTCTCCAGTTTCCATCATCATCACCACCATCATCATCATCATCAACAAAGCACCAACGCACACACCAACGAACGACCTCACCCCTGACAGACAAGATGCAGTTCTCAACCATCTTTACCCTCGTTCCCTATCCCAAGCATGCCACCCTTGGTGATATCTCTCTCTTCCTGCCCCTATGGGCCTTTCTTTTTCTCGTGTGGGTGCTTGAGAAAGTGGCCATTGCCCTATGGCCCACGGTCTTCGCCTACCTGTCCTTTGTCGCAGCATTTGCCCCGGATAAGAACCTTGCTGTCGCCGTCGTGTCTTGGCTTTCGCTGCTTCGGTACTGGAAGCCCTGGGCGTCGGCGACCGCTGACCTACGTCGTGAAGTCGATCTCGCGATTGACTGCACATTTCTCGCGTGGTTCCTGGTCGGCTCGCCCTTCATTGTCTTGACAATCTGGGCAGGCCAGAAGGAGGTTCTTCGTCTTGTCGCCAACGCCATCATCCGCCGAATCCATGCCGCCATGGAGTTCGAATTCGACCTTACGGATTATGTCGTCAGATGCTACTCGCCCATGGAGCCCGGCTCAATGGGTGATCGAGTTTACCGCCGACTCTTTCCCGACTTCGACTGGCACCGCGATGAGTATTTGAAGTACCATTGCCGCCAGAGTCCTCAGGATTGGCCATCGCAGCCCGCCCCTCCTTCGACGTACCCTCGTGTGGTAACCCCTCATGTCTCTTCGGAACATGACCCAGCCGAGAACCGCCGAACCAGAGATTGGGCTCGACAGAAGCTCGCCGACATTCGGGCAGCGAAGATCGCTGCTGCGCAGCCGAACGATCAGAACACGACACCATTCGACAGCGAACCAGTGCCTCAGTCAAGGGAGGCTGCCGCCTCCGCGGTCCAGTCCTCTGCTTGGCCCACTGTTCCCGATTCGGATCCCGTCGCCGACGACGCCACGACTGCCAGCAAATTCACGGAGACCGAGGAACCTGCGGACCAGAAGGAGTCCAAGGGTGAAGGTCTGGTCGGAGCCGGCCCCAAGGCATCAGAGCCCGAGGTCTCACTTGAGGCGGAAGGCAATGGCTTGCTGGAAGGTGCCGAAGACAGCAAAGCCCAGGAACCCGAGACCTCGCGAGGGGAGGACGGTGAAAGCTTGGCCCAGGAACCCAAGTCTTCTGCGGAAGAGGAGGGTGAAAGCCCGCTGTACATTTCTAGCCCGGAGGCCCAGGAACCCGAGACCTCTCGCGAGGAGGACGGTGAAAGCTCTCCCGCCGAGGAACCCAAGTCTTCACCTGAAGAGGAGGGTGAAGGCCCGCTACGCACGGACAGCCACGCCCAGGAACCCGAATTCGTTTTCGAGAAGGAGGGAGACGGCTTCAGGGCCGAGGAACCGGAGACCTCGTATGAGGAGGAAGGTGAAGGACCCGCCGAGGAACCGGAATTCTCTCACGAGGAGGAAGGTGAAGGCCCAGCTCAGGAACCCGAGTTCTCACCAGAGGAGGAGGGTGAAAGCTCGCTGTTCGTGCACGACCCTGCCAACGACCCCGAGGCCTCATTTGAGGTGGAAGGCGAGGCCACGTCACTCGCCAAGGTACCCCAAGCAGCTCAGGAACCGGAAGCCTCATCTGGGGTGGAAGGAGACGGCATGCTCATGGTCATCGACACAGACCGCGCCGAGGAACCCGAGGCCTCATCTGAGGTGGAAGGTGAAGGTGACGGCATGCTGATGATCATCGACTCAGCTCCCACGGAGGACGAGGCCTCACCTGAGGTGGACTCCGACGTCGAGATGACTGACGTCGACTTCATGGTACCGCGGCCCGAATCCCCATCTGGCAACCCCGTCTCACCGGCACTCATCCTGCCATTGGAAGTCGTGGCCCCACGGTCGCCTGCTGGTCAGGTGCCTGGGTTCCATGACGAAACCCGCGGATGTATGCGCTTGTCGCCTGTTGTCGAGGGCGCCCAGATTCTTGTCGAGGCCCAGTAGGACGGGATCGACTTGGATATGGGCCTCTCATCAGACGCTGACTTGCTGCCGTGCCTGGAGAGCGAGTACGCCAGCATGGATCCCGACCTTCTCGATCGCGAGATCGACAACCTTCTCGCCGACACCGACGGAATGGAGCTCAGCTTTGTGGACGACGGCGATTTCGAGGCGTACGCGTCGTTCCTCAGCTCCGTTCCCGACGATGTCGTTGTTTCGTTCCCCGGCGCCAACGTCTACGACGACGACGAAGTGATGGAGGACGTGGCTTTTGCCCGGCCTACACCTTTCGACTCGTTTGACGACTCAGTCACCATCCAGGAGTCGCCAATCTCGGATTTCTTCGGTCTGGGCATCCTTCGGGATTCTGGCCTGGACGAGGAAATGGCCTCCTTGGACCTGAGCGGCGCCGCGGCCGACCCCGAGGTAGAGTTCCTGACCGCAGCTATTGCTCGGTTGACTCTCACCTCCCAGGTCGGCGACGATATCACCATGGAGCAGCAGCTCCCCCAGGAAGATGTCGCAATGGTGGTGCTCCAAGGGCCAATTCCCCCTGCCAGTGTCGTCGTAGACATGGCAGAGCCCGAGGAGCCGGCCCAGCCTGTCCCCGTCGTGGACATGGCAGAGCCCGAGGAGCCAGTTCCTCCCACCGGCAACCCGACGGAACTCAACGGGCCAATTTTCCCCGCGGTCGAGGTGATCCCCGTCACCGAGACCGCGCTCCCCGAAGAGCCAACCCCCGACGTCGGCGACATTGTTCCGGATGCTGCTCCGGACTCCCCCCAGAGCGCCTCGCCCCCGCGATGGCCCTCTGCCGGACAAGGTGAAGAGGATTGGAGAGAGCAGGGCGCGTGGTCCGACGACGATTTGCACCAGCAGGTCCCGTCGAGGCCATTCACGCCTCCTCGTCGCGAAGCGGAGATCCGGCCAGGCATTTCCCCCGGATCGTCCCTGGAGGAGGAGATGATTTGCGCTCTGCTCGGAATAGCACCCGGCAATCTTTCACGGTCGCCATCGCCTGCCTCCGACAACGAGGACGCTCCCCTGTGGGCGTTCCCGCCAGGCATGGCCGACATCCCCGGTGGTGCTACTTCCACCAATCTATCGTTGAACGATCTCTTCGATCTCCGCCAGCAGATCGAACCCACTCCGCTGTGGGCATTCCCGCCAGAGATGGCAGAAGCTGGCGCCACCAACAGGTCCCTCAACGACCTATTCCGGACGACGAGCGAGGGCAATCCTACCACCGAAGGCGCCGCTGACGAACCTTCAACGGAGGAGCAAGCCCCAGCCGTCCCTGTTGTGCCCGGACCGGATCCAGTCGCAGTCGCAGAGGCGCAAGAGCCAACTCCAGAGGACCAGCCCCAGGCGGGCAGTTCTGAGTCCCCCGACGACGACAAGGCCACCCTGGCCCCTGGAGAGGAGGTTGCTGAAGAGCAGCCACCCGCGACAGAGACTCCGGCTCCAGCCAACATTCCGGAGATCGTTGTGACCCCCGAGCCAAGCAGAGTGGTTCAGGTTGACGTCGCGCCTATCAAGATAGGGGGGCTTTTCTTCCCCGGCGGGAACACCATCCTGCCCGCGACTCCCGCTCCCGTGACCCCGTTGCCAGTCAAGAAAGGTCCCGACCCGGAGGCTGTGAAAGCAGCCCTGGCGAAGGACCTTCGCAACATCATGAGGAGGCGACAACAACCTGCTTCCATTTTTCACGCGAAGCGCCCGGAGAAGTCTTCGGCTCAGATTCGCTCGCCGGCGGCCGCGGAGAGAGATGCTCAGCTTCGATCTCCGCAGTCCCTCCTATCCCTCGCGGGTGCTGGAGCGGATGCCAATGGCGGAGCGGATGCCGTTGACGAGGCACCGGCCACCGTGACGATCGCATCGCCTGCCGTTATGAAGGCGATCCGAGAGAGTGAGGCTCGGCGGGGAGTCCGGCATTTGGGCAATGCGGACGAGCGATGAGGGATGAGCGTGGTGGCTCATATCCTGTGCTCCTTTCCCCCCCCTTTTTTTTTGTTTCTTTTCCGAACGATTAAATTTTAATTTTTAATATTAATTTTTAATGTTCGATGAACGATGATGATACGATGATGATACGGCAATTACGAGCTCTACGACTGCTTTTTTCTTTTTCTTTTCTTGTTCCCTTTCGCTTGTTGGAGTTCCGGTTCTCTTTGGTTATCCGACAAATTTCGAACATCTTGGTTACTGCGCAGGTCGAATCACTCCTATTCTTACTTCTTGGAGCTGAGCGCAGATCGTGTCTGAACATTCTTCATTTTGGACACACGACGAGATTCGAAGAGCGACTGGGAAAGAAAAGCAGCCGAGCTTGGGCTCTCTCGATATGGTTTTTGGGGCACACGAGCAAAAAGATGTCTTCTGTCAGAGACTTGGAACGCGGATACGACTTCACTCATTCAGTCGTCCGCTGACCGTTTTGCTTATTCTTGGCCCTGTGTTGGATACATATTGTGAGGATGTGTATTCGACGTGGCACTTTCGTTTATGGCCATTGAGAGAGCCTCATATTGCTATTTTTTTTTTTTTTTGGACAAGCGACTTTGGCGACGACATACATCTCTACGACTCTCTTCTTGTTCGAGTCTCTTTTTGTTGTTGCAATCGCTTTGTCCATGTGTCAACACCATGACACAATGTGATGGAAACCACATTTCTTTTTGTTTCTTGGGAAGGGCGCGGCTATACAGACTTGGGCAGCACAGATGATACTTCATGATACAGCAATCATCAGTCGCCAGCCGCCTTTCCCGGGAAAGTCCGAAAATGTCGACAACAGTCTACACCAGTTTGGCATTTTGGACACACCAAATTTCGGGGATCATTGCGACAAGTCGGAGGAGCGACGCGAAGAATCAATCTTCAGTCTTACTATGTTTCGCGCTCGCACACTCCGGCTTGCAATGATGCCGAGCCACGTCAACACTCTATACACTTTACGACGTGTGCTCGGCAAAACACATTCAGTCAGCATCGCGGACGGGGGAGCAGAGCCAAAATCAACCAACAAACTACTTTCGAGATGGAATTCACGCCGACTTCAGCTTTGCTCTGCTTCCTTGTCTGCGCCTTTGTTGTTGTCGATTCGAACAATACAACCTAGAATTCGACAACGACACACGTCTTGGGGGCAGGATATGGGAGGGTCATTGGGTTCGGTCAACATCTGGTTCGGTCACGATTCGGTCACACGGCAAGAACTGCTATCAGCACAGCAGCTTCTTCACATACACAAACAGCTACTCCCTTGGGAGTAACTTCACAAACAAACAACTACCTAGATACTCCTCTTGGAGTACACCCACAAACAAACAAACCACAACACGACATGGAGGACTTCACCAAACAAACAACTACCACTTTCAACACGGTCCTCCATCTCACCACCGGCAACTTCATCAGAAGCTGCCCACAACAAGCAACCTCCAGCTGGATATCATTCCAGCTGGACCTTCAAACAAACAGCCACCGCGGATGGAGCACCACTCCATACGGAGTGCTCCCTTCCAGCCGAGTACTTCTCCAAATACAGTACTCCTTCAACAACAGACACCAGACCACATCAGACCAGACCAGACCAGACCAGACTCAACCAGATCACATGGCAGTTGCACGGACGCAAGTTTACGCAGCTGTGATCCGACCACCATCTTGCTCCCGGGATACCGGGACATTGGAATCGAGCGCATGATAGCGAACGGGGAAACACAAATCATATTTTGATCGCTGGCTACGCCAGATTCCAATGTCCCAGTGTGTCGAGGGCCAAACCAACAACCATCTTTCACGCCCTTGACGCACAACTTTGGGGAAAACACATCTGTCGAAGAGCATCACAATCAGTTTACCATTCTGCTCTTTGACACAACACAATGGGGAACTTGGGAGAGATCAGAGACTTCATCAATCATCAATTGCCAACCTCTATCTGATCCTCCCACACACTGGGAATCATCGCGCACTCAAACACCACATACATCAATCTTGATTGACCTGCGCGATGATTCTCAATCGTGTGTCGAAGCCAATCATCATGGCACGACGCACACAAATCGGGGACTTGCCAGGAATGCGAGAGCCACTCAATCATTATACTCTCTCCATTTCTCGGCGCAAACATTACACTCAAAGCTGCTAGAGACTAGAGGACACCGACATCTATATTCATCATGGTCAACTCCTCTTGGTCTCTCAGCGCAACTCGGAGATATCGCGACAACGGGCACCGCGCGGCGACAAGGCTCAAGCACTTCACGTCGCTGCGCATACGATCCATCTATGCCAAGTTTATTGCGATCCATTTTGCCCAGCGATATCTCCGAGCCTCATGCACTCAAATCATGAACACTCTGGCGAACCTTTGAAAAGCGATCAAATCCAAATTCTCATTGCCTTTCCCGGATTCGCGCGGTGGTGGACATCGACCTCAAACTCGAACCGCTCCTCAATGGAGACAACTCATTATCACGATCCAACTCTCAATCAAGGATCATCGTCTTCACCATTGAGTTGAGCGGAACCAATCTCTCATAGTGGTCCGATGTCCACCACCACAACCTCCAGCAAAGAACCCAAACACACTTCGCTGGAGCCCAAACACCAAGGCGAAACCAAACACGACGCCTTGCGACTTGGAAAACACTCAGCCGTGGCTGCCCTCCGTCAGGACCGGCACCAAACGGGAGAGACACGAATCTCTCGAATTGGTAACAAGTCACGGCTGCCTCTTGGATGAACACCCACCGATCAAGGAACTTCACAAACACACACTCTCAAGGAAATTCACAAAAACAATCGAGGTGGGGGGGTCACATGCCGCAGCTCGCCCTCCGAAAGGACTGGCCCCAAACGTGAGGCAGACGAATCTCGCGAATTGGGAGCAGGCTGTCGGCGACCCCCCCTTCCAAACCTTTTGAAACAAATCATCATCCAAGAACATGGGAAACACAAAACAGTGTCTGGCTGCCCTCCTTTGTGGATCAACATATTCACATTGGACTGGCCCCAAACGGGAGGTAGATGAATCTCTCGAATTGGGAGCAGGCCATGACACGACCCATGGAAAACACCAAGTCGCTGAGCATTGCACAAAACGGCATATCCAACAACAAGCATGCTCATTCCCAAAGAGAGAGGAAACGTACAGCAGGCAGGCCCAACGATTGACTACGAACGAATACATACTCTACAGAATTGGATATGGCCTGTCTGACTTGCTACTACTGTTTCTCTCTCGTCCGATTTATGAAGACGCAAAAGAGGATCTTCACTCGGACAAGTCTGCTGGGGATTACATTCAGTCTGATGACAACCATCCCCGGCAGACAAACAACCATGTTCAAACAACCACCTTTGCCGCCTCAAGAATGAAAAGGGCAGCATCAAAAAAGAAGAAGAAGGTGGACATGAAACAATCACTTGTGATGCTCCAAAAAGAAAAGTGTTGGCTTCGGAAAAACTGAACATAAAATGTTCAGATGCCATGCTCCAAGAATTGCTGGCAACGATCAAACATATACGTCGAGAGAAAGAGACGGGAAAGAAGGAAAAAGAAAACATGAAGCCTGAACATAAATTGTTAAAGGCCTACGCTGCACAAACCAAACAAGCGGCAAAGCCAACAAGGAGATTTCACATCACGGCTACGCAAGGAACTCTGGGTGAAAAAAAAAGAAAAGAAAAAAAGAAAATTTCTCATGCTTGGTCTAGAGTCTACAGTCATCTGCTCTTGACCTTCATCCACCCATTCGAATTGCTAGTCCTCGGCGAGTCCTTGCCATCAAAAAGACCGCCACCATTCTTGCTTCCCGCAGCCTTTGGATCAAACGCCCCGTTGCCCGCCAAGCCTTCGTCCTTCCATTCATCATCGCCAAGGACCTCCCAGTCGGGCGCGGGCGCGTCTCCGAGAAGCTTCCTCTTCAGCTTATCGGCGAGTTTCAAGGGATTGGGGAGCTTGAAGGACTTTACCAGTTGGGTTCCTTCTTCGCCGGCAAGGAAGTAGAAGGTTGAGCCATGAGCGAAGCGTCCAATCCAACTCGGACCGTCGTCGGCATCACTTCCTGGCGCGCCAATCGAGTACGGTTTGGCGGCGGCCGACGACTGGTTGTTCATCACAAGACTATACAAGTTCCGGCCCATGTTGCAAATGTCCTCAAAGGAGGTCCTGTCGCCAATGTTGACGCCCTGCGAACAGCAAAGCCAGGCAACGTCATACGCGAGCAATGTGGCGCCTTCGAGGAACAGGGAATAGGTGGAGGGATCCTCTTTGGACAGCTGCGTCAAAGGCTTGTCCACGTAGAGAGGTCGAGGTCGAGGGAGGCGGTTGGAAAAGGGTGTGTCGGAGAGGGGAGCGGCCATGAAGGTGCCGGGGAACGTGATATCGCCGTGGCGATAGGAGTTTTGGATGGTGAACATTGTTGGTCGGGGGTAGTCGCGGTGGGGGAGGGTGATCTCGGCAGGAAGGCGGATGGAAAGGTAATGGGAGACAAGGACGATTACATGGGCGATGTGGGAGAGGGAGGTGGATATGACCTCGGGCTCAAGGGCTGGGAATGAGTTAGCATGTTTCCTGATGCGGGTTTTGCTTTGGTTCTCTCTGGTTCTCCTCCTCTCTTCTCTGTTTGTGTCTTTATTCCTCTCCTGTCATTTTCTCCCTCTCTTTTCTCTTTCTTTCCTGTCATTTTTCCCCTCATTTCTGTTCTCATCTTCCTTCTCTTTTCATCATCTCCTCCAGTAAATAGCTCTCCTTTTTCCTTTTCTCTCTTGTCCTCTCTTCAAGTATATGGCTCTCTCTCTCTCTCTCTCTTCTCTCCTGTTCTTTCTCCAAGTATATAGCTCTCTTTTTTCCTTCTTCTCCTCTTGCTCGAGTATGTAGCTCTCTTTTCTCCTTGCTTCTCTTTTCACTTTCCATCTAGTACATAGCTCTCTTTTTTCCTTGCTTTTCTTCTGTTCATCTTCCATCGAGTAAATAACTCTCCTATTTCCTACCTTTTTATATAGACACGGACAGGGAAGGGAAGGGAAGGGAAGGGAAAGCGAAGAATCGGAGAGCAAAGGGAGGCTTGGGAAACATGGGGGAGACTCACAGTCCATAGAGGTCAGATCAACAATGGGAATCCTGCCGAGACTATATTCGTAGCGCCCTGTGATGCCTTTCTTCGCCACGCGTTTGAGACCGTAGAGCCGTACGGCCTCCGTACACAAAAAGGTCCGAGTAGACGCCGTATCCTCGGCGGTCTGCGACCATCGGAACCTGAGCATCTGAGTCGACTTCTCCACATCCTTGAGCTGCTTGGCTCTCCGCTCCGCCAGTCCGGCCGAGACGGAAGCCAGATCGGACCTCCGGCGGGCGAGCGCCGCCTTCCGGGCCTGGATCTCATCTCTGGCGGCCTTGATCTCGTCGCGCAGCTTATCGGCGGCGGCCAGGATCTCGTCCGTCTTGTGCTCCGCGGCCTCCTTGCGAGCGACGGCCTCGTCCCAGGTGTGCTTGCTTGGCCGGGAATCCTCCAGGATCTGGTTGATCTGCGCCTTGAGCGCGTCGCTCTCAAGCACGACTTGCAGGTGCCTCATGCGGCCGTCGTAGATCTTGTTCCGGGCGTCCACGGCGCACAAGAACGGCCGGCGCTGAGCGTCGTGCGGGCGGTGGCAGATGTCGCATTCCATGGTCGGGGGCTAGCTTGACGGTTTCTCGCCACGGGAAATTCCAGGATGCCGGCAAATTGAGAGCGTGGGGATTGATTTGTATGTAAGATGATGTATAGTAAGGTAGGGGAACAGTCAAGTCCTGGGTCCTGGGTATGTAGATGGCGGGATGCAGAGGCGGGATGTCGGCATGCAAGATGGGATGAAGATGTGACGTGAGGTTCCGAAAGAGGCTCCGAGACAAAGAGACGGCGGAAGATGCGAGCGAGCAGAGGCGATTTTACCTCTGGGTTTCGTTGGGCCGGTTTGTGTATAAAGCAGGGGCGTGTGGTGTGTTGAATGAGGGTAATAGAGAGAACAAAGAAGAAGAAGAAGAGAGAAAGAAAAAGAGAGAGAGATGTGATGGATGAACAGATGACTGCCTGCCTACATGGATGTCAAGGGCAGACGACGTCGAGCAAATGAGATCACGGGGTCGAGGCCGATAACGAGCTCGACTGCTGGAGCCTGGAGGCCCGGGCTAATACAAAGGGAGGCGGCTGCTGTGGCTCTCCACTGCTAGCGCCCTCTAGGTGGGAGCTGCCGCTGCCGTCAAGGCCTCCAGTGGCCTGCGTCCACTGTAACTGTCAAACCGGGACGAGCTGCAAGTCCAGTGCGCTGAACTTTTGCGCCCCGCCTACAATTGATTGAATACAAACATCCATTCATTGGCAGGCTGGTCATCCATCTGTCGTTCATCATTATCCGGTTCAATCAGACGTCGTCGAATGGACGCTTTTGCTGCCTGGAAAACAAACCTCTTGTTCATCCCAGCGTTCATTGTGAATCGCTCAGACTGACGTCGATTGCGGGAGTTGGCGGCATCTCTTCACTGGGCCGAGAGAGGTTGCGACATCGCTGCGCCGATTGCCAGCTCTGATTGATTCAACTCGAAACGGCTCCGGCCACACGCGCGCCCACTCTGGTGGCGGCCTCACAGAAACCGCCGCGACAAGAAACAAGCTTGCAAGTCGCCTCTCCGGACCGGCTGCGCCCTGATTCAAGTCTCTCCCTTCCAGCAACGACGAGAGCCAATACCGACGCTTCAAGCCCCCTTTTGCGCCCCCTTCGCAGCCACGCACGACGCCAAAGACACCGACGACAGGCGCAAGGATCATCACTGCAGCTCCACCACCCGCAGTAGAGCATCGTCAGCCTCTCCCCCCATGGCCTCATCAAACTCACCGAACGGCGCGGACCGCCTCCCCGTCTATGGGACGAAGGAGGATGCCAAGGACGAGACTGCCGTGCTGGACTTTGACCGGCCTCGCCAGCCACGGGTCCAGACGCCCGAGCCCGAGGAGCAGCATAACGGCGGGTTGACGCCCAATGGTCCCGGCATTCTTGGGCCCTTTGATTGGGATGATTTCGAGGCGCGGTACGAAAAGGCGCTGGTCGAAGCGGACGAGCAGGAGCGAGAAATTCTCAAAGAGGCGGAGAGCCTTGCCAAGGTTCGACATGCTGCTCCATTTCCAGAGACTTCATCGCAACGTCTTCTAACCAAGGTAATCGCTCTTATCTTATGCAGTATTTTCAAGTATGGTCTTCGGCTGCCTCTGCTTACGACGATGAGCGAGCGGTGAAGCGTCTGCAGACACGACAGCGGTTTGTCAATATCGCCGAAGAAAAGATGGCCCAGCGGCAACAGCATCGTGAGTATCATCAGCAATTCAGCATGCATTTTCCTCGATCCCAAGCTAACGATATAATAAGACGAAGAAGTCGTACGGGCGTTTGAGAGTGCATTGGCGCTGCTCCGGTCTACCTAGACTTGAGATGGCGATGGCCTGGTTCGCTCTGCACCACAACAGCCCAAAGCCCAGGGAACTGTCTGGCAAAAGCACAGCTAACTGGCTCTGTCCGGTCATTTCCTCCTCTTCTTTTAATTTTCATTTCCCTTTCCCCTTCCCTTTTCCACCTCTTTTCTGTGGCATACCTAGACATGGCGCCGAAGGCCGTGATTGACACCGTTGCTGGGCTGCGTTCTAGAGCACGTGACCCAGGACATCTCTTGACAAACCGCCCATTTCAGCAGGCTAGACGAACCATCCCTTAGCCCCTAGGAGCGCGTCACGATGTCGGCCATTGACGACCTTCCGTTCAAGATACCACACATAACAAGCGACGAGTTACTGGCATTTCAGCAAAGTCACTTCTCAAGCGAGGCGGCCGCTGAGTTTGGCCATACTTTTATAAGTCTTCCGCCGCAGGAGACCTTCGAGGCTCAACCATGCGAGGACTGGTGGGAGGAGGATGAAGATGACGACGGCCTTGGATACTACGAAGATGGCGTCAAGAGAACCCTGACGGACGAGCAGATTGCCATTTTTCGTCACTCTGAGCTTCGAGAGCTCCGCCGGCAACAGGAAAAGCAAGCCGGATCCAAAGCGCCAGAGCGGCCGCAAGATGCCTCTGCGAATGACCGAGGAACTGCCTCGCCACAGGACTCAGGCGGCGCTGTCGGCTCTCAAGGCAAGAAGAGGAAGAGGAAGAAGTCAAAGGCGGTCAAGCAAGAACCCAAGCCGGACTTGCGGAAGCGCACCTGGGATGTGGTCGAAGCAGGGCTCGATTCTCTCGATTACGACTGAAGTCGACCCGTCTGCAAAGCTCATGGGGCTTTGTTCTCTGTTTCATGACAAGCAGCCTGCTTGTTTCTGTGATAGCAGCAAGTCTTGCATCTCGAGCATGTTTGCAGCTTGATGCGATCCCATGGCAGCTCAAGAGGTAAGCACCTATTCATCTCGTCTCTCAACCCAGCCCTTAGCGCATCGTGATGAGAACAATTGTATCGTCATCCTTAGTCAGATCGCACGTGGAGGCCCGAAGAACCAATGACCAAACCTGGGGAGGGCCGACAATAGCGGCGTGACGAATCCTCTTAATCTTCTCTCTGAGACTTACGCGGTCTCTCTACTTGATTTGTTGATATCATCTGGCTGTGTCCCTTTGAGGCTAACGGGATGCTTTTGAGTTATTTAGGCAGTCTTGGTGATGTTTGGCAAGATACTCGGGATGGTGGTGGATGGTTGGACTGATGAATTGATGAGCGCTGATGACTTTCCGAGGCGACGGATGGGAACCATGGAATTGAATTGGCATGTTGCTGGATCGAAGGAATGGAGGGCGCTGCAACCCGTAAAGAGATACCCAAATAACGAAGCAAATGACTTGTAATTCGACGTGTCAACCTCTTCTTTTCTACCTAGTGAATGCCCCAGGTCTACTAGGTAGGAACATGTAGCCGGAGCTGAATCATCTTGCATTGCTGCCTCAGGACTCCCAGCCCGAGCTCGTTGACATGCGGCGATGGAGTTCAGGGTCTTGTTACAGAAGGGCTAGGTAGGTACAAGCTGTTAAGGTGCAGCCCCCAGCACCTAAAGGCACTTTTTCCTGACTCAGCGGGCTCCCAAACTCTGTTTGTCTCTGCTGGCCAGCAAAAAAAACCGGCTAAGCGATAAGCGCGGCGGCCAATGAGCGCCCGCAGCCGGCGCCAAACAGTGGAGCCGTGGCCCGGGCGGCACATCCCACCTCTGCAACTGATTCTCACGTCCCTCGTCGCCAGAAGTCTTGCCCAGCAGCCTCGCCCAGACGCATCGCCAGCATCGTTTCCTCGCCCCTCCCGCCGTCCTCCATCCGCCATCGCCGTCTGCGTCGCCGTCCCGCGACCGGAGACCTGCCAAGATGGCGCGCGTCTACGCCGACGTCAACCAGAACATGCCCCGCAGCTACTGGGACTACGACAGCGTCAACATCAGTGCGGAGATCCTGCCCTTGAATCCCATTGTTCCCAACATGCACGTGAGGAGGCCGCGGACTGACCATTGGGCGTTTCACAGGCTGGGGGGTTCTCGAGAACTACGAGGTCGTCCGCAAGATCGGTATGTGCTCCGTCGCGCCTCGTCCAAGCGCTTGCTCCGCTGCTCCTGTGCGCTTGTTTGCCGGGCATCAGTCCAGGGAGGGACGCGTGGTTAACCCGGGATCTGCGCAACTCTAGGCCGTGGTAAATACTCCGAGGTGTTCGAAGGCATCAACGTCGTCAACTACCAGAAGTGTGTTGTCAAGGTCCTCAAGCCCGTCAAGAAGAAGAAGATCAAGAGGGAGATCAAGATCCTGCAGAACTTGGCCGGCGGGCCCAACGTTGTTGCGCTGCTGGATGTCGTTAGGGACTCCCAGGTCAGTGCCTGACATGCCATCCCCTCTGGGGGTTTTTTTTTTCCCTGTGTCGTGAGCTGACGAAGAAACGCGGAACTTGCGTTTGGCGTGTCACAGAGCAAGACGCCCTCCCTCATCTTCGAATATGTCAACAACACCGACTTTCGAAGCCTGTACCCCAAGTTCAACGACTTGGATGTGCGATTCTACATTCTCGAGCTGCTCAAGGCCCTGGACTACTGCCACAGCAAGGGAATCATGCACCGAGACGTCAAACCTCATAACGTTATGATCGACCATGAGAACAGAAAGGTACCGTCGCGCTGCCACCCCTGGCTGTCTCACAATATTCGGGCTGTGAACCACCGCTGACTTGACATGATAAGCTTCGTCTGATCGACTGGGGTCTGGCCGAGTTCTACCACCCTGGGACCGAGTACAATGTACGCGTGGCTTCTCGTTATTTCAAGGGCCCTGAACTGCTCGTCGACTTCCAGGAATACGACTACAGCCTCGACATGTGGAGTCTCGGCGCCATGTTCGCCTCCATGATCTTCCGCAAAGAGCCCTTCTTCCACGGCAACAGTAACTCTGATCAGCTGGTTAAGATCGCAAAGGTTCTTGGCACGGATGACCTCTTTGACTACCTCGACAAGTACGAGATCGAATTGGACCAACAGTATGACGACATCCTGGGACGCTTCCAGAAGAAGCCTTGGCACAGCTTTGTCACGTCGGAGAACCAGCGGTTTGTCTCCAACGAAGCCATCGATTTCCTCGACAAGCTGCTGCGTTACGATCATCAGGTTCGCAAAATCCCTACAGTTGATCTTCGTGAGGACATGTTTCTAACCTGCTGTTCACAGGAGCGTCTCACGGCAAAGGAGGCTCAGGCCCACCCTTACTTCGACCCTGTTCGGGATCCTGAAGTTTTCAAGCAAAACTTGATTGGTGCTAATGGAGGTCCTTACAAGACATCATGAGACCGTGATGCGTCTTTTTCCATTTCCTCTGTCTCTAATCTCGCGAGTATCTCGTTTCCATCTGCTTTCCCCCCTGCCCCCTATCAAGCCACTCAAACAATTGCCTCTCCCAGACAACGTTAGCTATTCCGGCCGTGCTGCCTCAGGGGGCTCATGCGCTTTCTTCACAGACGAAATAGTGCAAGGAGGGATACGTCGTGGAGCAAAGAATGAGGGGGGCCCTTGAAGAAAGAAAGAAAAAAAAAACAAAGAAAAGACAAGATGAACGGCAAGAATCTACATGTCATGCGTGCGGAAGTGTGACCAACAATATTGGGTGCTGGATATGAGAAAGAAAGCAAGCGGTTAGGAAATGACTACAGCGAAAAAAGAAACTCCAATCCCCGCTCTCTCCCCCCAACTCATCCCTCGCCCCTCCCCCCCTTTCAATTTCTTTCACCAGTTCTTATGATATCTGGGACCCCGATCTCACTCAGATCAGTCCCGTCGGCTCGGACAGCATTCAATCAGTCGGTCTACGGCGTTTCGGGGAATATCGGGGGGCATATGAACGAACTCGGAGTGGCGAGGCTGGGAAGGAAGGAGAGGGAAGCGAAATCCAACAAATCCATGGTCTTTTACGCGCTTCTCGGTTTTATGGCTTGGAACACCGTTTTGCTTTTTATGCGTGGGTAGCTATTATGAGGTAGCGGGTAATACATTGCCATTTTACACTGCCTTTCCTATCTCTTGTAGATTTCCCCTTTTTGCAGTCAGCAGGAGAAGGGGAGAAGATTGATGAAAGAGAAATACCAATCCCGAGATGTTGCTCCATTGTTGCCCGACCAGTTTGCCTCTTCCATAATTTTTGTTACCAACTATTGATTCTCTCCTCAACTCATCATACTCGCGTATATGACTCTATCGTACTACCCTTCCCCTTACAAACAAGTAAAGCAGAAGTCCCGTCCACATCTATACCCATCTACCCCACAAGCCCTCAGCGTGCCCCCAGGCGTCTTGACGAGACTCCCAGGGCTGACAGGCTCCGAGGGCCGTTTCTTCACAGGCGTGTGATACACCTCGCGGGTGCGGGAGCTGGACCTCCATACCTTGCGCGCCGTCGACTGCGCCACGGAACTCTGCAGCTTGGGCATCGCGGCCAGGTTGCGGCCCAGCTCATCAATCTCCTCGTCCTCCTCTTCCTCGTCGTCGGATAGCAGAGACAGGATTGAGTGGCGGGAGGAAGGGACTTTGAGGCGGCGCTTGGGGCGGCGGGGGGTTTGGGGAGGTCTGCTCAGGGAGGGTAGAGGTTCGTCGGGTTCAGCTGCGAAAGCGCGTTTCAAGGGGCTTTTTGTGGGAGATTTGAATGGAGATTGTGGCGCGCGTTTTGTGGGAGACTGCGAAGACGGTCGAGCTACCGCTTCCGGAGGCGAGACTGTTCGTTTGCTGGACGACGAAGGTGCCGGCTCATCATGCGGAGAAGCTTTGACGGGAGAGGAAGGTTCGATGTGAGAGGAGTCATCGCACGTCTCGTAGGAGCTGTCTTCAATGACGGTAGGCAGGGCTGTAGCCTTCGCCGGCTGTTTCGACTGGGCGATTTCTGCGGAGAGTTGCTCGACGACGGGGCTGACGGGCTTCTTGGACTGGCGTCTCTTCCGCCTAGAGGCCGTGGGCTTCGGGATGTCTTCATTGACGCGCGCACATGGGCTTGAAGATGGAACAGCCTCAAGCTGGTGCCTGGCTTCGTCAGGTGCGGCATCTGGCGGCTGAGGCGTGTCGTCTAGGGACACGTTGAGAGTGATTCGGGATAGGAAGCGAGTGGGAGAAGAGGACAATGGAGCCACGCCGCTGGAGTCTTCAGTCGGAGCGTCAAGATGCCGCATGCTGCTCCGACTCGCCGTGGGTGACACGTCTGTTGGGGCATCCGCCTTACGTCTGCGTTTCTTGCTAGAATGATTCGGCCGCTCTTCTTTACTAACATCTGACGAAGAGAGCTCAATATGCGCTTGAGCCCTGACGTTGCGAATCTCTCGTAATGGGAGTACGTCCTCGTGCCTGTTCTTCGGGGTCGATTTCCTTGGCTTGGACAGACTTGTAGGGGCCTCGTCGTCGGACAAGAGGCATCCAGAATTGGTAGTCTTGAAGGGGAATCCAGCTGGCGCCTGCGTATGGCGATGCTCCGCGATATCAGGATCGCGAATATGGGGTCCGTGTGAAGTCGGCAAGTCCTTCAGAGGAGTTGGAACCCGCCTTTGCTTCTCTTCTTTTTCTGCTTCACCCCCTTCATCCGAGTTCTTTTCCGCTTCCACCACATCCTCTGCTTCATCTTCTCCCTCTACTTCTTCCTCTTTCTCTTCCCCCTGTTCTTCCTCTTCCTCGTCATCGTCTTCGGCGGCCGAGTCCGGGATACACTCATGCTCCGACCCTGTCAGGGCGGCCTGGCCTTCATTTTCTGAATCGCCCCCAGTGCTACTCTCCTCTTCCACATGTGCATCGTCGCCGCTTGTCTGCGATTCTGAGGCAGGAAGCAACGTGGCTTGCTTTTCTGCCTTTTGCTCTGCCAGGGCTTGAGCCCAAGGAATCTTGTTCAAGTATTCTACCTGCTTTCTCATTCGTCCAGAGCGTCTGCAGCCGTTTCCTTCCTCAGCGAGCTCAAGGGCTGTTGTCGTTGGGGCTGATTCCTTTGCTTTGAGTGCATTGATTCTCGATTGTTCCTTTGGTTCTCGACTGGAGGGCTTTCTCGATATCCCAGGAGGTTGGACCAGGTTCTCGTCTCTCGTAGGTCCTTCGTCCGCCCTCTGTTTTCTCTTTCTGCTTCTCCTTGTGCTTTGAGCGGACTTGTAGCCGCTGTCACTTGAGGTCCCCTCTCCTCCCTTTTCCTCAGCCTCCTTTTCGGCTGGGTTGTTGGACGGACGTGAATCACCGGTACGCGCAGAAGCTTCTATTGGGTTCTCTCCGGATCTCTTCCCCATCAGAATCTCGTCCTCATCCTCTTCATCCTCCTCAGCATCTCCTCTGCCATCATCCACCTGTTCGTTCAGCTTGGCAGAGGGGGGCAATAGTGGATGCTTGAGAATCTTTCTCCTCCTCGGAAGCAAATGCTTTCCAAACGTGGCGGCAAACGCAGATGGAAGAGGTTCTTCGTCGTCGGCTCGAAACCTCGATCCAGGCGCCCAGATCGAGCTCTTGCCGCTCCGCGCAGGGAATTGGTAGCGACTAGGCTTGAGTGGTAATTGCTCGCTCGGTGGCCGTTGGACTGCGAACAGATCGGGTCGATCCCACAGAGGGTCAGAATTTTGGCCAGGGAATCCCCAGGGTTCTGAAGCGAACGGTGATCTGTCGAAGGAAAATGGCGAAGAAGCAAATGGCAGCTCTGTAGGGGGCTCAAAGTGCAAGGGACTTGCAGTCTGCATGCCAAACGGCGAGGCTCGGGCGAGCAATGAGTTCCTCGACGACGACCCCAAGACCAAGGCCGTTGAATGTGAGTCGCGAGTTGCCTGGCGACCCTGTATTATGCGGTCCTCGTCGTCGTCATCGTCCGCATCGTTGCCACTATGCGCTCCCTCTCTTGCAAAGTCGGCAGGTTTCGCCTTCTCTCCCGCCTCCTCTTTGTACTCTTCCTCGTCGTCATAGAGATCTTCCAGCAGGATGCCTTCGTCCTCATCATCCTCTCCATCCGTCAGGTCGCCTCGTAGGCCGTCTCCGACGTCCCCTTCGTCTCGCATATTGCGCACATGGCCGTTGTTCACCACAATCTCGCCCGTCACAAGATCGATCTCATCGCCAATGCCCTCGAAGTCGCGCCCGTACTTTTCAAAGATATGCGCCATGGTTGCTTGGAACCGCTGGTCGGCATAGGCTCTCTCGACAGAGAGCTTGTAATCGGGGTCTCGCTTAGCCTCAACCTCGAATGGCCGAAAGGCGAGCTCGTCGTCGTCTTCGTCGGCATTGTCCTTGTCCAGCAGCAGCTGGCTCCTGCGACGGCGCTTTGCTGGCGGTTCCATGGCTGTACCGTAATCTCGAAAGTGTCGATGCTGGTGTAAAAGCTACAGAGAGAAAAGAGAAGTATTGACAATTGATATTGAAAGAATGCTGAGGCAGAGTTGGCTCTCAGCACTGCAGACTGCCGACCAATCCGACAGGCCTGGAGCTGTGAGAATGTGCGAAAATGCAACAGGTTGAACCTTGCAACAAAAGATCAGGTTGGTTGCGGGAGCAACGGGGGTGCGACAGGGATTGAGGGACGGCGAGGACTGGAGCTTCGCGTCGCGATCCATGGATCTTTAGGTGGCTGCGCGTTAAGTGGCTGCACCACCTGCGCTCCGCTGCCGGAGCAGCCTAGCGCTGGACAAGCTGGAAATACAGCGCTGCCAGTCCGCTAGCCATCCATACTTACAGGGGGGAGCTCCCTGTTTGGAGCTCTGTAAGCTTGCCTGTGCCGCCAGGTTGAACACAAATGGAACCTGTGTTGAGTGGGGGCTGGCAGGCTCCTTTATGGCGTCACAAGATACCGTATGTACCAGACTGGATGTACTCGTACAGCCATTCATTGCATCTCCATCTCCATACCACTGCTTTGGACTCAACTTCCACCAAACCTTCCACCTCAACTCACGACCAAGTTCCTCCAGAGAGCACAATCACATTCACTAGCGACTCTCCAAACCTCTCTTTGTTTCTCTCTCTCTCTATCTAGTCCCTCTTCATCTAGCTACCTCATCCGATCGGCAACCAGGGCATGCGGGGAGGACTCTTCGACCTTCAACCAAGCCTCCTCCTCCTCCTCCTTCCATCTCCCGTGCCTTCACGATGCACTGCCAAAAGTGCCGCCAGCCGCTGAGGCTCGACAACTCTCTCGACGACCTCAACCCAGCCGCATACGATCTTCTCGTCTGTAAGTACTGCTGATCTTGCTATCGCTGAATGTACACGCAGTTGCTCATCACCGTGTCGTACAGCAGCAACGTCATCTCCCCAAACAGCCATCAAGCCCTCGAGCGCGCAACCGTCAGCGCTCCAAGCACAGGAGCAATCGCGAAAGTCTCTCTACGACAAAGTCTCCCAGAATGCTGGCGCGCCGACATTCAAGCGGTACCGTGGCGGCCAGCCCCGCGATAATACCATGTCGTTCATCTACCTCACCGAGTCGCAGGTTGGGCATCCTCTGCCGCCTCAGCAGCAGCAAAAGGAACGTGCAATGATTCCTCCACGCCGACGAGCCTCTAGCACCAATGGCGCCCCAGAAGACGAGCCCCAGGCAGACATGGGGCATGACATAGACAAAATCAACAGGCTTTTCGAAATCTTGTCCGCCAGGTCCGACATCGATCACCCGGTCTGTGTGGATTGCACCGAGCTGCTGGTGGAAGGCCTCCAGAAGAAGCTCGATGCTGCATCCAAGGAGAGGGACGCCTATGTTCAGCACCTCAAAGACGTACAGAGCAACCAGCCGAGTGAAGAGGACGTCAAAGCCTGGAAGGAAGCCCTGAAAAAGGCAGAGAAGGACAAAACCGCTGCGATGGACGAGCTAAAGAAACTAGAAGCCGAGAAGGATGCCCTGGATGACGAGATTTGGGCATTAGAGGAAGAGTCACGCCAGCTGGACAAGGAGGAGGAGAAGTTTTGGAGGGAGAGAAACGCCTTTGCCGCCAAGATGGCAGAATTCCAGGCCGAGCGTGACAGCGTCAATGCGAAGTATAACAATGACTCGCAGCTGCTGGAGAAGCTACAACGGTCCAACGTCTACAACGACACGTTTTGCATCAGCCACGATGGAAGCTTTGCTACCATCAACGGCCTGCGCCTCGGCAGGCTCTCCAACAAGCCCGTCGATTGGCCTGAAGTCAATGCCGCTTGGGGTCATGCGCTGCTCCTGCTCGTGACAGTCGCCGATAAGCTCGGATATAAGTTCCAGGGCTACGACCCAGTGCCTTTGGGAAGCACTTCTAAGATCATCCGGTACGAGGTCCCCAACCCGGCATCCAGCAGGCTTGGTGGGAGACCGATGCACGCACCCCCAAAGAAGCACGTTTTAGAGTTGTACAGCTCAGGAGACATGCCGCTCGGGCTCACCTTCATGCACCGCAAGTTCGACACTGCCATGGTTGCTTTTCTCGAGCTAGTCCGCCAGCTAGGAGTCTTTGTTCAACAGCAAACAGAGTCGACGGGCGTCCCATTGACCCTTCCGTACAAGATTGAGGGAGACAAGATAGGGGAAACTAGCATCAAGCTCGGTATTGCACAGGACGATGGATGGACCAAGGCATGCAAACTCACACTTACGTGCTGCAAGTTTCTGCTTGCCCACGCCAGTAATGTTACTTCGATTGCGAGAAACGGTGCCTAGAGCAATGAGACGAGGAATGGGGTTCCATGGCATCGGGTCATGCTGTTATGGGAGAGCCATTCACTCACACTTCACCAACATCCTTGCATCGGGATATCGCGGGTATGTGGCCTGTCTTGTTGTATCCTCGAATTATTTTGTCTTGTTACTGCCGTCTTACGCTCATCGAATGTCCGCTTGACGCGCTAATATCATGAGCCAGGCACAGTCAGCTCTGCCAAGCGGTTTGCGACAGCCAAGCGGCATATGGCAGACACAGCGGCGAGAAAGGCACAACTAATGGAGCGTCACGCATCGAGCCGCTTCCCCCTTTGATAGAAGTAAGGACGGCATCTCTATCAACAATCAGTCTTACAGGAAGCGGATATCCTAATTTCATAGTCACGGGGGCGAAGATCTTCCTCGCACAGCAACTCCACGCCGCACGACTGGTCTCCGTCGCCAATCGCCAGGTCAACATAGCGATTTATGTGGTCTGACGGCGCTCCATTCCCTCAGGATGTTTGTGAGATGCTCCTTCAGCCCCCTCAGGTGGGCGGCTGCATGAGAAGTAACAACACAGCACTGGGTTGGACCAACGAGGGATGCAGTTCTCAGCCTCTTACAGGCTTCCCCTCCGCTCAACGCGCACCCCGCCGGCACTCTCCCACACTGCAAGCCTGCTGTGATGGTCCGGCGATTGTCGTGCATAAGGCCTAGTCCTGATTGATGATCGCATGGCATCGGTTGCTTTCTGCGGGCTGAGCGTCAGGCAGACAGCCTCACTAGCCTGGCTAGGCTGCGATCAGGAGCTGCTGCCTTGGAGCAACCCCATGGGTAACACATTACATACCGTACACTTCCTGCCTCAGTGGCCAACATCTAGTCCGATGAGCTGGGAGTCCTGGTGGTTATAAAGGCGCCTGTCTGTCCGCTACTCTTGAGCCAAATACTCTGTTCGATCCCGTTCCACTTCTTCCTGTGTATCCCAAATTCGCCCATCTACTCCGTCCCGTGCTTTGCTTTTTCACATTGGTCTTTACAACTCCTGTTTGTGTGCTACCGCGTGAACCTCACTCATGGCCGGCCGTCGCATCGTTCGGGACTACGAACCTCGTATACCCTTGAGCCGAGGTGACTCTCGTGAGGACAGCATGAGCGATGGCTTCGAGGAGCTGGGACCGCGCAGCATGCTGCCCAATCCGCGACTTCTCAAGTATGCCGTCGACGGCGAGGTGCCTGACGTTCTCTACACCCTCAATCATGTTTCCCAGACTAGACGCTTTCTTGGACGTAAGATGCGATCCTCTCCTCACACGAATGAACCCACTGCTGATCGCTTGACTGGCAGGCCAACGAAGCTCCAAGCCATTTGAGAACGTGACTTCTTATGAGATCAAACGCGATGAATCCGATGAAGAGGGCGAACTTGTCAAGAAACCTGTCTTCGAGATCGTCACCACCGTCTGCATTGAGGGCAGGCCTGATGATGGCAGGCGCATCGTCCATCCCCGTCGAGGACACCCTCAGATGGAGCGTCCCATTACATCTGCCTTTGACAACGTCGATTACCGAAGTGACGGTTATTACACCGAGGAAGAGCAGTACTATGACCCGCCGGGGACTCCACAGGCCGAGACTCCCCTGATGGTCATCTACTCGGAGTACCTCATCAACGCCCTTCGAGCCGTCGTTCGATACTACCCAAACCTCAATCTCGACGGCAAGACTGTTCAGATCACCGCACCCTACCGCGTGCTGTATCATCACCGCCAGGAGCTGTCCGAGTACCGCGAAAACCAGCCTGCTGGACACAGCGCCGAATATGCTGAGACGACCAACCATCACATCGACGTTCTTCTCAAGTTCCTCGATGAGAGCCTCAAGGACGAGATCAGTAAGGAAGAGGAGCGTCACCAGCTCGAGACGCCTACAGCCACTTTTGAGCATTTCTGGCTGCTTCTCAAGCCCGGCGAGGTCATCTACACCAAGAAACACGACATCTGGACACCATTCGTTATCAGCAGTGTCGGTGTTGGCAATCGTTCCCACGGCAACCTTGACAATTACCGGATCAGCTGCTGGCTGCTGGAGTCCAACGGCGTCAAAGTCGGTCGGTTCATGGAGAGCTACGTTGTCACGCCATGGCCGGGTGAGCAAGCTATAAGCTCCCTGTCGGTCATTCCTGCAAAGTTCTGGAAAGAAGATCTTGCTGCTCAGGGTAATCGCACGATGCGTGAGAAGCTCGTCGAGGAAGGCAAGCTATACTGGGAGCTTCTGAAGCGACCTACTTACATGGAGTATGATGGTCTCCTTGTCAACTCGGGCTCCGGCAGCAGACTGCCCGGCGGCCCGACTGGCTTCATGAACGGCCGTGTGATTTGCGATGCTTCTGGGTTCGACAAATACTACGACTCAGCCCCTGATGTGGAGGGCAGGCGATATCCTCTTCCCGGTCGCCGCCGTGTGACCCAAGGCGTTCCGAACAAAGACTTCCTTCCTCAGAACCTCCCTAGATGCGGCTGCGCTGTCTGTGACGAGGGGCGAGTCATGGAGAACGATGGGCCGTATGTCGGCTTCGAGGATCTCGATCCTCTCTGCGACGCGCCTCCCAGCAACGACCTCTTTTTCTACGTTCTCAGCAAGACAATCCCCGGCTTCATCCTAGGCACTCGCCGCTGGGGAAACCTGCACGTCGCTAATCTCAGCCCCGTCAAGCCCGACAAGGAGGCCTTCAAGTATCTCGTCCTGGACGATGACATTAAGATGACCGTGAGAGCCCTCATCGGCCAATACACCACTGGAGTCGACGGTCAGGTCGCTCCTTGGGGCAACGACTTTATCCGCAACAAGGGCGAGGGCCGCATCTTCCTGCTGCACGGAGCTCCAGGTATGATATATCCACAATCTCTCGGGAAGTGCAGAAGACGTAGCTAACAGTGAACGCAGGCGTGGGCAAGACGTGTACCGCCGAGTGTATTGCCGAGCTGACCAACCGGCCGCTCATTGCGCTCACGAGCGGCGATCTGAGCGTCGACGCATTCCGTGTCGAGTCCAACCTCAACTACTTCCTGGAGCTGGGCCAGCGCTACGGAGCCCTGGTGCTGCTCGACGAGGCCGACGTCTACCTCGAGCGCCGCCGTGCGAAGAACATCTCGCGCAACGGCCTCGTCTCTGTCTTCCTCCGCGCGCTGGAGTACTACCGCGGCGTCCTCTTCCTCACCACCAACCGCGTGCGCTCCTTTGACACCGCCTTCCTCAGCCGCATCCACGTCGCGCTGCACTACAAGAACCTCGGCGACGAGGAGCGCGAGCGCATCTGGACTCACAACTTTGACCGTCTGGACCGCGACTCCCGCGGCAAGATCCGCGTCGCCATGGCGGCTCGCGAGTTCGTCTGGTCCAGCCAGGAGGTCCGCGCGCTCAAGTGGAACGGACGTGAGATTCGCAACGCCATGCAGACGGCGCTGGCGCTGGCCGAGAGCGACTCCAATGAGGAGGGGCTGCAGACAATCACCATTGGCGAGAAGCATATCCGCGCCGTGGTCAAGATGAGCAAGGGCTTCAAGGACTACATTAAGTCGGTTGTGCCTGCGGGCTCGGATGATGTCGACTACGATGGTGATAGTGATGACGCGGATGCTAATTGACGGGAGTGAATGACCAATTCAGGGTCTACTGATTTGGGTCTACTTAGTAAAGACTGTTCACGGGTTTGTCGGATTGAAGATGCGATGGAGAAGCAATGGCAACTCCATTCCCCCCTTTCCGCTGTGGGATTGGGGAATTCACGACTTTATGCAAGAATGTTATCCAGTACTACTCAGATAGTTTATCACTACCAATGATGAGACACGATATCATGACCATTCAGAATCTTCTTTTGAGTATTCTATCCAGTGAGTTTGCAGCGCTTTCACCGCTGACTGTGTGTGTAGTATGTAATACCAAAGGACGAAAGAAACCAATTCAAGCAAAGGCACGATACAAACAATCAACCAATATTCATCGCTTCTGTTACCCCCCCATCCCGTATAACTTTTCGCTCGTTTCCGACCCCTGAAGCCCCCCAGCACCTTATTTCCCCAGAATCGTCTCGCGCAGCTTATCCTTCTCACCACTGCTCTCGCACATATCCCTGAAAACACCCCCTTCCTTCTCCCACAGCTCCTTGGGCGTCCCAAACTCCGCCACGGCACCCTCGCTGAGAACGAGAATGCGGTCAAAGTCGGCAATCGTGCTGAGACGGTGCGCAATCACAATGAGCGTGCTGTCCGTAAACTCCTCGCGGATGCTGCGCTGGATGAGCGTATCGGTGGCCATGTCGACGGCTGAAGTGGCCTCGTCGAGCACCATGATCTTGGGTCGTGATACAATGGCCCGAGCCATGCAGAGGAGCTGGCGCTGGCCTTGGGATAGATTGCCTCCAGACTCGGCGATGCCACTCGAGAGGTCGCGGAAGATGTTGACGTTGGCTGGGGACGCGGTTGAGCCAGCAGCGGACGATGGCTCGTTAGCAGGTGTCGCCGGCTGCGAGTCGACCAGGTGAACGCGGTGGAGCGACTCGCGGAGCTCCTCGTCAGTGCGCTCGTTGAACGGGTCGAGGTTGCTCCTGATGGTTCCGGAAAACAATACAGGGTCCTGGGGGAGGTTTACACATTAGCAGTCTGCATTGAGAATGTCCATCCTATATGAAACTTACCTGTGGAATGATGGCCAATCTTGACCGCAGGCTGTGAAGGTCAATCTTGGAGATGTCCACGCCATCAATCAAGATGGTGCCAGAACGAGCCTCCAGGAAACGGAAGAGGGCCAGAGTCAGCGATGACTTTCCAGCGCCGGTACGGCCAATAACGCCAACCCGCTCGTTGTTCTTCACATTGAATGATACACCCTTCAGGACGGCCGGTAGATCTTCCGCGTACCCAACAACAAGGTCCTTGACCTCGATGTCTCCTGATGTGGGCCAGGCTGCGGGGGGCTTCTCGCCATCCAGCGGCTCCGTCTGGAGGTCTGCGTATTCAATGACACGCTCTGTAGCATTCATGTCCAGTTCCAGGCTGGTGTAGCTCCAGAGAGTCATCAGAATGTTTCCAGAGAGGTCCACAGCAAACGCCAAAGTAAAGCCAGCCATGGAGGCGTCGATATACGGAGACAAGGCAACAACGACGCCAACGATGGAGGTGAATGTAGTGCCGATCAAAGCCATGCGAAAGCTCATCCACCTATTGAACAGACTGCCATATATACTCACGGCATCCCAGGCGTCAAGATGGCCGTGCATACGTTCCACATATACTTGGGTCTTCTGATAGGCTCGGAGTGTCGCTACGCCCGACAATGTCGCGTTGAACTGCTCAAAGACGGGCGACTTGGAGGTGCTTTCGAGCCGCTTCATCGGTCTGGCACCAGCCATGTACTGTTTAGCAACAGCGACGGCGAAGAATACCAGAACGAAAGCCATGGGGAGGATATAAGGTGAAACGAGAGTGGCAGCAATGCAGACGCCGACCAGGCCGAGACCACGCCAAAGCAAGAGTCCGAAGTCCATGTTGATGCGGTTGTCGATGATGTCGAAGTCGGCCGTAAGACGGTTGAGAATGCGGCCAACGGGAACCGTGTCAAGCCAACGCAGTGGAGTTCGTAGGACAGTGAAGAGAATCAGGTTGAACAGGGTCCTGCTGGCCCTGATGCTCATGATGAAGGACCAGATGAAGCGCAGCGTCCCCACGAATGCGCTGGCGCCCGAGAGAGCGACATAGATCAACAAGTAGTAGGACAGGTTGTGCTCCTTCGACTCGGTGCCCAGCAGGCCGGAAGCAACATGGAAAGGGCCGTGTTGGAAAGACAAGCTGTATGCGATTCCATGCTTCTGCTCCGCTTCGAATGCATGCAAGCCACCGGCTTGCTCTTCAGTTCCTTCTGTCCAGATCTTGACCCACCAATTCCGAGCGAGATTTCCAGCCTCAAAGCTGGAGAACAGGAGGGCGAGCACAATCCAGAAGAGCCAGCCACCGCTATGCTGGAGATAGGTCAGGTAGATCCGGCTCTTGACCTTTCCCTTGTCGCGAGTTTCCTTCTCGACGAAGTCTTTGGCGACCTGATCTTTGGCTGGTTCTGCTTCGGCGGTGCTTTCGCTGGATTCTCCATCAGCACCAGCAACGGAGGCCTCTTCAGAGTTGACGGCCGTTGAGGCCTCAGCGGCTGCCTCTTCCTGCTGAATCTCCTCCTGCGTTTGTTCATTGGTCTTGATTCTTTCCAGGATGCCGTCCTCAGCAAGCTCGGATGTCAGGCCAGCGTGCAGGACAGTGCCTTCGCCAAGTTCAACCAGGTACTTTGCTTTGGACTCAACCAGTGCCACATGATGCGTGACCAAGATTCGTGTGCGCCCCTCGCAGATGTCGCCGCTGATGCACTTTTCGAAAATGTGTCGACCAACATGAGCGTCAACAGCGCTGAAGATGTCGTCCATGACCAGGATCTCGGCGCGTGAGTAGATGGCCCGGGCCAAGGTAACTCTCCATTTCTGACCGCCGCTGAGGTTGATTCCATTTGCTCCAAGTTCAGTCTTGTCGCCATCAGCCAAGATCTCGAGGTCCTTCTTCAGTGCGCAGGTTTCAATAACCTTTCGGTATCGAGCTTCGATATATGGGAGGCCGAAAAGAATGTTGTCTCGGAAAGATGCGCTCTCAAGCCAAGGTGTCTGGGCCACATATGCAACGGAGCCAGGAAGAATCCAGTTTCCTGGATGAGCCTTGTGATCATTTCGGTCAAGTGCTGATACGGTAGGGGGTGTGTAAATGGTGCCTTCGAGAAGATCGACTTCGCCAAGGACAGCGGATAGCAGCAGACTCTTTCCAGTACCCGTTTTTCCTGATATAACAGAAAGCTCTCCGGCGGGGAACGACAGGTTGACATTCTTGAGAATAAAGCGCTCTTCGTCGGGAGTTTCGACATCAACCGGCCACGAGATGGTGGCATTGTCGAAAGCAACATCCGGGCCATCAGACACAACTTTCTTCATTTCAGGGCCGCTAAGGTATTTGTCAATTCGCCGAATCGACACAAGCGTATCGACGGAAGCTGTAAGAAGCTCGGGAAGGGCTGAAAGAGTGGCTTCCAGGCTCTTGAAGATGCTGATGCTGACAAAGGCAACCGACGCCGACAGATTACCGTGCAACAGGGCGTAGACGGCCAGCGAGGCAGCCGCGAGGAAGATTGGGCTGATTACCCAGCAAGCAAACAGCACAGAGTCGGCCATAAATGTCTTCTTCAGAGTCGCCAGCTCTTGCTCTCTGGCTTCCTGGATACGCTTCTCCCACTGATCCTCCAGAGCCGAGAACTTGATTTGACGGATACCCAACAGCGCCTCGTTGACAATGGCAAGCTTGGCATCACGGTTCTTCATGAGCTTGGCTTGGTACTTCATGTAAAACTTGGTGGCGTATGTGTTGACCGGCATGACGAGAGCCCAGGCCAGAATTCCGGCAGCAAAAGGCAAGAAACCGATCAAGCCAAGAAGAAACCCGCAGTATACAAACAGGTTCGCCAAACTGCTAATGATGAAAAATTGGTAGGAGGCGAGGTTAGAGACGTGGCGAACATCAACGCCAACGAGGTTGACAATGGCCTGGCGAGACTTGAGAACGGTGTCTTCTTCATCGGGCTTCTTCGTGTCGTCACTTTCGGCGGCATCTCCGTCCGGCTTTGGCGTTTCTTTCTCTGCCATTTTGACGTTTTTGCGCTTCAAGGACTTTTCAAAGACAAGCGCTGAAAGCTGGCCGCGGAGAGGAATGGATGTCTTGTACATGGCGAACCAGTTGACCCATCCTTGCAGCCACTGTATAGGGGGTATAAGTCAGCTTGTGTTCTCCGGAGACTTGGTGAGGATTGTTTGTTTGTTCGTACCTGAGAAAACAATGAGAATACGGCAAGGGAAATGATGTATGCCAGTATCTGACCCATTGGGCGTTCCCCTGAACCAGAGCTCCGCTCCAAGAGCTCAATCACGCGCAGCATAGCCCAAAACGGCCCCAGGCCGACAAATGAGCGAGCAATTGTGACAACCCATTGGAGGACAAAGAGAGGTAGATAAGCCCTCAGAAGTTTCTTCAGAAGCGTGCCCTCGAACTTGAAGTTGTTCCACGCCTCGACCAAGTCACGGGCTCTGAAGTTGTGATCCGGTCCCGGAATGTCCTTTTCATCCAGATCGCCCTTTTTTGACGCCAGCGCTACCAGGGGCTTTCCCCAAGACCAAGTGAATCGGCTCAGAACAGAGGTCGTGAATTGGGCATCTACCGGTCTGTCATTGTAGAAGACGACGGGTCGTCGCGGGATCGAGATGTTTGCGAACAGCAATGGGACCGCGACCGCGAAGCTGACCAATCGAAGAACGAAAATAGGGTCATCCTTTGCAGCACCAATCTGCACAGCGTGGAGCGACTGGAGGAGGAGGATCAAGATGCTGATGAATGTCGAGATGAATGCCCAAATGCCGAGGTCATGGGACTTGACAGGGGCTCGGTGAGCAAAGATGCAGACGGCCTGGATCACAATGGCACCCTTCAAAGAGCTGTTAGCCACTTTGCGACTCAACTGCGCTAATTGGTATTGCGAGAAGGACTGGACATACAAGAGCAGCAGTTGCCAGCCAATTGGGAATCAAGAGGTCGTCTTGATCGGAATGGAGAGTAGACAAGCTGGAGAGGGCCAGGGATGGGCCGAATGCCGCCAAAGACGAGACAAGGATAGCAATTTTGGGCCACTTGTTGGAAAACGAAGCAACAGCCTCGGGCGTACTCGTGCCATCGACATCCTGGTAGAAATTGTCCTTGGGGGTTCGGTTGCGGATCTGGTGAAGAAGAGCAAAGACAGCTGGCAGAGTCGAGAGTCCAACAATGGCCGCCCCGGCAATGGAGGATGGCAGCACCAAATAGCCCAGGGGGTCCTGTTTGGCGATGGCGTCGAGCACCAGCTGGTGAGGCATCACGGCGAGAAACGCTCGCCGGCGCACCGGTTGGAGCTCAAGGCGATGAGTCTGGTGCAGTCTACTGAAGCCGATAGCAGTAGCAATTCACGGGTGTCGTCAGTGGGAGCATCGATGAGCACGCGGGAGAAACGGAGCAGTCTGAGGGCCTCTCTATTTCACAGCCCAGGAGAGGACGCAAATGATGATGAACAGAATTTGGCCACGGCGATGGAGAAGTAAGAGGGAAGATCAAATGAATAAAAATGAATCAAAGGCAAAAAGATGCGTCGTAGTTATCAGAGTCCAGTCGGTTCGCGTCACGGGAGGCCAAAGCGGTTTATCGCAGGAGCGCCATGCCGTCTCCCCAAGCCTGCGATATCCACAGCACCCGCAGGCTAGCAGATGCAACGTCGAATCCTCCAAGCTTGCAAGCTGCTTCAGTGCTGCATGTCCCGGGATACCCCGGCCGGATGGCGCATCTCAGGCGCGTTAGAAGCAGCAGAGGCAGCCGTTCTCCGTGGTTCCGCTCCGTTGCTACCTAGGTAGTGGTACTCGTAGTGATACGGTAGTATCTGGCTCTGCTGGGGAGGTGTGGATGTAGGGACTTGTGTGTGTCGGAGCCTCGCCGTTGGTTCGATCAGGATAGCGTGGCATGCGCCTTTGGGTGCGGCCAGCCAGAAGGAGCTTGGGCAAGGGTCCAGGCGCTTGTCTGGCCAGGAAATAGCTGCACTTTTGATAGGCCCAAGGGCGGATGTCGTTCGACCGTGCCTTGGAAGAAGAAGCAAGGAGGAGCATCACCAAGCTGTGACCTGTGATTGCCGAAAGCAGCTCTCGAGGTTGACCTACCTTAGCAAGGTGCTTGCAATAGGTACCTAGATACATGTGCCCTGTGCCTCAGGCTGCCACCACTGATTACTACCTCTCCCAAATGACTGCCTAAGGTACCTATGATCTGAATCTTCCCGTCGACGAGGCAGCAAGAAAATGATGCAGGTCCTCGACTGCCTCTACCAGGTACGAAGCCATCACTGCATGTACTATCCATCCGTCATTCTGGTGCCTGGTCGGCGAGCAAGGCATCAGCATTACCATCACCAGAAAAGCATGACCAATTTGGAACAACCCCCTTATTCCGGGCCGAAAGTACTGCAAGCCGCCAGGCATGCAAGACGGCAGCATATCGCGAACCGAGATCTCCAGATGCTGGCCGGTGCTAAGCCTCGTCAAAAAGACCTTGAAGCAACGCCATCAGGCACGCCCCTGATTGGCTCGATGTCGCCGCCACGGGCACTCGGACTAGGTAGGTAGGCCGCACTGTCGAGCTGTTGCGGGGAACTACAGTACAGTATGCACTACTACATGTAGTAGGAATGCTCGCACAGAGAACCTCTCGGAATGATGAACACCAGAGCGTCGATTCCAGCGTTTGTGAAGAGCGCCGTGTGGGTGCTGTCAGCGCAGTCTTCCCATGCATGTTGGAGAGATGCTCTCTACCACAAAGGTAGATAGTAGCTTTTTAGACACATGTTACATATCTGCAACAAACTCCATGAACCAATCTTTGATCCATTGTTCTATTTCGACTCCCGAGACAGAGGCTCAAAGAGCACCGGACAGCTTCCCCGTTGCGTCCGTGCCATGACAGCCAACGTTCGAGTCAAACCTCACCTCACCGCTCTCTCCGTGGCCTCTGCTTGACTAGGTACCCAATGCGAGACGCCCATATGCAAGATACTCGCCATTTGTATCCTTAGATCGACTCGCTTCATCAAGGAGGTATGCAACGCTTGTCATCGTACATACACACATAGCTTACTTGAGGCATTGGCTGCAACAAAGCACATGCTTCTGCTGCGGCCAGATTGAATGGGCCGGCACAGCTTGCACATGAGCACAGGCACATTATACCAAAGCCGTTGTTAGTAGTAATTAGCTGGTCCCGCGGCTCACCGAACAGTCATCCGGTGGGCTTGAAGAACTTGTGGGTGCGGTACCCTCATCTGCCCGTTCTGGATCGGTGGTCAAGACAGACAGGGCTCTTGTCGAACAAAAGGCTGTGTACCTACATGAAGCAATCACCTCCATCACAAGTGTCAAAAGATTTTTGCGAAGCTACAGAAGACGGCTACGCATTGCTGATCAGAGTGTCTCAGATGCATTCTTCGGGGCATCTCCAGGAATGAAAGCAGGAAGATGGCATCCAAGATAACGGCACACATCCGCTTCCAGCGGGACGCCTATGTAGCCACCGCCGTTTAATATAACCCGCATGCATATGACCTTTTGGAGGGCTGCCTGATCCGTCTTGCCGTGAAGTGACTCACACGGCGCACGCTTTGGCGTCCAGTGGACGCCCAGCAAGGCTACTACTAATCGCATCCCGGCGTACACATATCATCGCGTATCTCAATCGCCAAGTGTTCATACTGCCATCTGCACGGTTGCATCGCATTGACCAGCACCAGCTGTAGTGCTGAGCAATCGGATGGAGCTGCTCGCTGTACAGTATGGGCGGTCCAGTCGGAGGGTAGCACCGCTTCGCTAGACATCGTGGCTGCTATGTGCACCTCATCCAGGAAGTAGGTCAATACTTGGTATGACGGAAGCCTGTTGTAACATTCTGGCCACCTGACACCCAGCATAAAAGGACCAGAGCATCTCCGTGCAGACCAGGCAGCTGTTCTGCCGCTTTCAGGGAGCACGAGGCGCTGGCTGCTGATGAATGGCCCTTGGTGATTGGCTCCTTGCCATGCCGCCCTTCAGCCTTAGTCTGACGACTTACTATGGAGTACCTTGTCGAAGGATTCACATCTTGGTCTCCAAGGTCTCGTACTGCGGGCGAACCATAAGATCACCGCGCCGTTTTCTGGCGCCGTCACCCGACAGATTGGACCATGCTGGTGCCGAGTAAGAGGCCTCGCTTGACTGCTATATTGGATGCCAGAGCTAGCGGACGATGTAGGAGCGATGGGGGAGAGCTCATTAGTGAATAGATATCGTCTTTGCTGCTCCGTGTCTCGCCCAGGAGCATAGGGAAGGCCAGAAGCGACATTGACCCTCTTTATCGTCGTCGATTTCACGTTCTGCTAGCCTTGTAAACGTGTCTGGAGTCAGCCTTTGCGCAGATATTTACCACCCGAATGGCCGATACCATCGCAGCACTCTGTCAACTGTATGTGCGGTTTCATACAAGGGAAGGCCTGGTTTCTGTGACGACTGGTATATGTCAACGCATGCCCGTTCGAATAGAAGAAAGGTAGGTATGTCAGGGAGGTATATGTAGTAGAATGTCAATATTGGTCAGGACCACGCTCTCTTATCTGAAAGATTAGGAGCGGAAGCGGATAAGACAGAGAAGAGGAGGAGGAGGCACGGAGGGCAGAGCCATGTACATGTATGTAGTCAGCCATCAAATAAGAAACGAGATCCATCCACATCATCAGTGCGCTGCGAGGCGAGGCAACCACTAACCGTCGGTATGATGCACTGAAAATGCATCAACGATCCATCCGTCCCAACGCCGGCGCCTGGAGTAATGATGCAGCGCCTCAGTCACGCCCGCCAGCTACCAATCGTGTTGTCCCGTGGCTTGTTTGCCCGGGTGGGCGCAGAGCAGCTGGTGCGGCGTGATGCAGGGCGTCGAGGCTCGACGTGAGATTGATGCCATGTCCACTCTGTATGTTATCTTGTGTGTAATTATGTGACGAGGACGGGCCAATCAGCAGAGCAAAGAAAGCGGCAGACGGCAAGCATCTGACACGGCGCTCTTGGCTGTTGCTACCTATCTGTTTGCAAGGCGTAATATGAGGGCCAACATAGGTTGTCTTGTTTGGACGCTCAATGGCCAGACTCGAGTCGTCTCTTGTGCCCCGGTACGACTACTAATAGATCAATCTTTCGGAAAGCGTCCATGTTTGTGCTCGTACGACTGCCGGCGATGTCCAGGGCTGGTCGTCGCTGGTCGTCGCATCGTGAGGCTGTTGCAGGGCAGGGCAGGGGTGGGAGCATTGGAGGGAACCTTGGAACGGCACAGGGAGGTCGGGTTCCTTGGCAGCTCCCGTCCCGTCACCCTTGGAGCCTCCATCACGAGCACAGCACCCGCGACAGTGCTGGAGTGCAGTCCAGCCCCTCCAAATATAGCGGGCAGACAGTGGAGGTCATGCACCACCAGCGCCGTAGCCTCCATCCTCCAGCCTCTAGCGGCTAGCCTCCAGGGACGGGAGCCTGTACTGTAACACCTACAGCAGCTAGGCGAGCCTTCTGGCAGTGGAGCCTGGCCCTGAAGCCCACTCCCAGTGCGCTGATCACGCTGCTGCCGCCCCTCGATTTCAGCCGGGCCGGCGCCATAATATTTCCACGGCAAGCAGCATGGAAAGCTTGCCATTGAAAGGTTCTTTGTCGTGGGCCAGCCTCTTTTTTTCCATCTCCCATCTCCCATCCTTTGACTTTTCAACAACCGCGAGTCTCTACCGCCAGCGTTCTGCACGCGTTTGCGACCAGCTGCCGGCAGCCCGAGCCCTCAAATACCGTCTTGTTTCCTCATCCAGCCTCCCTCCTCAGTGCATCACATCGACGACGCAGCAGCGCAACCATCGTGTCTTGCTCCTCCTCCAACCGCAGCTCCAGAAGCTCCTCCATGCCGCTTGTCCGACAGCCGCCCTAACACGACCGAGTCAGGATGAAAGCCTCGCCGCTCATCATCAATTGGCATGATCAGAATGCCCCGATTTACTCTGCCCACTTTGAGCCAAACGGCAAGGGCCGTCTCGCCACGGCTGGTGGTGACAACCACGTGAGAGTCTGGAAGGTCGAAGCCGACGGCCCCGAACGCAAGGTTGAGTATCTGTCGACGCTCTCCAAGCACAACCAGGCGGTCAACGTGGTCCGATGGGCTCCCAAGGGTAAGCATTGGCCAGCCATTGATTCTCATTGTCCAGCTTCAGAGAAACTAACAATGGCTGCCGCATTCAAGGAGAGACGATTGCTTCGGCTGGCGATGACGGCAATGTCATCCTATGGGTTCCCAGCGAGATTCCAACCACCAACTTTGGGTCGGAAAGCCTAGATGACAAGGAGTCTTGGAGAGCCAAGCACATGTGTCGCTCTAGCGGAGCCGAGATATATGACTTGGCATGGTCGCCAGATGCCGTGTACTTCATCATCGGCAGCATGGATAACATAGCTCGAATCTACAACGCCAGCTCAGGTGTGTATCTGCAATGGGGATGGCCATGCTACATACCGTGTGCCGGCAGCTAACACGATGCCATTAGGAACCCTCGTCAGGCAAATCGCCGAACATAGCCACTACGTGCAGGGAGTGACTTGGGACCCGTTGAACGAGTACATCGCGACTCAGTCGTCCGATCGATCCGTCCACATCTACTCCCTCAAGACTAAGGACGGCCAATACACCCTAAGCCAGGACGACAAACTGCCACGGCTAGCGAGCCATATCAAGGCCGATCTTCCTCCTCGACGAATCTCCTCGAGCAGCCCTGCGCCGCCTGAATTCGGCCACCGAGCCCAGCTATCCACCGTGGACTCGGCTACGTCTGTGGGATCACCGGCTCCCTCAGCCCCGAGCACTCCTACTTCAGCTCCTCTGCCCATGAACCCGCCGAGCGTAATCAGCCACAGCCGACGATCTTCGATTTCCTCCCGTCGCTCTGTCTCCCCAGCGCCTTCTCTGCCTCTTCCGGCTGTTATGCCGATGGAGACGTCGCCGAAGCCTCACCATCCGCTCAGCGCCAATTGGGCCCTGGGAGCGAAGAATGCAAGTCTCTATGCGAACGAGACCCTCACGTCCTTCTTCCGACGACTCACCTTCACTCCTGACGGAAGCCTTCTGCTCACGCCATCCGGGCAGTACCAGATACAGCACCAGACGGACAAGGACGCAAAGCCAACCTACGAAATCATCAATACCGTGTACATCTACACCCGAGGTGGCATCAACAAGCCCCCGATCGCTCACTTGCCGGGCCATAAGAAGCCGTCCGTCGTCGTCAAGTGCTCTCCTATCTTCTACACCCTCCGCCAGTCTCCACCGGTGACCAAACATGTCACCATCGACACCTCGTCCGCAGAAGATACCATTCCGTCCCTCCCAGACCCGGTTTCCAAACCATCAGCCACGCCCTCTGTCATGGAGCCTCCCCCGCTACCCACGCTCACCTCGACCAACGCTGCCGCCGAAGGGGCTGCTCCTTCGAAGGGGGCAGCAGCCGAAAACAGCGCCTCAACGCCGGGCCCCAAACCCGCCTTTGCCCTTCCGTATCGGATGGTGTACGCAGTTGCCACACAGGACTCTGTCCTGCTGTATGATACACAGCAGAAGACTCCGATATGCATAGTGAGCAACTTGCACTGCGCGACCTTTACCGATCTGGCCTGGTACGTATATGCTGCCGCTCATATTTTTGTTGAGAAATGATGTATGGCTAATTCGTGATACCTACATAGGTCATCTGACGGACTCACTCTCATCATCTCGTCATCGGATGGGTTCTGCTCTACGCTTACCTTTGCCCCTGGCGAGCTCGGCGAGGTCTACAAGGGCGAGGTCGGTGCCAAGGCAGGCTCGGCCAGCCAAAATGCATCCACCCCGACTCCCACGTCCAACTTTGCCTCCCCTTCCCCTTTCGCCGGCGGGCCGCAGCATCAGCCGCGCAGCTCGGCAAGTTCATTCACGGCGCCCTCTCCGCCATCCGCATCAGCGGCTCCATCTCATCGCCCATCCTCGCCGGCAAGGTCGAACTCGACGTCGTCTGTGGCCACACAGCCTTCAGGCGTCGTGAGCAACCCGCCGCTCATTAGTGGGAGTGTGCCATCCATCACGGCCGCCAGCTCCGGCAGGGTCACGGGCGTGCCGTTGACCACGCCCCCAGAAACCCCCAAGGTGGTTCCCGGAGCCGAACCTGGGACTACCACTACTGCTAGTGTGGGCGTGAAGAGAGACGCCGACGAAGCAGAGAAGGACGATGGCAAGGAGCCAAAGAAGAGGAGAATTGATCCCACTCCTTCAACTCGTGATACAGCCTCTTCTCCTCGCTAGGGTCGTCTCTCTGGTCTCTTTTCCTCTCAATCTTTCCTATCCTTGTGTCTTTTAAGAGCGAGTTGTTGTATTTCTACGCAATGTCTCGTCCTGCGCTGGTGGAGCTAGGCATTCGACGTCGACAAGATGAGCAACGTGGTCAACCGATGAATCATATAGAGGGATGGTAGTGTGGGCCGACTATCACTGGCATAGACTGGCGTTTTTGCGGCTTGGCGTTGATTTTCACTTTTTCTTTCCATGGCAGCGGCTGAGGCGCGCACGAATGCTGAATCGCATCTAATCGCGTGACACCAAGCTGCCGGCTTTCTTTGCTTTGTTTCGTGATCTTTCGTTTTCTTGTCAGACATGGGCGGTTTGCCCAGTCACTGAAGTGGGAGCAGGCAGAATCGGCATGGGCAATAAAAACGCAGCACAGTATGGTAGTTTATTACACAGTCAGTTAATGTTAAAAAGATTCAAACAGCTAGATGATTGACCTGACCAGGCACGTTTACTCTCCATGTAGCAGCATATGTCGTGATGTCAGCGATACGAAGTCGAACGAGTACATGGCCTACGAACAGATATCATCCAAAGAGACTCATTTCAGCACAGGCATCCATCCCTTCCTGGGAACAAAGCCAGTCACGCCCTCATCGCGCAGAACATCCTCCGCCAGCCGGCCCGTGACGACGCTCCGCTCAAACTGCGGCCCGCGGACGTAGAATGGGTACGAGAGCCGGCTCGATGCCGGCTGCGGGTCTAGCAAGGGGCCACGGTCTGCAATGGGCGGTATCGAAGGCGGCGATGACGACGACGACGACGACGACGATGCTACTGCTGGCGGAGGGGGAGAAGGAGAAGGTGGTGGTGGAGGAGGATGAGGAGAAGGGGGAGGCTCCCACAGGCTACGGCCGCCACGGCGCCGCTTCTCGGTGAAGCCGGATGCGCGGCGGTCGAGCGAGAGATACCATTTTCGCTGGTATACGCTGCCGATGGTGTTGGACGCGCCGCGGTAGGCGTTTGTGAGACGGACTTGTGCGTCTTGGTCTTGGAGATGCTCCTCGCTGACTGAGGGTGCGTCTTGATTGGCTCGATATCGAGGGGGGTCACATTTACTTCCTCCCTCGATCGGATCATGGTTGTCATCATGTTTCTGGCCATCATCATTATCATCATTATCATCATCATCAGAAGAAGAAGAAGAAGACGATGATGAACCGCTCCTGCTAGTCTCAGGCTCCCGTGGCCGAACCCGCGCAGTCCTCCCTCGCCGCCTCCTCGTCCCCACAGCCCGCGCCCTCAGGCCCCTAGACCGCCCAGCGGCATCCTCCGACTTGGTCAGGCGGAGGTTGATGACGTACGGGTCGGGGAGCTTTGCTCCGTGGAGACGCAGCCGGATCTTGCGGGTCTGGAAGGCGGCGTGAAGCAGAGATTGGGCCGTCTCGTGCGGCGGCGGCAGCGGCGATGATGATGAGAGAGGACACGATGCTTCTTCTGATGGCGGTGAGGATGGGTCCTGTGGAGGGGCGTGCTTGCTGCGGCGCGGGAGGACGGAGTATGTGCCCGTGTCCCAGATGAGGAGGGAGCCTGTGTCTGGGGAGGCGGTTTCGACGAGGTGGTTCTGTTTTCTGGGTACGGATTGTGTGTTGTTCAGCGGTCAGTGAGACTGTATATCAGTGGTACTAGTAGTAGTAATAAGGTACACGGTGATATTACTTGAGAGAGAGAGAGGCAGTCAGTGAGTGAGTGGGTGGTTTCTATATGCAGGGTTATACATATGTAAGGTTGTATAGTAGGTGGCAATGCCAGCGGCGCGAATCAAAAGATAAGAGACAGCAAGACTTGCCCAAAGACAGTGGATGCGAGTCTCGGTGGCATTGCGGCTCAGGCGGCTGCTGTTGGCATCGCCGGGCAGCCCGTACATGACGGCCCAGCTGACGCTGCTGGTCTCGTTGATCTGGAGGCGGAGGTCGTAGTGGGTGCCGGCGACGGGGTGGTCGTGCTGATGCACCACGAAATGCGCACCGCCGGGGCTGCCCGCGCAGCTCTCGTACAGGCGCGCGTAGCGGGCGATGGACAGCCGGGGGACGTCGGCCGATGTCGGGCGCAGGTGCGACGAGAGGGAGGACGAGAAGCGCGCCAGGTGGTTGGATATCTGGACGGCTCCGGCCTCGATCTGGGCAGTGGTTGTTGTTGTTGTTGTTGTTGTTAATGCTGTTGCTGTTGCTTTTGCTGTTGTTGTTGAGGCGAGAGCTGCTGGTTTACTGGTGGTGGTGGTGGTGATGGTGGTGGGAGGATCAGAAGCAGGAGGATCAGGAGGAGGAGGAGGAGATATTGGGCGAGGCAGAGGGAGGTGAGATGCGGGAGAGTCGAGAGACCAGTCGAGGTTGCGTTTCTTGATGAGGGGATTGGGGATGAGGTCTGGACTGGGAAGCCGTTTGCGTGGTTGGTCCATGAGATGCGGTCGGTTTGATGTTGATGTAGGTAGTAGTAGTGAAGTGATGACGAGACGGTGTTGGTGAGAGCGGACAGTTCCGTGCCTACCTTAGAGGTAGCGTCTATTACGCACTACTACTAAGGTACCTTAGGTAGGTAGAGCACATCAACACTTTATGATGCTTGATGGCCCATTTGACGACTTGAAAACATCTCATTGCTCCAGGACTACGACGCATATCTGCTTGTAAACATCTACAGGGTACTTCTTGATGCTCCTATGGCACTCATTCCCACTCCATTCATCGGGTGCTGATGCCCAAATGCAGATGCGTGCAGAGACTGCAGATACGAGTACTTGTTGTGCACCAGCGCCATATTCTCTACAACTTGCAGCGCACATACATGTATGTACATGTACCTATACATACCTACCTACCTTACGCTCATGTCAGATATCCGCAGCCAATGTAGGCAAGGAAACTCTCCCGCTGACCGGCTATCCTTCAAAAAGACCTCAATAGTACTACATACATGCCATGCGAGCCAATCGCCAGTCAACAAACGCAGCAGCCATGGGGTGCATGCTTAGTCGTTATTTTCATCTCCAATGCTGACAGGTGCTTGTCTGTATTAAGGTATGAATGAGCATGCATTGCCATGGATCATATGCGTGAGACTCGGCTCATGCAACCTCGTAGCCAGTCACAGGCCGAGACGGACCGCGGCTATGGGAAGCTGAAAGCTGAACAGCTGCGCGTCTGCGTTGGAGCCGACGATTGCACCAGTCCAATAAAGAGCAGCAAACACGCAATGCTATAAAACCAATTGTTTCCATCTAAAAATACGGTCTAGAGTTGCTTGGACACACGACAAGATGTCCTCCTCCTTGCGTCGACGGGGAGTTTGTCTACCTAGTTACCTATATGTACCACCTGTACAGGTACTGGAACATCAAACAATTGGTGGTGGTCTACAAGCGGCGACGTGCAGTTTGCAGTTTGAGTGCAGGCAAATTGCATCTGCATCGTGCTTGCGTCTAGTACTGTACACAATGTATTACCTGGGTACACATTCGCACCGACGACCAGATGCAAGTCCGTCCGAATCGGGACGCAATCGACGTGCTAATCAGGTCGGCCCAGCAGCCACCCGTCGGCCGTCGTGGACATGCCGAGGCAAACGGGCGCTTGCAGCACTCAGAAACCAGGAAATCCAGCCAGAGCCCGCGGCGCCCCGCTTATATCCCCCTCCCATAGAAAAGGCCAGCCCCGGCTCCGCCTCAGTGGGCGAAGCTGGGCAAAAGCTGCAAGGGAGATACCAATTCGGTACCCCCTGCGCCGCGCCGGCAGGGATGGCGCTGCTCGTACTCAGCCCGTACCCTGTGCGAGCCCACGCGAGCCCCGGGATTTCCAGGTCTCGATTAATTACCAAGCCGGGGGCTTGTGATTGCAGTGTGGATTGCCTCCAGCCTCCAGCCAGCCGCTTGTGTCCCCTCCCAATCTTCCATCTTCCTCTTCGCTTGGCCTCTCTCTATCTCTCTAGTATCTCCCTCTCTCTCTCTCTCTTGAGCCTTACCATCGCATCTCCCCCTTCCCTTTTCTCAATTCCCACTCCATCCATCGTCCCGTCCTCTCGTCTCCCATCGCCCACGCCTGGTCTTTGCGCCATCTGCCTCTTCCGATCTCCCTCGTCGTGCCGGTCGCTTATCTCCCCCTCTTACACACTGGGGCCTTGTCGCAGCCCCAGTTGAAAAATCCAAACGAAATCACCTCGAACAGATCCTTCGGCAACGCCCGCCGTCTTCCCTCTTCTGCTCCTTATTCGGTATTAAGAACTATTACTACCAGCCACACCTCAGCGAAATACGCACAGGCGCACGCGCTTCCCCCTTGCGGCAATAACATTGGGATAGTACCCCGGTTGTTGTTGTTGTTGTTGTTGCTCTTGTTCCTGTCCTCCTCCTTCATATCACAGACCATCCCCCATAATGGCCTCGCCACCTAAGCCCTGGGAGCGAGCCGGTGCTGGACCCTCACGTAAGTCCAACCCGCGGAGCTGCTTCCCCCGTCTCTTCGCATCTGCTTTCTGCTCTAGCCCTAGATTGCGCTTCGCTCGTGACCTTCACATGCTGACCCGCCTCCCTCCTCAGTGAACATTCCCTCCTCGCCAGCCTCTTCATCAGCAGCGCCCTTATCGCCTGCATCATCAGTCGCCTCCATGGACGCTCCCCCGATACCAGAGCGCCCTGCTTCGCTCTCCGCCTCCATCAACCAGAACGCAGCCGCTCACGCCCGTGTCGGCGCCATGGGAGCCATGGGGGGCATGGGTGCCTCGCCCTATGGTGCCTACAACAGCGCATACTCATCGCCTTACTCAAGTCCCTACTCACGCTTTGGAGGCGGCTATGGAGGATATGGCGGCATGTACGGCGGATACGGGGGCATGGGCGGCATGTACGGCGGTGGCATGTACGGCGGCATGCCCATGGGCGACCCCAACAGCCTGGCCAACCGCTTCAGCAACGGCACTGCCGCCACGTTCCAGATGCTCGAGGGCGTTGTCACTGCCTTTGGCGGCTTTGCGCAGATGCTCGAGAGCACGTACATGGCCACGCACTCTTCCTTCTTTGGTAAGTCATGACCCTTGACATATAGCCCCGTCTCTTCTCCACGCATGCGGTTGCTAACACATGGACCAGCCATGATTTCCGTTGCCGAACAGTTCAGCAACCTGCGTGACACTCTGGGATCTCTGCTCGGAATCTTCACCCTCATCCGCTGGATCCGAACTGTCCTTGCAAAGCTCACCGGCCGTCCCCTGCCGGCCGATGCCGCGTCCCTCACTCCCTCAGACTTCGCCCGATTCCAGGGTCGATCCAGCAGCCCCGGCGGCTCGCCCCAGCCCCCCAAGGCCAGCCGGAAGCCCCTCCTCTTCTTCCTCCTCGCCGCCTTCGGCCTGCCCTACCTCATGTCGAAGCTCATCAGGAGCATCACCGCCAACGCCGAAGAGGAAGAGAAGCGGCTCGAGATGCAGGCCCTCGAGGCTCAGAAGCCCGTCGACCCTGCCAAGCTGGAGTTCTGCCGCCTCCGCTTCGACTTTACCCCCCAGCAGCCCAACGGCATGGAGCTGGAAGCCCGCAAGGGAGACCTCGTCGCCGTGCTGAGCAAGAATGACCCCGCTGGCCAGCCCAGCGAGTGGTGGCACTGCCGAAGCCGTGACGGCCGCCAGGGCTACCTGCCCTCAACCTACCTCGAGGTCCTCAAGCGATCTGCGTCTGAGCCCAAGAAGCTCAAGGCCGCGCCCGACAGCAGGACCAACTCGTTGACCAGCTCGTCCACGTCAGAGGAGGGCAAGAAGGAGTATGCTACCGCCGACGGCATGCAGAGAAGTCACTTTTACTCTTGAACGAAGATGCACCTTAACGACGACAAATTCGAAGCTCTGGCAATTAGAGCATTTGATTTTCTCAGAACCTCATTTGGGCGAAGCACAACGCATTCCCGTTTCTTTTTTATTTCGTTTCACCCTTGTCAATATTATTACACCGCGGGAGTTTGGAGCGAACAGCTTCTGTCTTTAGGAACGTACATGCCATCCACATTGGCTTCATGAAACAGTGCCGCTTCGATGGAGGTTGGTGGGATTGAGTCCCCCTTTGATCTTATGATCTTCTCTTGTGTACAAAAGTCGGGCGTGGGCGTGTTTTGGTTACTACCACTGTATTATCACTTGTTACATATTTCTCTTTTTTTTCTCTCTCTTAATCTACGTTACGAAGTTTGGAACAGCATTCATAACCAGGCAAATTTTGTGACCATCTTACGTAGAGACTTTCTACCACATTGCGTACCTAGGTGAACAAGCCGAACGTTGTCAAAAAGCCAGTCATTTGTTCATCATATGTCTAGTCCATGATAGGCCCTGCTAGGGCTGTAGCAATCCATGATCGTGTCTCATGGTCCAGATGCCCGTTCCCGGTGTTATACGGTCCAGACAGCAGTGTCGAGCACCAACTCACTAGCCTTCAGCTTCGTAGGCATTCGATTTGTGCTTGGGCTGGAACTGGAAGCCTGGGTGAACCGGTCCGAGGAACATTTCGCTATTGAGACCACGTTAGTCGATATTCTTTCCATCAGAAATTTGTAGTTCGAAAGACAAGCAGAGGAATTGTGGAGGAAGTATAAAGGGGTCAAGCGACAACCCAATCCAGCAGACGTACCTGATCTTGATCCAGTCCTTGTAGTTATCCGACGCCATCAACGTCTCCATCTCATCTCTACCCTTATACGCCGGCGGCCGGTCGTTCAACCGCGGAGGCAAGTGCTCCAACAGGCCAATCGGCACATAGCGGTGCGCGAAGCTCAGATACTCGAGCAGGAAGCGCCTGGTGTAGCCGATGCCCAGCTCGTCGGAGCCCCAGGCCTCGAGACCGTACTTGACAAACTTTTCAATGTAGCCAAGACGCTCGGTGGACGACTTGTCGAGGTACTGGCCCTTTTCAATCTCCTCAAAGATCCAGGGCTTGATGAGGGCGCCGCGGCCAATCATGACCGTGTCGACGCGGGCGTTGTCAATGTGCTCGTAGTAGTCGACGTGGGAGAAGCAGTCGCCGTTGCCGAGGAAGTACATGCGCCCGTCCTTGGCGTTGGGCAGCGTGCTCTCGTCCGGCTCGGCAATGGTGTCGGTGACTTTGGCCTTCTCCTCGTTGTACGTCTTGATGAGGGCGGCGCATTCGCCAATGTAGCCCCAATCCGCTGTCTTGGTGTACCGCTGCTCGCGGCTGCGGCCGTGGAGAGTAAGCGCCGCGCATCCGGGAGCGCCGAGGCGTTCACGATGCTCGCGAGCTCCAAAGGCCAGCTTGCCAATGATCTGAGTCGCTGTTGGTCGATCCTTGCGAACTCCGGTCCTGATCTTGGCAGTGATGGGAATCTCGCCAGACACAGCATTCATGCCTCGAATCATGCGCTCCAACTTGCCACTCGCCTCCAGAAGCGCAGAGCCAGCGCCGCCCTTGAAGACCTTGTCGATTGGGCAGCCGCAGTTGAGGTCAATCAGGCGGAGATGAGGACAGTAGCGGTTGAGAACGTCGGCGGCCTTGGTGACGACCCAGTGAGCACTACCGGAGATCTGGGCGCCAAACTTGAGATCGCGTGAGTTATCGTAGTCGTCGAACAACGGGATGGCTCCAGGGTTCATCTTGGGAGGCGTAATCTCAGACTTGTGAGCGCGCATCAGAGTCCAGTCAGGCTTGGATCCCTGGAGAAGAGGCATTCCCAAGGCCATTTCTGAGTAGGTGGCCTGACAACCGAGCTCAACGCACAGCCGTCGGAATGGTAGGTTTCCCTGGGTAGTCAGAGGAGCAAGCGTCGGAGTCTCTGGACCAAAGTACAGGCGGCGCTTCTCGGATGGCTTGAACGGCGGGTCGACAAATCGAGCTCGGAGGTCTTCGAGTCCCATCGCCGGTTGGTCTTTTCGGCGATGATGGAAGTCTTGGCTAATGCCACCCTCATGGTTCAGCCATTGGATGTATTGGTCCGCCTTGGTGAAGTCGAGTCTCTTGCGGTTGAGCTGGATCTTTTGGCCCATCGTGACGACGTTGTAGATGTCAGGCCGTAGCTCGTCTTCGCTTTTCGCCCGCTCCTCAGTATTCGGCCCCTTTTCCTCAGAAGCCTCTGGCTCAGCAGACTCATCCTCCTTGGGCTTTGGTGCCTCCTTGGGTTCTGCCTTTGGCGGGCGGTTATCGCTCAAGACCAGCTCCTTCCTGCCATCGGCGTGCTCAATCTCTTGCATATGGCTCTTGACGAACCGGCACTTCCAGCCCGAAGCACAGTAGCCATAAGCCTCGAAAGCAGGGCATTTCCCGCCGAGAGCTTCGACGTCCTCGCGACGACCCTCGCTCAAGTATTTGCGTAGATCGTGGCACATCTTGCACGAGTCGCCATAGCGGCACTCCTTTGGTGAAAATTCCGGGGAATAGGCCCTGCTGCTACAGAGGGGAATAGCATCGTCGAATCTTCCGAATGAGCGATCCGTATTCTGGCCCTTTGCCTTCTTCTTTCCCTTCTTTCCCTGAGATCTGGAGTCTTCGCCGTCTCTCTGAGACTGGTCTCGGCCAGTTGTGCCCCGGCCTTCAGCGGCGTCATCATCCACAGTAGGGGGGGGCTCATCCTGGTTCCTTGACATGTCGATGAGATATCTAGAGTATTTGTGTTAGTTGAGGGGGGTTTGCGTGAGACGCTATGATATGGCACTTGCTCTTTCTTGATGGGAGCCATGCCCTTAACACGGTCTGCCGGTCCGCCATTCGCGTCGGAAGGTTTTGAAGCCTCGGGCGTAGGCTGAGTTTCGTTGCCGTTCTGCGAAGGGCGAGTCGCGTCTTGGCCAGCCTCTCCATTTTGATTCTGGGGAGCAGCTGCGTCGTCAATCTTAATTCGCTTCGCAGCCCGCTCTTCGGAATGCGAGTCGGCCTCTGGCAATTGACAATCCATGGGAATATCAGCTTCTGTAGCCATGTTGGGCTGAGGGCGCTGTGAAGAATGTTGGTAGGATGATGGTCGTTTGGTCTGTTCTGAATATCTTGAAATGCTCTTCCAGAAGAGGGCTGATGGAAATTTCACAATCGTCAGGCTTGTCAAGAAGAAGAAGGAGAAGAAGAAGAACAAATAATTCTTTCCAGTCAAATTGGAGGACAAAAGGCAAGGCACAGAAGCTATTGAGGCAGCCTCGTGTCGTTGATGAGTTGAAGAAAAGTTGAGTGAAGTGGAGCTAGAATCTTTATCGATATGGAAGTTGAAGTGAATTGTTCCCAGTTAGGTAGGCAGTCTTGGTGTGTGGCTGGTGCAATGCCGAGCCGCTCCTGCTATTTCTTGTTTGGAGAGGCTGACTCGAGACCTCAAAAAATGCCACTTCCACGTACGAACTGAAGAACTGGGAAATGGAGATCTATGGCAGAGCTATTGTGGCAAGATAAGAATTGTTACTCAGGTAACAAGAAGCTAAGAAGCTCGAATTGTATCCAAGAAGCATGCATCGTTTTATGCGTTACACATGCTAATGCCACTGGTATACACGCTTATCGCAATCGCAGCTCCCTCTATCAATACGTCATGTCCAGTAGCGTCCAAGCCGCTCCAGCGCCTACAGCGCCTATCCCAACCCGCGATAGCCGTCTCTCCAGCGCCCAGACCGCTAAATCAGGTCCCCCAGCAGCAGCGTCGAAACCACCTGGACCAGCCAGAGCGACCTAACCTAGCATTCAATCCAGCGACCCAATTGATGCCACCCCACTAACTACACCACCTGCAGACTAAACCCCCCTCTCAGCCCAGCACCCAATCTCCGTGTCAAAGGAGTCAAGCTCCTCCTGCACGCGTCCCCTCTGTGAGACGTCGCGAATTGTGCTGCCAAACCTCCAGAGCTGCTCTCCACTAAGGGGGCAATGAGGAGAAGTTGGCGAGACCATGGAGGATCAGGGCCAGCCGTCTGCTAGTGCGACCCGATCTCCCAACAAGGCGTCCACCTTCAGCTCGGGACACCCCGAGCATAGCTCCCAGGGGATTGTCGCCGACCCCTCTGGCAATCGATTATTGTTCGACGATGACGATGACGACGACGACGACGATGACGCCGATGACGAGCCGGGGGGCGGATACGGTGGAGGGGAGGTGAGGAGGCGCGAGAGACACGAAGCCGTGGACGACGAGGCATCCCGATACGCGGCGATGGAGGACGAAGAGCCGATCTTGCCGTTGCCCAGGAGCCACACGCCGGGCCAACTTGCGGCCAGGAGCAACGTCCCTGGCGATCACCAACGTGGCAGCAAGGGGGCCGCCGAGCTGCCTCTCCGCCAGAGGGCAATCTCAGCCTCGCACCCCCATCCACCACCTCGCCCGGCAACAGCTCCCGGACATAGAAAGATGACGGCCGCGTCGAACCCCGTTCCCGACGTCCCCCCTGCCGAAGCGGATCATAAGCCGTCCGCCGCGGCTGCGTCGTCGAGGACGACATCGGCAGTGTCAACTCGCCAATCCAACATCATCGTCTCTCGCCCGGTGCCCGGCAAGCACACCACGTTCCCCCCGCTGCCCAGACCCGACGACGGACCAGATGTGTCTCCCGCCCCGGCATCCGGCATGTACTGGTCGAAGGCGCCGGTGTCCGGATCACCGCATTCGAACCTGCGGGCTCACACGACGACGCTCATCGGCTCCAACGTGTACGTGTTCGGCGGCTGCGACGCAAAGACGTGCTTCAACGCCATGTACGTGCTCGACGCCGACTCCTTCTACTGGTCGGTGCCGCACATGGTGGGCGACATTCCGATGCCCCTGCGGGCCATGACGTGCACGGCGGTGGGCAAGAAGCTCGTGGTGTTTGGGGGCGGCGACGGCCCCGCGTACTACAACGACGTGTACGTGCTGGACACGGTCAACTTCCGGTGGTCCAAGCCTCGCATCGTGGGCGACAAGCTGCCGTCGAAGCGCCGCGCGCACACGGCGTGCCTGTACAAGAACGGCATCTACGTCTTTGGCGGCGGCGACGGCGTGCGGGCCCTCAACGACATCTGGCGGCTCGACGTCAGCGACACGAGCAAGATGTCGTGGCGGCTCATCTCGAGCGCCGACAAGCCGGCGCAGGGGGGAGCGCGGGAGCGGCGGCCCAAGGCCCGCGGCTACCACACGGCCAACATGGTCGGCAGCAAGCTCATCATCTTTGGCGGCTCCGACGGCGGCGAGTGCTTCGACGACGTGTGGATCTACGACGTGGAGCGGCACATCTGGAAGCTGGTCAACATCCCGATGACGTTCCGGCGGCTCTCGCACACGGCCACCATCGTCGGCTCGTACCTGTTCGTCATCGGCGGGCACGACGGCCACGAGTACTGCAACGACGTGCTGCTGCTCAACCTGGTGACCATGACGTGGGACCGGCGCAAGGTGTACGGCATGCCGCCCAGCGGGCGCGGGTACCACGGCACGGTGCTCTACGACAGCCGGCTGCTCGTCGTCGGGGGCTTTGACGGCAGCGACGTCTTTGGGGACGTGATGGTTCTGGAGCTGGCGGTGCATGCGTATTACTCGCAGATTAGCCATTTCACGATTGACGTATGATGATGACGGGACACACACACACAAAGATGAAAGAGGAGGAGAGCATATACTGCAAATTCTGAACTTGTTTACTACTTCATACCTTGTTGTTAGGACTTTGATATTGTTTTCACATATGAAGCATGTGCATAGAAAAGGCCGATTCCTTTTCTTTTTGTAATTGTATAGCAGCGAACACCACGAGTTTGAAACATGGAGAAGACATGTAAGCAGACCTATTGATCGATTCCAAATTTTTCATCCCGAGAGTGACACCGGCAATTTCATAAACAAGACTATATCAAAGTATAATCATCTGGAAAGAATTGTTCTGTTCGTGTTATACAAAAGAAAGTGCACGTAAGAGTGCACATATATGCACATTATATATACAGTTTGTTTCGTTTGACCACCCATCAAATGCAAGGCGAATGCAATCAAGCCTCCATGATATGCAAGAGAAATGCTGGACAAGTGAAATGAAGACCCAGTGATTCCGTCACCAACTCAATTGTAGCCTCTTCCCTTATTTTTTTTTCTCTATCCGTGACGAGAACGACCAGCCCAAAGAGAAAAGAAAATCGAAGGCAGTCCTCGAATACCCAGTTGATAGCAGAGCCATTGAACGTGAGATTTGGAGTGTTATTTTCTGCGTAAGGATGTGTGAGTTTCCACAAGTTGAAACATGTCTATAAGGTGTTGTGTGCGACGGGTATTGGAGGCTGCATGTAAGGTAGGTGAAAAACCGGCCTCGACAGCCGGGTATGGCGGATGGAGGTTGCATGCCATGGCACGCCACCTTGGTGCAGAGCCCTCGAGGGAGCATCTGTCCCTGATAGCTGCCATGGGCGGGAGAGTGAGGTGCATTCAGCAGCAGCTTACTGGGCTTGCTTCTGCTCGCGCTGCGCAGCCTTGCGGGCAGCTATTCTCTTCTCCTCAGCCTCGACCATGTCTAATGGAAACTATGTGTTAGCAAAACCGTTTTTTTTTTCTTCTCTCTCTAGGAAACAATTCAATGGAAAAAAAAGCAAAGAACTTACCCATCCACAGATCCTGTCCCTCGTACTCCTCGTGGTGAATCTTCTTCTCAATGAGGTGCTTGTGCTCCGGGTCGTTGGGGTCGAGCACCATGACCGTCTCCCAGCGGCCCTTTGAGTTCTTTGCGTCGTTCATCTCAAAGGCGGCCGAGACAATGAGCACGGCCAGCGTCAGGCCCTGGGCGTAGACACGGGCCTGAACAATCTTCTGCGGAGTGCTCATGGGGGCGCGGCTGACCATGGCGAAGGCGACGGCCATGCTGGCGAGCCACGAGGCGCAGACGATGCTGTAGCGGTGCTCGCGGCCGTAGTTGAGGAAGCGCTCGTAGGCGGACTCGTTTTCGCGAATCACCTCCTGGGCGCGCTGGGAGGCGTCGCGGTACTTGGACATGGGGTCCTTGCTCTTCTGGAAGGCGACGCCCGCGCGGTCGGCCTGGACGATGGCGCCAAAGGTGCTGGTGGAGGTGACGAGGAACGTCCGGAAGGGCAGCGTCAGGCTGCGGAAGCTGGGGTACCGCTTGGAGCCGTAGTAGACGCCCGCGACGCCGATGGCGAGGCCGACGGTGCCGCCGACGAGGCCGCCCTTGACGACGGCGCGGTAGTGGGCGGCTTCTTCTTCCTTGGTGAGGACCTTCATGATGGCTGTTGTTGTTGTTGTAGGCGGTGGTGGTGGTGGTGGAGGGTGGTGGTGGTGATGGTGACCGTAGTAACGATAGCTGCGCTGGAGGTCGTCGAAGGGTGTGTGCAGCTCAGTGCTGGGTTATATATAGGTATGTGTATATCTTGACGGATAGGCTAAAGTCGGGCAAAAGCAGGCCGATGTAGGATCGAAAGACCGGCTGCAGCGGTAAGCGCAATGGCTGTCGGGGGTTGCTGATGGACGGGAGAAGGAGGGGCGAGAATTTTAAGGCGTGCGCAGTCGGGCGACGTTTGATACCCCAGACGAGCTCAGATAAACCGGCAGAGGTATGTAGTAGGTAGAGAGGCAGAGGTAGAGAGGCAGAGGCAGAGGCAAAGAGAGGGGTGGTGGTGTGGTGTCAGAAAAGCTGTGGTGGGGCCGCGAGCAGCAGACTTGGGTATTGTGGATGGGTCGAGGCTTCGGCGGTCGGGGAACGGATGGATGTTTTGAGGTGGTCAATTGATTGATTTCCTCGGAACAAGCAGTAACACCTCGTCGTTGATTTTGGTGAAGAGGTGGTCGTGTGAACGATTTGTAGGTAGTATGTAGTAGAAGTCTAAAGACGATGATGATGATGATGCAGGTGTTTTTGTTCCTGGTGTGAAGTGTATGTATGTATATGTATACAAGTCAGGAAACCAAAAGTTCAAGTGTGTTGATCGAGGTCAGTCAATGTCGTCAATGCTGGTGGGAACATGGAATAATGCTGATGCGATGATGCCGACAAGCAACAGCGGGAAAGGTGCCCGGATGGCAAGCGAGCCGCCCTGCTCATATATACGTAGCAGCCGGGCTCATGCCAAATCGAGAGTCGCAAGGAGGCGTCACACAACCCACCCCGAGCGGCATGATGTCAACACGCCGCAAGCGATAACAAACCAAGATCATTACCTAGGTATTTGCTGCCTCATTGCTTACTACTACTAACTAGTAACTGTACGAGCATTACCATTACAAGAGCCATTCAAACCCAGAAAATTTCTCTGATTCCGCCTTCCGAGCCGCCCCGCCCGCCCAGCAGAAACCCGAGAATTCCCCACCGAGAAATTCCCGTCTGATTCCCGGATCTCCGTCCGGCACAGCTCTCTTCTATCTTTTGCTTCTGCCATCTTGCTGTTTTCCCCCCCTTGCCAAGTTTCGATGCGGATCAGATGCGATCATGATTTGATCTGAACCCTTTTTATCAAATCAACGCACTAACATCGATTTTCCCCATCTCAAAACCATCGCACCAGAGCACACACACCAGCCCGCGAGCTACATGTAATAACTTTCTCCAGTCCCTTGTTCCTACATGCTCCGAACCCTCGTGCCTTGTCGCTGCGGCGGCGGCGGCGGCGGCCCCCGGCTTATGTAAATCGGCGCACCAAAAGGCACCAGCAAAGGAGAAAAACTGGCAGACCGGGCTACAAGAAGGCCGCGGCTGCGGCATGTGCGGCATCGCCCCTGGCGGCGAAAAAAAAAACCATTCCATGCCAAATACTCTACTATTAGACGCTGCATTTTTGCCGTTCAGCTGAGCTGGAAAGCCACCACGCAAGCCAGCGGCCTTCTCCGCGAAAATATCGTCTCACGTGCTCCCCCTCCTTTGCCAATACATCGACGACCCTTGATTAAGCGGTGGTGCGGCCTAGCATCGTACGAGCTTGAGCTTATTTTGGCCGTCCCGACTTTCCACTTCGCCCCTGCTTAATGTCTGCTTCTAGAAGTTCGGGGCGGTCCGTTTTGGCTGCGTCGTATGATTGCTCATCCTCGGAATCTCGAGTTGTTCAGTGGTGATATGCATTTCCCGGTTTTCTCAAATAAGGATGCAGAAATTACAGTACAATTGATACCAAAGAGTGTCAGCTGGCTTGCGGAGCTCGGCATTGCATTGGATATTATAGTAGTAGAATATGGCAGGGCGACTAACACACATCCCATCGGCAGCACTCTCTTGCTCGACTCGGCCTTCACCAACCATCAGAGGCCAGAAAATTCATGTTTCCGTATTCCATACCATCGGCTTGATGATGGGTTTCCGTAGAATGTATGCATGCACGAGAAGCTGGTCGGCACGAAGCACACATCTCGCAACGGGCTCGCCAACCTTCTACCCTGTAAACTTCACATACCTACCAGCCCTCAGCTGCCAAGCACATCGGCCCTGCACATATGCACCTTATGACACCACCACACACACCAGCATCAGAAAGTTGCCACTTCCCTTTCGGATCTGGTGCCGACAATCTGCGACACCATCGATCGGTAGATGCTTCCGGCGCCTGCCTCCGCCCATGTCGTGTGCTGGAAAGGGTCAGACCAGCGTCTTTAAGTGAACATAGATCCCCATCTCTGGAGTACCAGCCATCCTTGTCTGTCTCAAAGCTCCTCGGACGAAATGGCCGATCCGATGCGATCTAGCTTTATCACAATCGTTTGTAGCCTGGCAGGGCTCCTTTGGTCGGCGTGCTCATATAGGCGTATAGATGGTTAAGCTTACCTATGGAGCAACTACCACGTCCTGGACGAGATCGGAACCTATGACTTCACGCTGGCCGTCGAACAATCCAAAATATCTAATCCATGTGATCAGGAAGAGCCATGGACCACGAGTCGCTTCCTGGCCATCTTTTGTCAAGAGGTACACACTGCAACAGAATCATCGTCTGTTACACCGCTTCAGCCCGGGTCAGACAATATGCTCCTCACTGCAGCCGGCCCCGTAGATCCCGTAACGTTGCTCTCCGTGTCCCCGGTATCCGGGCCATCCTATGGTCACGGCACCGCTAGAGTACTAGTATTTCCAAATGTCCCACAAGAGCAAAACGGGAGTACCTGAACTGCGTAGTACGTAGTATCACTATTAGCCCTGTGCTTCTTTTCTTATACCGAGCCAACCGAACTTGCGATAGCCGACGTGATACTCAAAATAGACGCTCGCTTCACGATGCCTCCCGGCACAGTCGACTAGTACTATGTAGTACTTCAAGCTGTTGGGTCCCTGGCCTTCATGCAAGTTGGCTGCTACACAAACAAGCATCCATGCAGGGGCACGCACCGACTGATGTTCGGGAGAACCGACAAGAACCGAGATCTAGAGATCTGCCGGCCCCATTGCTGTAATTCTCAACACATCCCCAACGTCATCCTGTCAGGCGTCTGCATCACGACTAACAACATCAAGCCTACAGCCTCGTATTCGATGGAGATTCATACCAAACTTCGAGAGCCAACGGTGTGTTCCCGCCTTCAACTGCTGTGTCTTGCCCCTCGGTGACTTCCCCATGGTCGTGATAACTTGCATCCGTTCCTTGGGAGCAATA